TTTAGCTCTTGAACCAACAGATAACTTTGGAATACCAGTATCCCAACCTTTAATAACTTGACCAACACCAATGGTACGAAAACATTCTCTATATTAAGAAACAAGTAGAGTAAAATACACGTACAATCACTAGTTAATACCTAATAATTCAACATCGAATAATAAAGTAGCATTTGGAGGAATCAAACCTGGGAAACCTCTTGGACCATAAGCTTCATGACCTGGAATAGTTAATTTAGCTCTTGAACCAACAGATAACTTTGGAATACCAGTATCCCAACCTTTAATAACTTGACCAACACCAATGGTACATTGGAATGGACTACCTCTATCTCTTGAACTGTCGAATTTTTTACCACTTTCTAAGGTACCAGTGTAGTGAATTCTAACTAAATCACCTGGTTTTGGGAAAGTTTTACCGTCACCTTCTTGTAAGATTTCGATTTGAGTAGTAGCTGGAGCAGACATTTTATAACTTTGATGGAATGATCGATAGTAAATTGATGGTTTAAGTAATCTGACGGGTCTTAAACTAATCATACACTGAAAATTTTTCCGTGAGCAATGGAAGGGGGAGACATTAGTGAGCTAAATTTAGGGTGGGTTGATGTTGAGATGTTGCAGGGATGTTGGGGAGGAGGTTTGATTTGATGATTGTTGGAATTGAATGTTTAGATTTGAATATGGTGAATTATTGAAGAGTATGTGAGAGATTACTAAGGGGGGGAGGATTATCTCTATCAATTGATCAATTATACTGTGTTGATAAATTATGTATGTTAACCAATTGCATGTCGACATCATATATATGTTGACAAACTAGGACACTCTTACATCCAAAACTCTTTATAATCCATCTTTATCGGAGTAATCGTCAGCGACTTTATATACCTCACGGACCCTCCAGATCAAAGTGCTGGTTAAGTCTCGAAATAGAAATAATGGAAAAATATTTAGACGAAGATAACTAAAATTCAAGGCTTTATCAAATTAAATACTCTTTAATCTTCATTTAAAGAACACTTAAAGACTTTGTCTTAGAATTCAATCATCTTAATCACCAAACAACTTATTGAGTGATCCCACCCACATTCCGAATTGGGAAGTGAGAAATTTCAAAAATACCCACACGAGATATCAGGGGTTTGATAATAACAAGCAAACTTAATTTATGATGGCCAACGAAGTTATTACAAGAGATGTTGGGTTACATAACATAAAGACGAGCTTATCGAATTCAAATTCCAACTCATCTTTAAGTGATAGAATCGATGATGTTAATAACACAAACACTGAAGATAATGAAAACATTAATAATGAAAACACAAATATCGAAAATGCAAATATCGAAACAAATATTGAAAATGGAGTGGACGCCAGTACAAATAGTTCAAATAATCAAACAAATAATAGCATAAATAATGAAAATTCAAACGGTTCGAATCCTTCCGAACCAAACATCCCTAATCCTGGTGAAGGAAGAACTTTTGGTCTTAATTTCTTATCATCATTTAGTCCTTTAAGGTCCCAACCACAATCTCCAACAAGAAATTTCATGTCTAATAGTCCAACAGTTGGAAATTTTAATAATGTCGATGAAGATGCAGATGCAACTATGCAACCTGATACTCCTATTGATGAACATGATATAGATCAAACCATGGTAAGAGATGATAGAGAACAACAAGAATCAACACCTCCACTTGAAGAATGTATTGAAGAAGGTCAAGGTGAAGGTACTCATGAAGGAGATATAATAGCATCAAATAAAGATGAAGAAGATGATGGCAAAGATAAAGATGGATTTTATTCTTTAAGGTTAACTCCATTAATCGATCATTCGTCATCTAATTCAGGATTATATTTTGCCCCTGTCATAAGAAAAGCTAAATCCCAAAATTCTATTTCAATCGGTCGTTATACAGAGAAGAATAAAAGTGCTGCACATGCACCTCAAGGATCTAATGCCCCCATAGTTTTTAAATCTAAAGTTGTTTCTAGAACCCATGCATTATTCCAATGTAATGAAGAAGGTCAATGGTTTATTAAAGATTGTAAATCATCTTCAGGTACATTTTTAAATCATATAAGATTAAGTCCCGCATCACAAGAAAGTTCATTAATGCCATTAATTGATGGTGATATAATACAATTAGGTATGGATTATCGAGGTGGTACCGAAGAAGTTTATAGATGTGTTAAGATGAGATGTGAATTCAATAAAAGTTGGCAAAGGAAAGTTAATCAATTCAATTTAGAAATTCACAAAAAATTTAAAAATTTATCAGTTAAAGAAACTAATCCTTTAAAAAATGATGAATTAAGTGAATGTGCTATTTGTTTATTAAAATTAGAACCTTGTCAAGCAATCTTTATAAGTCCATGTTCCCATTCATGGCATTATAAATGTATTAGACCAATAATAATAAAGAGTTATCCTCAATTTTATTGTCCAAATTGTAGATCAATGTGTGATTTGGAAACTGATATAGATGATGATTAAACGATTCATTTTTTATGATTTTAAACGGAGATCTCGTATCCTTATCTATCCCTAATTAATCCCCCCTTACCTAAAAAAAATGCATCTATTCACCTCACAGGTCTAATAGAGATTGATCGTCAGACATTTTGTGTCCGATGTCTCACAATTTCATCTCAATACGAATATAACAACCTGTTCACGAAAATTCAATGATTTCTATTCTTCTGCCCATCTTCTTTCCATACCACCTTCTGACATCTAACGGTTGTGTTATCTGCTTCAACTCGGAATTATGATGACCATAGTAAATCTCTATTATCTCACAACAGAATGCGTGTGTATAAACCTCATCGTCAAGTGGTAAATTACCTGCACGATAAGCGTTACCCCTTAACTTTGTTCCAAAAAAAGTTTTTTTTCTTTTAGAACAATCACCTGAATCCTAAATAAGTTAATTAATTAACTATTGTGGAAAGTTAACAATAACATAAAATCTCATTCAAAAATCCATTGTTCTTTAACCACTGAAGCCAGCGTTGGTGGGAAGCAAAAAAAAAAAAGGAGTAGATAGCCTCATTATTGAGAAAATTTTCGTTTAATACAACACACTCCTAAAATAGATTGTAATTACCAAACATAATTTCGACATTAATCGAAGGTTTAAAAGGGGAGATCAAGTCTATAATTAGCCCATAATCACAAGCGATTAGTGAGTTTTTTTTTTATTTTAATTTTAAAGTTTTTGAAGGAGTAAAATTGGAGTTTCCACTACAAGTTTGATTTAAAAATATTTCAAGGTTTAGAGATTGAAAATGTTAAGGCTGAATTCCAAATTAATAAGGAAACCTCCTCCACCAATAATTGAAGAACCCCAATTTTCTGACGATTTGGATTTCAAGAAATTTGACATTGATAGTTATTTATCCAAATCTCCCATAATTTCGTCATTTAGGCAGCAAAATCCCAATTTACAACCAACCAGTGACGATAGTGATTTCGACATGTATAGTTCATTAGATCCTTCAATTAAGAGTGTACCTCCTAGTCCTGCTATTTCCCAAGCATCCTTCATTACAGCCAATGATTTTAGTCCAATGATGAATAGTCCATTCCCATCAATTGGTAATGGCCAATCAAATGGGAATGGTCATTCAAATGGAAATGGTGTCAATGGCAGTGCTAATGGTTATAGTCCAGGAAATGGTAGTTTAACAGAGAAACATGAAGGTCTTGGGATCTATGATGGGAAGTTTAGTACTACAGCTCCATTGGAACCAATAGTGGTAGATTTACCTAATAGAAAATTTAAAGATAGGTTCAAAAGATTATCTTTAAACAATTATGGTACTAAGAAGTTCATCCCTAGTCATAAGAAGTATCCTAGTGAAGGTGGGAAACGATTATCAATGCTATTACCTAATAGACAGAGATCAGATTCTTATCAATCAATAACTTCTGATGGTGGTGATGAAGATGTGGTTAATCCACCATATTGGAAATATCATATTTTGAGATTTGGAAAAGATTTATATCTTACAACCAATCCTAGTTTAAAGCATATGTATTGTAGAAATGGTCCGGGATATTATGTTGAGATTACTAGTGGTAAAACTGCAGATGATGGGTTTACTATGGTTTTCAAAGATTCTACTAATCAATCTGATAAATCCATACCACCAATAATGATCATTCATAAAAAGTCAGTTAAAGAAGGAGGTCATCTTACTATTTCCTTGACTAAACAAAATCAATTAAAGAAAAATATCATCAAAAATGATAAAAAATCAGATAAAACTAAAATTTTCAATGGATTATCAATTCCTCAAACGATACCTGAACAATTCATTCCATATGATAAAATCTCCAATAACAAATTCTTTGAAAGAAATGAAATTAATTTCCAAAATTATGAATTAAGAGATTTCAATAATGTTAAATGGAATATTGGATCAATTCCAAGAGTTAGATTTAGCAGAATGAATAAATTCAAGACCAATTTGGATAATAAATCAATGAAAAATTCATCGAGTTCATATTCTTTGCAATCAATAACTTCAATTCAATCGAATCAATCATTCCAATCAGAAGAACCTTTCAAATTCATCGGACAGAAAAATATTTACTTTCATCAAAATTATCTTGATTCAAATACTCCTTTACCTTATAAATCCAATAATCCTGAAGATACTTATTTACAAACAGACGAAACATCATTCCCCCCAGTATTGGGGTTATTCAGACCTTATGAAAAGAAATTAACTAAGAAATTTGTTAATTCTATAAATAAAAGATTAAGTAGATCATTTGATAAAGATTTATCCATTGTAGATTTAAACAATTTTAATAAGTTTAAAAATAATTTAGTTAACAATGATTTAGCAGGAGGGAGTATTAAGAATTATTTTATTGCCGGAGATGGGTTATATTATAACCAAAATCCATTAGACGATTTACCTGATGATAATAAATTAGGATGGTTAACTATTTATGAAGATAAGATGTTACAAGATAAAGGCATGTTTGACTTAGTATTAGGGATCTTAACAGCCGTTGGATATGAAAGTTATATGAAAGGAATTAAGTAGTCCTTTTTTTTTATATATATGGGTAGGAAATAGAAAAAAATCAATTTAACTCTTTTAGGAATTGACGCGGTATTTTGTCCCAAAGGGGTAAAATTTCAAAGTTGAGGCGAATTGACGAGATTTAGGAATAAGGTTGAAGCCGATCTTGATCTTGGTGTTGACAGTGGGAGCGTTGGAATGGGTAGCATGGGAATTGGTAGCATTGATGAAAGTTTAACCCGGTTTTAGGGGATTAAAATTGGAGATGAGGTGTCGCCTCCTTCAGTTACTGTTCCATCAACTCCTTCAATATGAGATGATATTCCTTGGATTTACTTCCTTGGATTCCTTCCTTGAATTCCATCCCTTCCATACCTTTCATATGGTGTTACATGCCCGTGATTACCAACCGTTTTCCACCACGTAGTCCTTAACTACTTCACCTCCTTCGTATTTTGCGATAATTTCTTAATCGAGTGAAAAAACGCAATTTTCAACCCTTAAAAGCAAATTTCAAAGATCATTGGCATTAACTTACCAATCGTAAAAAGTTAAAGATGATCCCTTATTGCTCAATTGAGTCATTTATGTAAAGGTAGATTAATTATAATGTGATGTAATAACAGCTTACTCGTCAAAATTGAATTATTTTTCAATAGTAATGTAAGTTTTCGGTTAATATATACCTATTATATCTAACATATCACCTTTATTCAACATCTAATTGCTTATTATTACCTATAATGTTAACTCTCTTAATCCTACTTATCTAACAAATTAATCTCAATTAGGAAAATTTTCACAAAATCCATCTGCATTGTTCCTAATTCGAATTTTACCTAAAAGTGATAAATTTTGGCATGTCTTAAATCCTTTAACAATAAAACAATGATTTTTAATTAACCATTTCATGTAGTGTTGGATTGTTGTAACAATTAGCTGTTAATTAACTATGAAATAATGGAATTCTTCATAATTGGGAAAAATTACATATTTAACTACAAAGGGTCCCACTGTTTTACATTAAAATTTTTTTGTCAATGTTCAACTTCAAGTCAAGTTTAGAAAAAGCTCAAAGATTCAATCATTTCTATTTCATACCATTATTTGGATTAATTTGTTGGTATACTTGGTCTTTTACATTAATTGGATTATGGGTAGCTGATGGTGCTAGAACATATCCTGAATATGATGAAAATGCTAGTCCTTTACCTTTACAAAGAATTGGAGTTATTTTAGCTCCAGGATTTTTCCTTTCATTTGTTGTAATTCATTCAATTGTTTTCTGTTCGTCAATGTACTTAGAATTTTATCACAGAAAAATTGGTAAATTAATTAAATTTATTAAACCTGAATTACAAAAGAAATTGGCTTGGGCTTCATTATCAGTTGGGGTGTTGGCTCAATTATTCTTTATTGCTCAATCAGTTTGTGGTTATATTTTTGTTAGTACTATGAATAGACAAGCTAATCATTATGCTGAATTATTAGCAGTATTTGCTATATTAGTTATGATTTCATTAGCTTTAAATTTCACCAATTATTATATTATGGGTCAATATTATAGAAAATATGTTAATGGTGAAAGATGGAACAAATTCACCATTTCCTTTATTCTTAAGATTATTTGGTTAGTGGTAACCATTTTCTTAGCTATTATTTGTTGTGCCTTTTATGTTAAACATAGAAAAGATATTGCTGATATCTTTGAATGGTGTTTCCATTTATGGTATGGTTTATTATTAGCTTTCTGGACTTATGATTTATACCCATTAACTGAATTAAAAGCTTTGAAACAAAAATCTGAAGGTTTAACCCCAACAAAGAAGAAATTCTTCTCCTTTGGTAATAAAGAAAAGGATATTAGAACTGCTATTACCAATGCCGATTCTAATTTAACTCCAAGTGGTTCATCATCTTTTGAATTTGAATCTCCAGGTTTTGATTATACCAATTATAATAGTCAAAGTCCTAAATATTAATACCTGTAAATTATCATATGATGTAATATTATCTGTTCTGGTAACTGATATGTAATATAAAATCTTTTTTCGCAGCCACTCAGCCACTCTCGGAGTTATTTTGTTTCACATTTTTTGTTTCATAAATTCTCTTTTTTGATAGATCAAAGTACCCGATAATCGGATCACCAGTTTTCATGAACGACTAGAAAAAGAGAAAATTACATGGATTAAATAGTCAATGAGTTTAACTGATCAATGGTTGTAAGGTGAAATCGGTATCATGTTAATCCTTAGACCCTACAATAGTATTGTTTTAATTGATCATTAACAATAGTAAAAAACCCTATTATATTGATAGCCTAGCTCTTGATGTCAGTGTCTTGGGATTGTAGTGTCGGGGGTCCTGGTGTCTTTTACTAATCCTAGTCGCTAATACCAACATCCTCGTCTAACTTATCATAACCATCTGAAATTCCATCGCGACAATTTAAATACCCTACATATCTTAGCACCCCTAAATATGACTGAATTCAACGAAGAAGAAATATCAGTTAACCCTTATGCTGATAAGTTTTTCCCCAACTCAAGACAAGTATGGAGAATTGCTTCAAACTTGAAGAAATTAATCGATGAAATCATCCCTATTCAATTCAAAGAAGAAGATATAACGCAACCCAACTCACCAATTATCAATGAACAAGTGATTTCCTTAGTTTATGAGGCTGCTGGTGGAAGAGGAGATGGGAAATTAGGTTCATCATCTCATAGATATCAAGCTTCAATCGTTTTCTGTTTGTTAAAAGTTTGTGGATGGTATTGGCAACAATCAGAATTCGAATTATATGACACGGGTTTATTTAATTTAAGAGCTATTGCTGCACAAAACTTAGCTGCTATTATCATTGATAGAACCACTAATGATGAGTATTTGTTCTTAGCTATGTTATGTCATAGATATTCAATCTGTCTTAATGATGAAGATTCTGTACCTTTAAATGTTATGGAATTAGCTGTTGATATGCATTGTACTACAGTTATTGGATCTTCAGGTTATCAAAGATGTATCAAATGGTTATGGAGAGGTTGGATAGTTCAAAGTGAGAAGGATCCTTATTCTTATGAATTATATAGAGGTGCTTCATCTCATAAATTATCTACTCATTTTAATCCTTCCAGAGTTAAAACTCCTTTATATCAAAATATTTTGGAAATTTTCCTTAGTTTGGTTTACCTTGGTTTGTTTTCCATCGTTTTGAATACTCATAATTTACCAAGTGAAGGATTAGATGTATTTGAAGTACTTTTCTATATCTTTACATTAGGTTTGATTTCTGATGAATTGATCAAATTTTATCATATTGGATACAATTATTTTGGTTTCTGGAATGCTTTTAATGATGTTATGTACTCAATTGTTGCTGTAGCCGTTGGATTTAGAATTGCTAGTTTGGTTCATAACAATCCTAGTAAAGAAATTTATGATGAAATGTCTTTCAGAATCTTATCTTTAGCTTCACCAATGATGTGGTCAAGATTATTATTATACTTGGATGCACAAAAATTCGTTGGAGCTATGATTGTGGTTATTAAGACTATGATGCAAGAATCTATCTTATTCTTTGTTATGTTGTTCTTTATTCTTGTAGGATTCTTACAAGGATTTTTAGGTTTAGATGCAGCTGATGGTAAAAGTGAAGAAACCAAAGCTATTTTCCTTTTCTTAGTCAAAAGTGTTATTGGATCTTCAGGGTTTGCTGATGTTGAAATGTTAGTTCAACCTTATGCTTCAATATTATATTTTGTATTCACATTTGTTCTTAGTGTTATTTTGATGAATATTTTAGTGGCTTTATATTCAACTGCTTATGCTAATATTGTTGATAATGCCACTGATGAATATTTTGCTTTAGTTGCACAAAAAACTTTAAGATATATTAGAGCTCCCGATACTGATTTATTCATTCCTCCATTTAATTTGGTAGAATTCCTTTTAACTCCAGTTTTTGCTTTTGTACCTTATAAATATGTTAAGACCATCAATCATTTCGTATTATTGACCTTGTATTCACCATTATTGTTATATATTTCCATTGACGAGTTATCAAATGCTAGAAGAATTCATTATAATAGATATAAAGGATTAGCTGATGATGCTAATGAAATCGATACCGAATGGGACTTAACTGATGGATATGTTGATTCAACCGGTGATGCATGGGATGCTATCCAAGAAAGTAATAGTCAAGTTTCCCAAGCTTTACAAGATCAAAGAAATGCTGAAAATGAAGATCCTGAATTCAAGATTAATCTTATCGAGTTCCATGAAAAGATTAAAAATATTGTTCAACCAGTTACCGAAGCTCATAAGGTTGGTGTCAAATGGGAATTAATGGAAATTTACACAAAGATCAATAAATTGACTGAATTAGTTGAAGTAGTTGTTGAAGAGAATAAACTCTTGAAACGAGCTGCTAAGGTAGAAGCTGCCAAAGTTGAAACTAAAGAAGAACCAGTTAAAGAAGAACCTGTGATCAAACAAGAACCGGAGAAGAAGAGCAAATCTAACGAATCCGTCAAATCTAAGGATTCAAAGAAATCCAAGAAGAAATAGTGTTTAGGATAATGTTTACCAAGTGCCATTCTCTATGCTCACCTTCTGTTTTCAAGTAAGCAGAATCTGTTTATTTCTCTTGATCAAAAGACTATCAGATCTACTCTGTTTACTCCCTACCTACCTACCTACTGACCCACCCCCATTGTAACCTCGTCACTCCACCATCCTCTCCAATCCCACCAACCTCCCACCACTACCCCTGTTCTCCGTAACAAGTTTGCAGCCAGTCGTGTCCCAACTGACAAAAAATTTTTCTTACTACCGCATTCTATCAATTGTGCAAAGATCATTAAACGTTAGTAGTTAACAGTATAACCATTACTTCATTGAACATTGAAGAAATCTCCCAATCAAAACTCCATAATTCCACTGTATCTATTAACATCAATCATAGTGAATCCCATCCAAACCGAAAATATTCAAAAATATCTCATATAATCGATCTATCAAACAAAAATGACAGACGTTAAATCGGTGAATAATGGGTTCAAAAATGGTGAAAACATACAATTTGACTACAATAATGCAAATATTACTAACCCAGTAGAGCCCAATGGCCATGTACTGAGCAAGAAGAAGAAAAAGAAGAAAAAGAATAAAAAAGTAGACGTTGAAGCTACTTTAAATAATCCTCATGATGATTATCCTACTTCCAGAGTGATAAAACAAGCCCCTGATGGTAGTGTTATAGTAGAAAGTATAGAGGAAGAAGTTGAACAAAATCCAGTAACTGATATATGGTTTCATGATTTAACTATTGATGAACGTAAAGATTTATCTAAATTTTGGGAAAGTCTACCAGGGAAAGATAAATCTAAACTTGCCAAAATAGAGAAAGCTGAATTATTAACAATATTAAGAGCAGAACCAAAGACCAAACCTCCTCAACCTCATAGTCAATTAAATAATCTGAATTGTAATTGTAGTCATTGTGGTAGGAAAAGAAATATGATATTTAATGAAATTGAAAGAATGTATGATGATTATGAAGATGATATTTATGAATTTATTAATCAAGTTATTGATTTAAAAGATCTACTGAAGTTACCACATCATTTATTTAAAGATTTTAATCAATTACCTAAAGCCATGAAACCTATAAATCCTCGAGTTCAATTACCTCCACCAATTGTCCCCCCAAATTCAGCATCATCCAATAATCCTAATATTACCAATGGTTCATCAATGGGTTCATCAATGGGTTCATCAATGTCTAAATCGATGGCTCCTCCTTTATTATCACAGATATCAAGACAAATCTCCAGTAATTCATTGAATAAACTTCAAATAGATCAACTCGATCAACAACTACAACATCATCATCAACAAGAAATTATTAATGATATAAGAAACCAACCTCCAACTGCTCAAGGTATACTACAAGAATCAAAACTTTTGGATCAAAAAATTGATTTTGGTAAATTAGATTTAGATATGTTCAATAATCCTTCAATTGATAAACAAGAATTACTTAATAAAGTATTTGACCAAAAACTTCATGATGCTTTAAGATCACTTGATTTAGAGAAATTTAAATCTTTAACTAGAGAAAATCAAGCAAGTGCCATTGAAGAAGTTGGTGAATTGAAAGAATTTATGAATTCTTTAAGAACTGCTGATAAATCCGAAATCAAGAAATCAATTGATTTTATTGAACATATGGCAAAAATGTTTGATATAAATTTACATGATCCAAAAGATGTAGCTAATGCTGCCAGTATTTTCAATCATCTTGAAGGTGATAATCAAATGAAAAATGGGTTAAATAATTTAACTGATGATATTATTCAATCTAATGGTCAACATTTCATTAAAATGATGGAAAATTTATCAAAATCAAGAAATTCAAGAGAAACTTTATTAGAAATGACTGATGAGAAACCTTCAATTGTTGAAGAATCACCTGTTTATGAAGAATCTGACAATGAAAATTATGATATTGAAGAATATAATTCTGAAGATGAACTTGTAGATGAAGGTGAATTAATAGATGGTGAAGATTTCGAAAATCATTATCATAGTCATTACCATGATTCCGAAAATGATTATGAAGATGATGAAGAAGATGAAGATGAAGAGGATGATGATGATTATGAAGATTATGAGAATGTTGGTCATGAATATATTAAAGAAAATGAAATCAGTGAAGAAGATAAATTGAAAGAATTACGTCAACTTTTCTTAATGCAAGTTATGAGAGTATTCCGTCAAAGATTGAAAAGTGCTTATAAAGAGAAATTATCTCAAGATAGAACTCAAAGATTAATTGAAGAATTAGAAGCTGAAGAGAATGCTAAGAAGCAAAAAGAAGTAAAGAAATTGAAACAGAAAGAAAAAGCAAAGGAGAAGAAGAAAGCTCAACAATTAGCAAGAGAAGAAGAGAAGAAGAGGAAAGAAGAGGAAGAAAAAGCTAGAAAAGAAGAAGAAAAACGTAAAACTGAGAAATTACAAGCTGAACAAAGGAAACGTAATGAAGAATATCAACGTAAGAAGGAAGAAGAGAAATTAAGAATCATTGAAGAACAGAAAAGAAAGATGGAATTGAAGAAAGCTGAAGAATTGAAGAAAAAGCAAGCTGAAGAACAAAGAAAAGCTGAACAATTGAAGAAAGCTGAACAAAAGAAACTCGAAGATGAAAGGAAAGCTGAATTAATGAAAGTTGAACAAAAGAAAGCTGAAGAAGAAAAACAAAAATTATTGGAACGTCAAAAAGAAGAATTAAAAATTAAAGAATTTGAAGCTCAAGCCAAACAGAAAGAACTTGAGAATGAAAGGTTACTTAAGGAAAAATTAGAAAAAGAACGTGAAATCGCTGAAGCGGAAGCTTTATTGAAAGAACAAGAAGCTGCTGCAGCTAGATTCAAAGAAGAATCATCTAATGATGCTGTTCCTTTAAATAACCCATTGTACAATATTTCCGGTAACAATACTTCCAATTCGACCCCTAAATTGGATAATAGTCATTGGCCAAGTTCTCCTTTCAATCAACCACAAAACCAAAATTTCAGACCTTTTAATAATGGTTTTTCATTCAATGACCCATTCAATACCACTGGTGGTTTGTCATATGGTGTTACTAATGGTTTGAGTGGTTCTTTGAATCAACCATCAGTCAATGGTTCTTTGAGCGGATCTATGAATGGTTCTATGAACGGTTCTTTGAATAACGGTTCCTTGAACAACAATTCTTTGAACAACAATTCTTTGAACAACAATTCTTTGAATGGAACTTCAATGAGTGGTCCTTCCATTGGTGGCTCTTTGAGTGGTCCTTCTAATACTTTGAACAATGGTTTGAATAACGGGTTGAATGGGTCAAATGGAAACGGAAATGTAAATGGTGAGTTAAATAACATGTTGAACAATAACATGATGTCCAATGTTCCTCCAGGTTTGAGTCCATCATTACAAAGATTATCCACCACTTCCCTCAATACCTGGAGTGAAACCCCCAATCTTATGAAACTCAATTCCAACTTTTCATCATTTTCAGGATCTTATAACAATTATGGATCAATGATTTGGAATGATCAAAATCAACCTGATCAATCTAATCTTTCACAAAACTTATCTCAAACCAACCTTTCCCAGAATCTCACTCAACCTAACATGCCATCCAATCTTTCCCAAAATCTTTCCCAAAACCTTCCACAAAATCTTCCACAAAACCTTCAAACCCTTCCACAAACCCTTCCTCAGCAATTACCCAATCAACCACCTGACCAAATAGTCCTCAATGCTGTTTACAAAGCTTATCATACTTTAGCCAATGCCAATCAAATCTGGAATGGATATGCTAAAATATCCACTTTATATCAAGCAACCATCAACATTCTTCCTCAATACCAACTTGATTATTCTCATTTCATTACCATCATCTCCAATCAATTAGCTATTTCCAATTATAAGTTTGAATTCCTTTATGATAACTATCAAATCAGTCACATCAAGATTGGATCAGATCAAATATCACCAATGTTAAATAATCGCTTCAATCAATTCCCTGTGAACCTCAGTAATGATATGATTAACTTTAACCATCAGTTATGAATGAAATGTATAATTTACCGTAAAATTTCCCTATATCTTAAGATCTGGTGGATCTCTCGATACTTTGATATCTTACGACATCGATGTCGTGAATGGCGATGTCCAAATTAAAACGCGTTGAGAGTTTTTCACCTTTCAAGCAATGCCAAATATTGATTTTGAAAAGATTTATTTGAATCAGTCCAAGACTAGTGGACGTATGCGTATAGCTGATTCCGGATTGGGATGGAAGATGGCTTCAGGTGCCAATGGAAATCCTCCATCTCAACCATATTTATTACCATCAGAAGAAATCTTATCATTCCTGTGGTCGAGAGGTTCAAGAGGTTACGAATTGAGAGTTCAAACCAAAAATCAAGGAGTGGTTTTATTAGATGGATTTGATGTTGAAAATTTCAATGAATTGAAACAAGAATTACAAAGAAACTTCCAAATTTCTTTAGAACATAAAGAACATTCATTAAGAGGATGGAATTGGGGTAAGATCGATTTAGCCAGAAATGAATTAATTTTTCAAGTCAATAATAAACCAAGTTTTGAAATTCCATATTCAGAAATCTCTAATTCCAATTTAACTGGTAAAAATGAAGTTTCAGTGGAATTGAATTTAGAGAACAGTAATGGTAAAGCCGGTGATGAATTAGTTGAAATGAGATTTTATGTTCCAGGAGTTATTGAAAATGAAACCACCACTAAAGTTAAGAATGAACAAGGAGAAGAAGTTGAAGAAGAAGAAGTTGAAGAAATTAGTGCAGCTTCAGTATTTTATGATCAATTGAAAGATAAAGCCAGTATTGGACAAGTGGCAGGGGAAGCTATTGTTTCATTCAGTGATGTATTATTCTTAACTCCAAGAGGTAGATATGATATTGATATGTATCCAACATCCTTAAGATTAAGAGGTAAAACATATGATTATAAAATCCAATATAAACAAATTGAAAGAATATTTTCATTACCAAAACCTGATGATTCTCATCAATTACTTATTTTACAAATTGATCCTCCTTTAAGACAAGGTCAAACAAGATATCCATTTTTAGCTATGCAATTCCAAAGAGATGAAGAAATTGAAGTTGAATTGAATTTAACTGATGAAGATTATAAAGAAAAATATGAAAGTAGATTAAAGAAAACTTATGATGCCGAAACTCATTTAGTTATGTCTCATTGTTTTAAAGGATTAACTGAAAGAAGATTAATTGTTCCTGGATCTTTCCAATCGAGTATTTTACAACCAGGTGTTTCATGTAATTTAAAGGCTTCAGAAGGTTATTTATATCCATTAGATAGATGTTTCCTTTTTGTTACTAAACCAACAGTTTATATTCCATTTAGTGAGATTATTAGTATAACAATGTCAAGAACAGGTACTGGAGTTTCAGCATCTCGTACATTTGATTTAGAAATCAATGTTAAAAGTGCATCTCATGTTTTTGGTAGTATTTCAAGAGATGAACAAGCTACTATTGAAAATTATTGTAAATCTAAAGGTTTGAAAATTAAGAATGAAGAAAAAATCGCTAAACAAATGTTGGCTAAAGCTATTAATGAACAAGCTGATGATGACGATGATGATGAAGATGTTGATATGGGTAGTGCTGGTGAAGAAGATAGTGAAGAAGATGTTGATTTCAAATCAGGTGATGATTCAGATGTAGCTGAAGAATTTGATTCTAATGCCTCAGAATCTGGTTCTGATATGAGTGATGATGAAGGTGATGATGAACCACCTAAAAAGAAGAATAAGAATTAGTTCTTTTGTATAATACACATTAAGTGATTTTTTACTCTATGGCTACTTTACTCTATGCCTAGTTTACTCTATGGCTAATTAACTCTGAGACTTTTACTCTATGGCTAATTAACTCTATGACTGCTGACTCACTCTGATAAGTTAACCATACCTTCAGACCCCACTAGCAAACTACAATCAGACAATAAACCCACAAGACAAAAACAGACACTTTCACAAAGACAATCGTTCACAAGACACTCAACAAACCTCTATCACAAGCTTGAAGGACTTTACAACCAAGATGTCTCATCAATCGTTTCATTTCTCATCAATGATCATTGTTAAAAAAAATAATTGTGATTTAGACGATTCATCATTGTCCCTTATCAGGGTCCGTCTACCTCATCATCCAAACCCTCCCATCATATTGTCATCGATCAACTGTTCTTCACAACGTTTTATCAGAGAAAATAGGTTGATACGCGGTATGCAGGAAAAAATTCATTACATTTCCTAAAAGGGAAATTGCAACAAGCAGATTTAAAAGCTTCAAAAAATCCTCTTTAAAAATAAATTAGTTGAAATCCTTAAACGTAGTTACTGACCAGCCATCACAAAAGACTTTCCCAATTGTTTACTTAGTTTGGCTGATTGTTGAACTAATTGGTTATTGTGGTTACATAAACTTTTAGTTTAAATCTCGGAAGTGATTTTTTAGCAAGATCCCTTTGTTGCCCCATAAAATTTTATATAAATGATGGATTCAGTCAAAAAATTAGATTCAGTCAAAAAATTAGATTCTGATAATAGTGTGTTAGAAGATTATTTGATTGCTATAGATTTATATTCACAAATTCCTGAATCAATGTCAATAGTTCAAGAAGATATTCTTAAAGTGAATGAGAATACTGATGGTATTCCTGCAAGGTCACCTGCTAGAAATATAAAGAAACTCCAAGTACCAAATTCTCCAGAAATCCTGGATAGTTCATCAGTAGAATATCAAAGTTATGGTTCAGATAGATCTTCATTTGCATCAATTTTCTCTGATAATGAAGATTTAGGTGAAGACAAAGATAAAATTGATCTTGATACTGAAGATTATGAAGAAATTTTAGAGTTATTAGATTACATTAATGCTGATGATAGCATAGTTCAAACTGTCGATGAAGTTATCAATATTGTTGGTATATTTTCGGGTATAAGTCCCAAAAAGGTTTAAGTATACCTTTAACTACCCATTAGGGTTGTTATCATACCATTTATTGTAACATCATGTATATTAGTAGGGTCTTTCGTTTATAGATGTAGTTAATCTACAATCTGCGGTATATGTCAAATCTGTGCGGTACATCTCTGCGGTACATCTCTGCGGCATATCATTAAGGCGTCTGGTGATTGATGGTTTCGGACTATAGAAGGCGTACTTGAAATCCATTTCAAACGAAGCAGGTCGTCCCATCAATTTTTCCGGGCCTATCTAATCAATCCGGAAAAATTTGACTTTTCTCCTTATCGAGATGGGCAGAAATCCTCCATCAGAAATTTTGACATAAACGGGGAATCCATCCTTTCGGTTGTCGCACCAAAAATTTCCAAAGATAATCATGTCAGTGGATTTGGGACTGGTCATTTACAGTGCTGTAAAGCCCATTTTCAAGATCTATTTCATCGTAGCATTGGGATTTTACCTTGCAAAGAAGAATATCTTGACGGTCTCCACTTGTAGAGATATTTCAGATACGATCGTAACGGCTATCTTGCCATGTTTAGTATTTGAAAATATAGTTGCAAATTTGAAAAGTTCTGATATCAAGAATTTGGGAATTGTATTCTTCACTGCTAGTTTATTATTTGGAACTGGGCTCATCTTAGCATATATAATCTTCATAGTCACCAGATCACCAAAAAAATGGTTAGGGGGATTATTGTCAGTAGGATTATTCCCCAACATTTCAGATTTACCCATTGCTTACATGCAAACCTTATCCAATGGAGGATTAGTATTCAGCGATGCTGAAGGTGATAAAGGAGTAGCTTATATTTGTATTTTCCTTGCAGCTCAAGCATTGTTTCAATTCAGTTTCGGACTTTATGAACTTATCAGTTGGGACTTTAGACAGGAATTAGTCGACGAAGAGAATCAAATAGAGAAGGATTTAACCAATGAAGATAGTGAAAGTGGTAGTGAAAAAAGAGATAGAAGGAAAAATTCAAATGAAATCACCGAAGATACTGATGTTGACAGGATAAGCCTCCCAAGGATAACCACCCCCGAAGATGAATTATCATTCGATGATGATTTATCAATAAGTAGTTCATTAGCAGGAGAAGTAGAAGCACCTCCGCCAACAGATATAGGTCAAAGTAGTATCAATGGATCCCCAGTCCGGAAACTTAGCACCAATCGTGACTCAATATCTCAACAATTGAGTAGAAGAGTTAGTAGAATGAGACGTAATTCAGTATCGTCTAACCCTGGTCAGAATATCTTACAACCAACCAGAAGTAGAGATTTAAGAACATTGAAATCTCAAGATATGAATGATGTTATTAACGAATATTCCGAATTCGATACTTTAAGAACGGCTGAAGCTCAAACTGTTCTTTCATCTGCGGGTGAAGGAATGGTATTAGTTAAGAGTGTTTCAGCTAAAAGTCAACATGTACCTTTGAAACAAAAAGTTAAGAAAAGAATCATTTCAATGCTTAAGAACTTCATTTCTCCTGTGTCTTTTACATTAATCTTATCAATTGCTGTGGCCATGTCACCACCATTAAAAGCATTATTTGTTAAATCAACATTTCATATTCCAAATGCTCCTGACGGTCAACCTCCTTTATCATTCGTCATGGATACAGTTTCATATATTGGTAATGCATCAGTTCCTTTAGGTCTTATCTTATTAGGAGCTACTATCGCTAGATTAGAGATCAAATCTATGCCTGAGGGTTTTTGGAAAACTGCTGTAGGTATAACTATTGCCAGATTAGTCATATTACCTATCATAGGTGTAGGTATCACCACCGGTATGTATAAAGGTGGATGGTATGGAGATGACAAATTATTAAGATTTGTTAGTGTTTTAGAGTATGGATTACCAAGTGCCACATCTTTAGTGTATTTCACAGCTTTTTATACCGATCCTAATAGTAAAACACATGTTCAAATGGACTGTTTAGCAGTAGCATTGATTTTCCAGTATACTGCATTATGTATCACATTACCTTTCTTGGTCAGTTTCACCATTAAAGTATCCCTTGGATACTAAAATTATTTTTGCATTAAAAGGGTTTGGGTAATATATTAATTGGATCTGTCTATTCGCACCATTTATTGGTATTATTTGTCGTCAACTCTCCTTATCAATTGCTCTCAGTTTTTATAGCCTGCAACGTCATTTTGCAGCAATTGAGGTTCGCGATTTCATTGACAGCAATTTCATCAGTTATTTATAAAGTGACGAACGAAACCTTTGATCAATTGAAACAAAAATGGCTCTTTATTACAGTTTAGTATTTGGATTATTAATAGTTGAAATTGTATTTTTCACTATCTTATCATTACCTTATCCAAGAAAGATAAGAAGAACAGTGTTGACCACTGTTTCAGCCCCATTCAGAAATGAAAAATTTCAGATTGCATTGAAATGTATTCTAGGATTTGTTTTAATCCTTTTCATTGATTCAGTTAATAGAGTGTTTACTGTTAACAATGAATTGAGTGGTTTCAATCCTAATGGAATGAATGGGATTGTTAACGATAGATCTGAAATTCAAGCCAGAAGATTCTATTCTCAAAGAAACATGTACCTTTGTGGATTCACCTTATTCTTAACTATGATATTGTTAAGAACCTATTCATTGGTTGCTGAATTGATTGTTACTAAAGATAAAGTTGATGCTTTATCAGCTGATGGTTTAGAAGAATCCAAAACCAATGATTCTAAGAAAATCACTGCTTTGAAAGAAGAATTGGCTGCTAAAGATCAAGAATTAGAACTTTTAAAAGAAAAAGCCGAATCTCTATCTAAAGACTATGATAGTGAAACCAAATCTAAGGTTAAACAAAGAAAGGCTTAGAGAGACTTTCTGAGACAGGTTCTTTTCGAGAAAGTTCCTGCTTAGACTGAATTCCTCAGAAGCTACATATAGATGAATGTATGTTATTGTCTAATTATATGAGTTACTCTTATGTTTAGGAGTGAAGTTGAAATTATCACCAGCTTTACCTAAGAACATTTCGGTGATTTTGATCCAATCCTTGTAATCAGTTGATCCCAATAATGTCTCTAATTCATTTCTACCTTTCCATTTTGGTGGTCTTTCGTTCATTTTGGGTGGTAATCTTTCTAAAATCCCCACAGGAATATATCTATGAGTGAAACTAATAAATTCACACATGAATCTTCTAGCTAAACCGACCCCATATTCATCAGGACCCCAATGTTGAATAGCAAAATCAGCATATTTCTTATAGATTTCTAATCTTTCACTAGCAGATTTATCCAAATATTGTTTAGCTTCAACTTCTTCGAAAATCCATGGTTTAATTAATGCTCCTCTTGCAACCATAACTGAATCAATACCTTCAGTTTCAGTAGCTTTATACCAATCTTCCCATGTGAAAACATCTCCATTACCAACAAATTGAACTTTTTGTTTATCAGTAGCTTCTTTGTCTTCTTCTTGGTTTTCATTGAATTCTTTAACTACTTTAGCAGCTTCGGCAATATAATTCCAATCGGCTTCTTTAGTATATCTTTGTTGTCTTGATCTTCCATGTAAAGTTATAGATGCAATATCTCCTTCATTCAATAATCTTTTGATCAATGGAATGGCAATATTCTTACCATCTTTAGTACCAGTTCTCATTTTAACTGTGACTGGAATATCACCAGAACAATAGTTCATACCTTTCAAGATTCTGGCTAATCTTGATGGTTGTTCCATTAAAGCTGAACCTTGACCTTGACGATATAATAAATCAATAGGACATCCACAATTTAAGTTCAATTCTGATACAGAAGAAGTTTCATTGGCAATTAATTCTGCTACTTTGGTGGTGGCCCAATGTTTACTACCGGCAATTTGAACCCCGAAACCAGGATATTCTGAACTATGAGCTTTTGGTAATGCCCATTCAGAGTTATAACCTTGAATCAATGGTAAACTTAAAGCCATTTCTCCGTAAGTAACATCAGCACCTAAAGTTTTCATAAGACGACGATAAGGTAAGTTCCCAACAGTTGTTAATGGAGAAACTATCTTTGCTCCTTTAAAATTCAATTTCTTCTTTTCAGCTTTCTTTAATGGTGCTTCAACATAACTTGCTTGGTTCTCTTTAACTTTTTCTAAATGTTCTTTGTTATCATCATTGTTGACTTGGGAGTCTAACCATTTAATCATCAGCTCAGCCTTTTCATGGTTATATTTCTTTCTTTGTAACAATCCTCTGGCGTCGACACTTATTTTGTTGACTTCATGGTTATCAATGGCAGCTTGTTCGATTTTGGCTAAATCTTTAACTAACTTCTTAGTTTCTTGATCATAATGAGATCCTAACCATCTACATTTCAACCCAGCTGGACAATATCCGATAGCTTGATAAACTGGACATACACCTTCTAAATCTTCTCCTTTGGCTGCAAGATATTCTTCAACATCATGAGTGTTACTACAATTTTCCCCATGTTTACATTCCCTGATATTATCTGGATCTAATAAGGTGGAACAAAGTCTTACGGTTTCTCTTACTTGTCTTAATTCTCTCTTTTTGTTTTGTCCTCTTTGTTTCTTCTTTTTACCTTTACTATTATTATTATCTCTGTCGTCTTTATTTCTATCACCAGTTTCAGCTTCATCATCGTTGTATACGGCGCTGACCGGTTCGGTGGCGATTATGAATTCGGGTTTAATGGCAGCATATCCCTTTTCATAGCCCAAATCTTGTTTCTTGGTGGAAGTTTCTTCACCTTCAGTAGTTCTTTTGACTCCAGACATGTTGAGAATTTCTCACTGATGAGATGAGATAAGGGTGTGGGGGCAGAGGGTTGATATGTGGGTGGGCAGTTAGGTTGGGAAGAGTAATCGAATTGGTCAGTAGGTCATGGTATGTGTTGGAAGGATATGAAAGTATTTAGAGTAGTGGATGTACAGAGAATCATAAGTTGATAAAGAGCCTCGTATAATGGCTGCAAAGAGTTAGTGATGGGTAGGAGGTAACAAGTCACCATTTGGCTTTACTATGTGGATAAGGATTTTATTGACGATACTGTGTACTTACTCCGTACATAGAACAACGTTCAATAGATCTAGCTCCGTATCAATTGACGGATATACTTTCAAGTGCTTGCTACAACAGCATGTTTTCGGCCAACACATCTGGTTGAAGCTTCTTAGAAGTCATTCAGACTCCATTCAACACCATAAACATCACAATCTCCCTATCCGCCTTGACCCTATCATCATCCATCCCCTGGTGCACTCTCCCTAACTCTCTGCTCTTCTTCAAATCATCTCTACTCATCGCGAACTTCTGTGGAAAAAATTTAAGCGATGGTTGAACCAGTTGAAAAGAGAAGGAAATTAGTCGATTCCAAGGTTCCAAAGAGTTCCAAGGTCTTCAGTCCTTTCAGAGTTTTAGGAAATGTCTCTAATGAGATTCCTTTTGCTATTGGAAGTTTAGGTTCCACCTTCTATGCTGTCACATCAGTAGGCAGATCATTTCAAATTTATGATGTTTCCACATTACATTTATTATTTGTATCACAAACCCAAGCTCCTTCTAAATTAACAGCCTTAGCAGCTCATTTCCATTATGTGTTTGCTGGTTATAACAACAAAATCGGGGTCTATAAAAGAGGAAGGTTAGAACATACCTTAGAAACTCCAGGTCAAAGCACTATCAAACAAATCTTAGTTTTCGGAGATTTCTTGATAACTACCACCACTGATGGGGATATTCATACTTTCAAGAAGAAAAATGGTTCCAAATATCCTATAGAATTGCATTCATCATTATATACCATCAATCTGAAAATCCATGGTGACATTGTAGGATTGATTCATCCTCCTACTTATCTTAACAAGGTGGTAGTGGCTACTACTCAGAACATCTTCATTTTGAATATTAATACCGGGAAATTGTTATATCAATCTCCAGAGAATCAATTTGGTGAAGATATCACATCTATAGAATATGCTCCAGCTTTGGATATCATAGCTATTGGGACCGCTAAAGGTGGTGTTTTCTTATATAACATTAAGAAAGGAAGAATCTTAGGATCTAGAATTATGGCTGCTAATGAAGATAGTGGATCCAAGGTTGTTTCATTATCTTTCAGAACCGATGGATCTCAACATTTAGTAGCAGGGTTAAGTAATGGTGATTTATTCTTTTATGAGTTAGAGAAACAAACTAGAATCCATGTAGTTAAATCTGCTCATAAGGAAAGTTCTGGAGGTATTGCTAATGTCAAGTTCCTTAATGGACAATCTATACTTGTTACTAATGGTGGTGACAATAGTTTAAAAGAATTTGTGTTTGATCCAAGTCTTTCCACTACCAACAGTGCTGTCATCTCCCCACCAAGATTATTACGTTCTAGAGGTGGACATTCTGCACCTCCTATTAAAATAGAGTTCCCTCAAGAAGATAAATCACATTTCATTCTTAGTGCTTCTTCTGATAGATCATTCTGGTCTTTTTCATTAAGAAAAGATGCCCAATCGCAAGAAATGTCTCAAAGATTACCCAAAACAGGTAAAAGGGTTGGGGGTCAAGTTCAATCCATGAGAGAGAAATTACCTGAAATCATCGCCATTTCATCTAATCAAGCAAGAGAAGGTGATTGGGAGAATATCATTACTGGTCATAAAGATGAAACGTTCGCTAGAACTTGGGATTCTCAAACCAAAAGAATCGGTAAACACCAATTGAATACCGTGGATGGTGGATTAGTCAAATCTGTATCCATGTCTCATTGTGGGAATTTCGCCATGGTAGGTTCAAGCAATGGAGGTATCGGTAGTTATAACTTACAATCAGGTTTACTTCGTAAGAAGTACATGTTACACAAGAAAGAGGTCACAGGTATAGCCATTGACGGTATGAATCAAAAGATGGTGAGTTGTGGATTAGATGGAATTGTTGGATTTTACAATTTCGCTAAATCAACTTATCTTGGTAAGCTTGATCTTGAAAGTCCTATAACTTCTATGATTTACCATAAAGGGTCAGATTTAATTGCTTGTGCTTTAGATGATTTATCAGTTGTTGTCATTGATGTTGTCACCCAAAAAATTGTCAGAATCTTATATGGACACAGTAATAGAATCACTGGATTAGATTTTTCTCCTAATGGTAGATGGATAGTGTCAGTATCATTAGATGGTACTTTAAGAACATGGGATTTACCAACTGGTGGATGTATTGATGGTATTAATTTACCTTCAGTTGCTACAAGTGTGAAATTCTCCCCCATTGGTGATTTCTTAGCCACTACTCATGTTACTGGTAATGGTATTTTCCTTTGGACTAACAAATCTCAATTTAAGCACATTTCTACCAGACATATTGAAGAGGATGAATTTTCCAATATCTTAATGCCTAATATTTCCGGTGAAGGAGGATCAAATTTGATCGAAGGGGCTTTAGATGAAGAAGAAGGTGAAGGTGAAGAATTCATCAAAGATGGAGAATTGAAACAAATTGATTCAGATTTGGTTACGTTATCTTTAGGATCTAAATCCAAATACAGAACATTATTACACATCGACGTGATTAAACAACGTAGTAAACCATCAGAGGCTGTAGAAAAACCCAAACAAGCACCTTTCTTCCTTTCTTTGACTGGACATGATGTTGGTGATAGAGCTATTGAAGCTGAAACTGGAATTGCTGATAAAATGGCTGTTGAAGAAGAAAGTGACTCCAAATTATTACAATATAAAAGTAATGGTGATAATTTTGAATCTGAATTCACAAGATTATTAAGACAAGGAGGTGATGATGATGATTATACTAAATTCTTAAACTATTTGGTAGATTTACCTCCATCAACTACAGATTTAGAGATCAGATCATTGAATTCCTTCCCTCCATTGAATGAAATGACTAATTTTGTCAATGCCTTAACCCAAGGATTGAAAACCAACAAACATTATGAAATCTATCAAGCATTATTCTCCATGTTCTTAAAGAATCATGGTGATGTGATTTATAATAATGATGGTGAGATTGAATTATTGGGATCTTTAGAACAATTTCATGAAACCAACCAAACCAAAAAAGATGCCTTGGATGATATTACTCGTTACTGTAACGGTATAGTTGACCTCATCACCACTGTTTAGATTTAATGCTCCGTAGTTAATGTAAAAATAACCACACTGTCAAAACCACTCTCTCAAAAACTCTCGTCAGGTGCGAAAACCTTCAAATCTTACACAACCTAATGAACATCGAAGTGATACGACCAGCTAGTCGGTTGAACTCCACGGCTAACATTAAGATCACTGCAATTGGATATGTTAATGAGAAATTATATGTAGGGTTTGGTAATGGGGATTTAGGAGTGTTTGATGTTGATATAACCTTTATTCCTGAACAAAGGAAACCTCAACTGATAAGATCTTTTAAAACTTTAAACGATATAAGGACTTATTTCAGTGAAACTAAGAGTTCTAATTTCACTCATGATATTACATTTCCCAACATTAATGGTGACAATACTTCAATCAATCGAATTGATATTATATCCATCAATCAATCCACTAATAGAACCATCTTTGCAATTGTGAATAATGACGTTATAAAGATCTTTGAAAAAGTAGGAAATCATCTTAACCTCGTACAAGTCATAGAAGATTCCAAATATTTCCAGGAATTGTATTTCTATGAAATCAATGAAAAGAAATATTTAGCTTTAGGTATAAAGAAGAAATTGATTATCTTACAAATGATATATAAAACCAGAAACATCTTCCAATTCCAAAAAGTTCATGAATCTTCATTGAAAGAAAGGATAAAGGCCATCAATGTGATTAATCTAGACCATGGAATTCAACTTATCATAGGTTTGAGTAATGATTTCATATTAGTAGATATTAATAACAATTATTCCATTACATCAATATTCACCGAAGATAACGAGTTGATACAAAATTTCAATAATACATCGTTCAGTTACTTTGGTTTGACAAGTAGTGGTCCATCTATATGGATCATAAAGATAAATGATGAAGAGTATTGTTTAATTAAAGATACTCAATGTATTATAATCAGCTATAAAGACTTGAAATTCACAGTTTCTCCAAGTAATATTAAACTTCAGACGTCACCCATTTATGTAGGTTTGATAAGTCCGTCATATTTATTCATCATGTATACCAAAAAGGTGGAGATAGTAGAAATCGATAGTGGTGATTTGATTCAAAAGATTTCTCACCTGATCAATTCTAACAACATTCCAACATTCTTGAACCATTCCTTTGTGTTCTTGGGAGCTGTCAATGATTTGTTGCAGTTCAATATTTGCAGTTATCAGCAACAAATCGATCAATACTTGAAATTTGGTGTTAATGATAATAGGCCAAAGAAAGACCCTGCCACTGATTTGTCACTCATAGGTTTGAATAAGGCTATTTCATTCGTTGAAAAATTAGATGAAGAGGATGAATATTTCGGGGGTACAAGAGTCAGTAAGGAGAAACGGAAGCAATTATTTTTACGAGACTTATATAAAACCAAAGCCATCTTATTATTTGAACGGTACTCAAAATATCACGAATCTTTGGTGGGTATTTGTAGTGAATGGTTGATATCCTATAAGGACGTTCTTGACTTATTCCCGGAATTCTTGTCCACAAATTACTATCTTGATGATAGAATTGATCCTGAGATCTTGAAACTGTCAAAGAATTTCATGAAAAGAATCAAAGTAGAAGATATCGAGCAATTGAAGTATTCGTCTGTCACTGCAGATTCTGCCACTGAAGCTGATGAACAAGATCCATCTAAGGCTACCTATAGAGTGTTACCAACTAATATCTTTGGACAAACCAAGGATCAGAATTTAAAGAAATTTAATAAAGCTGTGAATAACTTGATAGTATACTTAACCGATCAAAGAAGAATACATCTTAACTTTTCCCATGAAGAAGCTTATAGGTGGAAATCCATTAATGTCACACCGTTTGATTTATACGATTTCGTGACACCTGAAACCTATAAATACAGTTTAGAGCAAATATCGAAGGAAATCGATACTTCCTTGTTTTTGTGTTATTTCCATTGCAAACCTATGTTATTAGGACCTTTATTGAGATTACCCAATAATAAATGTGATTCCAAAGTTGTTAATGATTGTTTGTTGAGCAATGTTCATAACCATCAGTTCAATGAACCTAACTTTATCAAGGAATTACTCGATTTTTATTTTGGCCGTAATTTGCATCAAGAAGCTTTGGACATGTTGTTCAAATTGAGCCATGAAGATGTCAATCACGAAGATGAATTTGATGACTTCTTGAGAAGTCCTAGTTTGACCATTCAGTATTTACAGAAACTTGATAATAATAATCTCCCTTTGATATTACAGTATGGGAACTGGTTATTGACGGAGAAGAACCAAGATATTATCGAAAATGCCAGATTAATCTTCATGAATGATACTTATGAGTGTGAAAGTTATGATAATTTTGAAGTTTTAGACTACTTTAAGAATGATATACGTAATGAAGAGTTATCGATAAAATACTTGGAATGGATTATCTTCGAAAGCGATTTAGGTGAAAATCCATCCAAAGTCTCAACAATGGGACAATTCCATACAAAACTTTGTGTTTCGTATTTATCATTATTGAAGAAACATAGTAAAGAAGAGCTCTCAAAATTTGAAAATTTGCCTACTTATAAGAAATTAATGGAATTTCTCAAGACTACCGATTTATATGAACCTTGGGCTGTGTTGAAACACATACCAACAGATAATGTTAATTTCCTCAGATTCACTATCTTCATTTATAAGAGATTAGGTGAACATGATAAATCAATTGATGTATTATATAATCAGCTAGATGATTTAGATGGTGCCATAGATTATTGTGCTGAGATTTATGATTACCATAATAAGAGGCAAGGTTCAACTTTACTTCATAAGTTATTGGAAGATCTTTTAATGCATTATAACGAAAACACTGATAACATTGAGAAACTATTGATCCACCAAGGATCGAAAATGGAAACTTTAAAGGTGTTGACCGTTCTTCCTAATTCATTTCCAGTTAAGAAACTATCAGATTATTTGAATGAATCCATTAGGAACTCCAAGCAACAATTAGTTGATACCAGATTGTCCAGTCAATTGTATAAAGTAGGATCAATCAAATTACAGCATGAACTTTTAACCACCCAGAGTAAAGGATATCTAGTTGAGAGCTCGAAGAAATTATGCTCAATATGTAACAAGAGGTTAGGATATTCCGTCTTCACCGTTCATGATAATGATAAAATCGTTCATTATGCCTGCCAACAAAGATTGAAATCTGGTATCTAGGACGTGTGTTTACCGATATTTTGAATGAGAAACAGGAAAATTGAGATTGAGAAAATGAACGTATTTTGATGATGTCAGACAATGTTGTAACCAATGGAGACGTCAAACCATCGACGATTGATGACAGTCAACCAACTGAATCGTCTGTTGGTGTTACACACAAACTTGAAGATAATTCTGATGAACGTGTAGTGAAGAAAGTGAAGTTTGATGGAGAAAATATCACCGAACAACAAACGGAATTGAAATCTAATGATAAGCCAGAACACAGTCAAAAGTCTGAAGAACAAACAAATGAAGAATCTGAACATAATCATAATCATACACATCAAACCAGTGCACCAGCTCCTCATCATCATCATTATCATAGCCACGTACCACACCATCATCACCATTTCGACCCTGAATCTAATAAAGGACCAATTCCACACATTCATTCGGGAGATCACATCCATTTTGTGGGTAATAGAGAAGGTGAAAAGAATGAAAAGACTGAGGATGGGGACAAAGCGGCCAAAGGTTCTGAAACTAATGAAAAAGAAGCCGAAACTAACGATAAAGAAACCGAAACCAACGATAAAGATAATGAAACTAACGATGAAATACAAGTAGAAAAAACCAATTCTTTCTCCAAACAAGATATTCTTGAAGTCGTTCGAACAATCTTTCCTCACCGTCGTCATTTAGGGGCACTTGTTTATAATCCCACCACCACTTGGTTGACCTTACAAACATCACAATTAACCGGATTAAAAGATGAACATTTTACTAAGTTTGAAGAATTAAGAGAATCTTATAGAGAAAAGTTAAAGGATGAATATTATTCCAGTGCAATCAAATATATTCCTGTCATACCTCCATTGCCCACAGATTATATAAATTATTTATTGGAAGTGAAAATCCCTTACAGATTCGTGAAAACCTTCCTTAAAGAGTTATACAAGGGAAACATAAGCAAAAAGAGAGAATTATGGGGTGGTGTTGATGGTGTTTATACAGATGATTCTGATATTCTTACAGTATTAGCGCACTCGGGATTTTTCGATAATACTATTGACCTTTCACCATGGAATAAAGGTTGGACTAAAGATGATATCATAATACCTTCTATCAATAAAGATAATGAAATTAAAGGTGATTTATCAGTAACAATCTTATTATTACCCGGACTCAAAAGCTACGAATCTATATATTCAAATGGAATCAATTCTCGTAGTTGGAAAGAAGTCAATAGACATGATGGGTTATCCTTTGCTATCTTCAACATTAAATGGGAGATCGAAGGCAGTTATCTTCGTGACAAATCATTCTTCAAAAGATATCAAACGGAATTATCGTACGATGAAAAGTATATGAAACAAATGTTAGAATCTAAAGATGGTTGGACATTTGACGTTGCCCTTTACAAAGAACTTAAGAAAAAATTCGAAACCAATGAAAAAACCTCCTCTACTTAGTCATGTAATATATTTAATAACTCCCTTGGTGATGACCCCCTCTAAGCGTTTTACTGCTCTCCCCAGATTTTGTAACTTCCTGATTTCGTAGCTAAAAAATGATATCTCGGGTAGTGTGGAACCCTATTCAGTATCATGAGCTATGCTCGATTTTTCTAGGGATTTAAATTATTCCAGGGTTCAACAGGTAGGTCAGTTTGAGTAGTTTAACCCCCTGTTAACATAAGATAAGAAGTGTAGAAACAATTTTATACCATAAGTTTTGCTATCAACGTATCAAAACCTTTCATTAGCATCGTAGTAAAAGACATTTAGGAGTAAAATCTCATCGTGTGATAAGATTGTTGCTAAAAAAAGAATAAATGAGTCAAACAGTTAAAAATTCTCCATCTTTTACCAATGTACCGACTTTGAAACACCAAAGTAGTACCAATCTAACAAGTCCGAAAAAGTTAAAGAAAGTTAATAGTTTTTTCAAAAAAGCTTCAGCAGAGTTCAATTTATTCTTATTGAGAATAAAGTCATTGGGGGACGAGGTCTTCAGTGAGAATCAAGTTATTAGTGAATTATTCATAGAAACTGATAACGACTCAGTATTGGATAGATTAGATAGACATTCTAAAGGTTATTCAATAATAGAAGAAAGATTCTTATCAGAATATAAAAAACATAAGACATTAGATAAGATGTATGAAAATTTTCAACATCGGACAAATAATGAAGAAGACCTTAAATCTTCAAGTACAGCATTTTCAGAAAATCAACTTCGTTTTGATTTAAAAGATGTTATACGACAAACAAATTCAACCAATGGAACTACTCTTGGATCTCCATTAATCAATGAGACCATGGGTGATGAAGATGATGAGGTTGATGAAGATGATGATATTGATCAAATAGATAGTGACCAACCTCCCAATAAAGAAAAAGAGATCAATTTCGATAAAATGGAAAATAAGAATGGCTTTAGTGATGTTGATTTCATTGAACTTCGTAAGTATCTTGAAAAGGAAAAATTTCAAGAATTGAAAAATGAAAATATCGGTGAGATCTTATGGGAATATAGAAGAAACCAATGGACAACTGGTAATGTAGATCAATCAAAAATCGCCGCATCAAGATTATTTTTTGATCAAATCCCTAAAGATTCTTACGTAAAGGTTTACAATAATTTGGTCGATAAGGGAAGATCTTTGAGACCTGATAGGAGAATAAACTTGTTTGATTTGATGAAAGTTATCAATGCAGGTTGGGTAGCAGAAGAGAAATGGGAAAGAGCTGCTAAGGGTTTAGCATGATAGGTAGATTGATAGGTAGCTTGATAGGTAGGTAATAAATTTATTTCGTAGCATTCATTTCTCTATAGCGTGTGGGGTGGAATTGATTGGGTGGATTTTTTGTGTGAATTTTTGTCTATGTCTTAGTTTAAGCCTTTGTCTGAGGATTCGAATCTTTGGCCCCCTAGAGGTTGTCCAGTCTGTTGAGCCTCCTGAGCCTTGACTCAGGTCCGTTGAATATTCTCCAAGGTTTTCTCCAATATTCGTAACTCTTGATCAATGAGCTCACTATTCTTCTGAAGCTTATCAACAAGATTCCCCGTTTTCGATTGTTGCAACAGTTTGTAACATTTATTCATCCTTTTGACCAATCGCTTCTTATCGTTCAATAAGTCCTGGAAGTTAACGGAAATATCCTTGTTTAATTGTCTATTGATCTCATTATCTATCTGATGTATGGTGGTGATTTTATCTAATGAAGATGGCCCATTGATGTCATTTCGAGAATTGCTCCTTATTAATGTTTCGAGACTTTTCTGTAGCTGTGCTGAAAGGTACTCTGATTCCTTCAAAGATTCTCTTTGAGTTTGTTTTGCTTTCAATAATAAATTGGAGTGTTCATCCATATTCGCACTGATAAGACCAACGATGAATGGGTTAAATCCTCAACGTTTAAAGGCAGAAGATTTGTTCTTAACCACTTCAGAATTAAGAGACGTGTCAATTGATGAATTCTATGAAACAATTCAAACTAATCTTCCGAAATCAATAGATTTGACTTACTCATTGATCCATCATCAACAATCAATTGATATCATATTACATCTTTGGGAAATCAGATTATTACTTATATTATTCAACAATAAGTTAAACCAGGCCAAACAGGAAGCTATAAACCTTAACAATGTATTGTATTTGAACGAAAATAATAATGTTCCTCCTCCAAAACCTCAGGTTATTTATCCTTTACCCAAGAATAATAATGGTGAAATATCCCATAATCTACTCATCCTTCTTTTAAGATTGAAATCAGTTCCAAATTTATCTTTGATCAATGATTTTTACAAACTTTGCTACCAGTTAAGATTGAAAGAACATTCGAAATTAATATCGAAGAATCTCATCAACTTGAGCTTCGATATTATGGTTATCCTCATAATTAATAAGAATTACTACACATTGATGAACTTCTTGGACAGTTTACTCAATGAAGTGGATGATGCCGTTGTTAAGAATAACTTAAAGATTATCAAAATTATTATAGATGTGTTAACTATGATATCTAATAATACACCTAAAGAATCAATTGACAAGATTATTAGAGAAAAATATTCCGACATTGAAATCGACGATTCAGCAAAATTGACCTTGGTTTATATACTAAGAAACATAAATGCTGTTTACTCGGTAGAAAATGATCAATCCTTAGATATTTCCGTTGATGATTTGACATTAGAAAAGTTAATAGAATTATGTTTGAACGGCAATATTTCCGGTAGAATAATATGTTGTACTTTTGGATTATGGGACTTACAAAATGTTTATGATTTCAAATTGTTAAATGAAGATGGAAATTTGAAGTTCATCAGTAATATTGAAACTAAATCAGAACCTACTCTTGAAGATTGTTTTGAGAAGGTACGGTTACAATGGTGTGATAACTTACAAAGAGTATACGGATTGGAATAATCTACTGGTCTCAATTTACTATATCAAGTTCCCTTTCAAATGGAACCCCACATCACCACTATACCACTACATATAATCAAATAAATAATTTTGCACCCAAGGGCACAAACCCTAATCTCTGAGATGTACCCCTATGTGACTGCGAAAAATTGTCTCCCTCACAATTTCAAAAATGTCTCCCCAAATTCCTCAGTAAAAAGATTTTTTACCTTTGAGAATTTTTTGAAAAATTATATTGAATTAAATTTAAAAATGGCTGTTCAAGACGTTGTTACCCGTGAATATACTATCAACTTATCTAAAAGAGTATGTAATAATAACATCAGATGTTTCATTAGATCAAATTGAGAATTCAAATCATCTAGTTTCAAAGAAAATACTGAAATAAAAGTTTATCATGAGAGATGAGAAGAAAACTAGGGAAATCATCAAAAGGATCACAATAACATAACAACAGAGTCTAATGAAAATGAAACAATCAGAAAAACAAATTGATACTAACAATTCTAGTTACACGGTATTCATTTCAAAAAGAGAGCTCCAAAGGCTATGAAAGAAATCAGAAAGTTCGCTACCTTACACATGGGTACTTCAGATGTCAGATTAGACCCAAGATTAAACGTCGCTGTCTGGAAAAGAGGTGTACAAGGTGTTGAAAAAAGAATGAGATTAAGAATTTCAAGAAGAAGAAATGATGAAGAAGATGCCAAAGAAAAATTATACGCTTATGTTGAACCAGTTGTTGTTCCATCAGCTAAAGGTTTACACACCGTTGTCGTTGATGAAGATGAAGCTTAAATTTAACCCATAATAAATCATAATCAAGAATTCTTTGTAAAAAGTATTGATGTATAATAAGGATCTAACCATTCTTAAGATATTTAATTAATGAATATTTTAGAACATCTATAATATCTCTGATCGAAGGTAAGAAGCGGAGGGTTGTTTGAAGATGAACGGGGATTGTTTGAAAATGGCGTATAAGATGGTTGCAGTATATGGTGAGCATATCAGATATGATAGGTCACTGGTGATTGAGAGATGATACATCACTGGTAATAAATCACTGGTAATACGTCACTGGTAATTGAGAGATTGGTAATAAATTCCATTACCTGCGCTCTAACTCTACATTACTCTGCACCTCTAACTCTGCAATAGTTCACAAAATTGTCCAGCTAAAATGTTAGTTTATGTTCATAATCGATAAAATCAGTGTAACTATGACAAAATTACCATTTCATTGCAACTTGACAGCAAGAACCAAAACGGCCTAAATCAAGAAATTAATTTGCTCTCTATGGTATAAAAAAAAAGTTCTTCATCATATTTTATCAGTTGAATTCTTACATACAATTATTGATACGTCTAGTGTACCAGTGTAGGAAAGGTTAAGATGAAGATTTCTGTGAGAGGTTGAAGTTTTTTTTCACTCGATGGTTTCCGGGTAACCTTGTTGGAGTGAGGTTGAGGTTGAGAGAGTGTGTGTGTGTAACTTAAGGAGTTAGGATGGATGATGAAGTTGAAGGTTGTGAAAGCATGGTGGATATGATTGTCAAATCAGTGGATTCAATTCTAGGAAATTGGAAAACTATGGAAGGGTAGTACAATACACTGTCTGACAGACATGAATCTTACCAATATCTATCTAAAAAACTCCTATCCCTCAAGTAATTGCCACTTAACTGATTGATTTGATCTTACGAGCTCAAATTAACCCTTACTACGGTCTCTTGAACCTCCCTTACTTCCCAGTATCACCTGCCCCTCCCTACAAGTCACTAATGACTCGAGTGATATTTTCACAGTCACCGAGGGACTGCGAATTCTGGGGAAAAGTGAAAGTTATCAACCATGCCATCCATAGAAGAAGGTCAAACTTCCATTATTACCGTGGGGAACTTGAATTTCATCAATGACCCAACGATATTGACTTATGATGAAGTCCAAATCTCCATGGAATTGTACTTAAGATTGTTTTCCAAAGAGTCTAACAATAATTATGTGTTGGTGAAATTCTTAGGATCAGATTATTTCCACGATTTTAAGTTATATAAGATCAACAGTATAAACCATGACTCCCATTCCAATGATATTACGTTCTTAAATAACTCCTACTTGCTTCAATTCAACAATCAGATAACTATGACTACTTGTTTAGTCCAATCCATTAATGAAGAAGATATTCCTGATTTAGATAACATCTATGTTTCCGTACCCACTGAAGTGTACAGCATCTTGAACTCCAAGACCAGTGATTCTATTCGATCCAGTTTCCTTAATAAGTTCTTGAAATCCGATGTTGTTTCCAAGAATGATATCATTAGATCAATCAATGGTGAGGTGATATTATGTGAACCTGTTAATCAAGGAAGAATCAATGAGAACACCAACATTTTCATCATCAAACATGAAGTGGAGAATAAAGTCGTTCCGGTAGAAGATAGTGATGATGAAGATAATATTCAGTTGTCAAACTATTTGACTTCTTCCTTAAATCTTGATATTGAAGATGTTCAGTACACCAAATTCAAGATAAAGACCTTGAAAAGAAAAATCATTGATTCTCCTATTTGGAAGAAGGAAGATGATGAATTGTTTGTTTATTTGAATAATAGTGATTTGGTTAAGTTAGGTTTCCCTATATTCAATGGAGATTCTGTATGGTTGAACTATGGTGAAGATAAGCTTTTGGTGAAATTATTCACCATTATCGAACCTAACAGATCTTTAGCCTCGGGGTTTTTGTACGTATCACCAATCTTATCCATAAACTTGAATTTAAACAGTCACTCAGAAGTCAACTTAGAGCCATGTAAACTGAAAAGTCTTCAAATTTCAAATATTGTCCCCGTAGCCAAATCAGTCACTATTTCCAGAATTGCATCACCAATCACATTAGATAAAACCTATCAACAACACTTCTTTTCGGGCTTGAAAACATCTTTCCATTCGGCTTTCAAGATCATTAAAGCTGGTGATTTCTTACCTATCACCATTGACTCCATTATTTCAAAAACCATGTTCGATTTAGCTAGTGAAGAAGATACTATTCCTACGGGAGATCCTGACTCAGTGGCTTGGTTCAAGATTAATGAAGTTTTAGGAGAAGATGATCAAACCGGTCAATTCATGATTGATCCTTTAAAGACTAGAATGATCTTATCAGGAGTCGAATTTGTAAGACTTCCTTGCAATGAGTTCCATAACTGGTATGAGTATTTATCCTTACCACCATCATTCAACTACAATTCATTGCTTGACAGTGGGAACTTTACCTACGCCAAAACCTTGAAGAAAATCTTATTGACTAACCTTAACTCCAAGATCAATTTGAAGACCACCATTTTATTACATTCGATGTCTCGTGGATTGGGTAAGACCACCTTAATTCGGAATTTGACAATGGAATTGGGGATCAATTTGATAGAATTAGATTGTGTCAATTTCATTAACCCTGGTAGTGAATTGAAGACCGTGGGTTTGATCAGTGGTCAAATAGATAAATTGTTAAGCACCGAACCTAATGATTCATCTTTTAATGTCATTTACTTGAAACATATTGAGAACTTATGTGTGGAAATCAATGAAAACGAACAAGGATCTAATGTTTCAACCTCCTTGACTTTGAAAATCATCACTATGTTGAACTCATACTTCTCTCGTTCAAACGTCATCATTGTTTTCAGTTGTAATGACATCGATAAGTTAAATAACAATTTAAGATCATTGATCAAGTTCCAGATCAATTTCAATGTTCCTAATGAATCGGAAAGATTCGAAGTATTCAAATTTTTGATCAACAACGAGTTCATTGCAGAAACTAACTTTGTGGATGAATCCAATGGTTGGACTGGTAATTATAAACAGTTCCCATTTGGTATAAGGAACGATGTCAGTTTCCAGAATTTAGCTTTACAATCAGCAGGTTTGACACCGAGAGATTTGATTTCCATAGTGAAGAAGGCTAAGAACCTTGCCACTAAAAGAATTTCCAAACTTTGTAAAGTTGAAGGTAATAAGAATCTTATTATGGAAAAATTGATTAAAATTGGTAATGGAGGTATCATCACATTAATACCTGAAGATTTTAATAAAGCCATTAATGATGCTAGAAACCAATACAGTGATTCTATTGGAGCACCTAGAATCCCTAATGTGAAATGGGAAGATATTGGAGGTTTAGATTTGGTTAAAGATGAAATCTTGGATACCATTGATATGCCTTTGAAACATCCAGAATTGTTCAATAATGGATTGAAGAAAAGATCAGGTATCTTGTTCTATGGTCCTCCTGGTACAGGAAAAACCTTATTAGCCAAAGCCATTGCAACCAATTTCTCCTTGAATTTCTTTAGTGTTAAAGGTCCGGAATTGTTGAATATGTATATTGGGGAATCAGAAGCTAATGTTCGTCGAGTGTTTCAAAAGGCAAGAGATGCTAAACCATGTGTTATTTTCTTTGATGAATTGGATTCTGTGGCCCCTAAAAGAGGTAATCAAGGAGATTCTGGTGGTGTTATGGATAGAATTGTATCACAATTGTTAGCGGAATTAGACGGTATGAGTGGTGGAGGTAGTGATGGTGAGGGAGTGTTCGTTGTTGGAGCTACTAACAGACCTGATTTGTTGGATGAAGCTTTATTGAGACCTGGAAGATTTGACAAGATGTTGTATTTGGGTATTTCCGATACTGATGAAAAACAAGTCAAGATCCTTGAAGCATTAACCAGAAAATTCAAACTCTACGATGATGTGGATTTGGATAAGATAGCTGAAAAGTGTTCCTTCACATTCACTGGTGCAGATTTTTATGCTTTATGTTCTGATTCCATGTTGAATGCCATGACCAGAATCGCTAATGAGGTCGATAAGAAGATCAAACAATTCAACAGTGATAGAGTTTCGGGTGGTGAACAAGAAGTCTCTACTAGATGGTGGTTCGATAATGTTGCTACTATTGATGACACTGATGTTGTTGTGAAGATGGTAGATTTCTTAAAAGCACAAAATGATCTAGTACCTTCAGTTAGTGCTGAAGAATTGGATCATTATTTGAAGATCAGACAAAACTTTGAAGGAGGTAAGAAGGCTGCACAAGGTGAAGCCGTACAAAATGGATCAAATGGTCATGAAGAGTTTGCCAATGGATTACAAATAGGTTCCATTGATCTCAATGGGGTTGAACTTAATGGTGCTGAACTTAATGGAACCGAACTCAATGGAGTTTCTAATGGAACCGGACTCAATGAACCTGAACTCAGAACCGAACCTACGTCAAACGGGCATTAATCGTAAATTTCTATATACAAGTTTTCTAATTATTTACTTCTGAACATTTCTGATCCCTTACTTATTCCTGAACAAATAACTCCTTTCTAAAATATCCTTAGCTTCGTTGATTTTCTGGGACAAGAACTGACTACCGTTTTTGTCAGGATGATTCATGATGATTAATTTTCTATATCTATTTTTCAAAAACTGTTTATTTAAATTGACTATATCGTCACCTTCGATCCCCAAGACCTTCAAAGCTTCCTCTTCGGTCATTTTTGGCTGGAATCCGGTGTTAGGATAACGATCTCTAATAAATGAATGTTGAGTGGAATGGGGATGACTATGATCAATACGGGTTGATTTCTTGATGGTGATATTATTGAGGGACGCTATCATCTCTGGTGTAAGGTAAAGGTACTTCCTGTATGCTGAGATGGTCGTTTTAACCGTTAATGCTAGTAAGGAAACACCAATACCTGCTATGATAGGTAATACCATTAGTGCGAAGATAAGGATTTGAGTTGGTGGATAAGGTAGAATTTTAGTTGGAGGGCGATGAATGACGATCGTGGTTGAGAGGTCCCATTTGTGATGATAGGGGTCCAATTGGACATATTTTCAATTTTACGAGTTATTTTACTTTTTTATAGTCTGAATAAGTGATTCATCAGTCATCGTATAGAATTTGTGAAAATCACAAGATGAATTCAAAAATGAAATGTTGAAATTAAGAAACAAAATGATCATTTACTCTTCAAATATCATCAAATCACTAAAAATATTCGTTATTTATGAAAATCACCTATAAATTTTCACTTATCATCGAAATAAAATATCGGGGCCAACTCCGAGTTGTGCGCGAACCAACTGATAGAGATGAGTTAGATAAAAACCACCACTAAATGATCATCAGGTAATGGTCAGCATCAACCATGTTAATGATCTGATAACTCCAATACTCAAACAAGCCATTACATCATCAGATCATGGCCATCATCATACTTAATGATAAAATCGGCTTAAACGCATAAGTCTCAGGTGGTATCAACTGATTCGAAACGTTCCCTGAGATTTTTCACTCAAAATCTAAAAATCAATACAATTCCTTCAATTGATGACCAAATTCAATCGGAATAACTTCCCTGGATTACTCTGTACCTGAACTACCCAATGTCCCATCTATTAAAATCTGACGCTCAAAAACAAAGGAGAAATTAATCACCTCCTGGAAAAACGGATAACGTTGAACCGTCAGAATTCTCAAATACTCAACTGATGGAAAAAAAAAATTTTATTATAAATTGAATAAATCCTCAATTGGTTCAAGTTTTTTTTCAAATTATAAAATTTATATAAATTAACAATGTCCTCATCATCATTAGCCTGGTTATCTAAATTAGATACTGCTGAAACTCCAGATAAAAATTTAAGAAGATCATCAATCATTGGTACTATTGGACCAAAAACTAATAATGTTGAAACTTTAGTCAGATTAAGAAAAGCTGGTTTAAACATTGTTAGAATGAATTTCTCTCACGGATCTTATGAATACCACCAAAGTGTTGTTGATAATGCTAGAAAATCCGAAGAAATATATCCAGGTAGACCATTAGCTATTGCTTTAGATACTAAAGGTCCAGAAATTAGAACTGGTACTACTGTTGATGAAAAAGATTATCCAATTCCACCAAACCACGAAATGACTTTCACTACTGATGATGCTTATGCTAAAAAATGTGATGACAAAATCATGTTTTTAGATTACAAAAATATCACCAAAGTTATCACTCCAGGTAAAATCATTTATATTGATGATGGTGTTTTATCATTTGAAGTTTTAGAAGTTGTTGATGAAAACACTTTAAAAGTTAAATCCGTCAATGCTGGTAAAATCTGTTCTCATAAAGGTGTTAACTTACCAGGTACTGACGTTGATTTACCAGCTTTAAGTGAAAAAGATATCAACGATATCAAATTCGGTATTAAAAACAAAGTCCACATGATCTTTGCTTCATTTATCAGAACTGGTGATGATATTTTACAAATCAGAAAAGTTTTAGGTGAAGAAGGTAAAGATATCCAAATTATCGCTAAAATTGAAAACCAACAAGGGGTTAACAATTTCGATGAAATCTTAAAAGAAACTGATGGTGTTATGGTTGCCAGAGGTGATTTAGGTATTGAAATTCCAGCTCCTCAAGTGTTTGTTGTTCAAAAACAATTAATTGCTAAATGTAACTTAGCTGCTAAACCAGTTATTTGTGCTACTCAAATGTTAGAATCAATGACTTATAACCCAAGACCAACTAGAGCTGAAGTTTCAGATGTTGGTAATGCTATTTTAGATGGTGCTGATTGTGTTATGTTATCAGGTGAAACTGCCAAAGGTTCTTATCCATTTGAAGCTGTTTCAATGATGCACAATACTGCTTTAATTGCTGAAAAAGCTATAAGTTATTCAACTTTACATAATGAATTAAGATCTTTAGCTATTAAACCAACTCCAACCAGTGAAACTTGTGCCGTTGCTGCTGTTTCTGCTGCTTATGAACAAGATGCTAAAGCTATTGTTGTTTTATCAACTTCAGGTTTAACTTCAAGATTAGTTTCCAAATATAAGCCAAATGTTCCAATTATGATGGTTACCAGAAATGAAAGAGCTGCTAGATATTGTCATTTATATAGAGGTGTTTATCCATTTGTTTATCCAAAAGAAAAAGTCGAAAACTGGCAAGAAGATGTTGAAAACAGATTAAGATGGGCTGTTTCTGAAGCTATTGAATTAGGAATTATTAAAAAAGGTGATTCCATTGTTACTGTCCAAGGTTGGACTAGAGGTTCTGGTCACTCTAACACTGTTAGAATTGTCCAAGCTTAGATTTATATTTAATTCACGTTTACTTTCTCTTAGTTTTTTTCTCGTGGTGGTGTAGGCGTTCTGGTGTTCTGGTGTTCTCATAGTTAAAGAATATACCAAAATTTAGTGCGAAACTGAAAATTTTGAGGATGTTCAAGGTCAGTAGAATCACAAGGTTTTCAAGATGTCTTGTAAGATATCAATCCAGTTCCAATGGTCCACAAACTACTCACTTTGGTTATAAGACTGTTAACAAAGAAGAAAAAGAAAAATTGGTGGGTGATGTATTTTCATCGGTTGCTTCCAATTATGATATTATGAATGATGTGATGTCAATGGGTGTTCATAGATTATGGAAGAATCATTTCATCAACAGATTGGATTGTGGGATGAGACCAGGGTCTAATAAACCTTTAGACTTCTTGGATGTTGCTGGAGGTACTGGTGATATTGCTTTTGGTTTATTAGATCATGCTGAAAAGAGATTTGGTGATAATGTTTCAACCATGACGATTGCTGATATTAATCCTGATATGTTAAAAGAAGGTGAAATCAGATACAGAGATACTAAATGGTTTAAAGAAGCTAACCAAAGAGTAGAATTCTTGGTCCAAAATGGTGAAACTTTAGATAAAATTAAAGATAATTCAAAAGATGTTTATACTATTGCTTTCGGTATTAGAAATTTCACTAATATTCAAGAAGGTTTGAATCAAGCTTATAGAATTTTGAGACCAGGTGGTATTTTTGCATGTCTTGAATTTAGTCAAGTGGAAAATCAATTGATCGATTCAATTTATCAATTATATTCATTTTCATTATTACCTTTAGCAGGTCAATTAATTGCTAATGATAGAGACAGTTATCAATATCTTGTTGAAAGTATCCGTAAATTCCCTAAAAAAGAAGAATTCAAAGGAATGATTGAAAAAGCTGGATTTTACGTTCCTGAAAAGGGTTATGAAGATTTGACTTTCGGTGTTGCTACAATTCATATTGGTGTTAAATTATAGTCTTGTAAATAATATAAATCAATGTTCTACTCTTCTAGATAGGTTTAAATGTAGAATATCTTGACAAGTGGTCGAAAGTGTTGAAAAATACATTCATATTTTTGAAATCTGAAAACTTACAAAAAAGTCCGTGATAGTTTAGTGGCTAGAATTACCGTTTGTCGCATGGTAGACCGGGGTTCAATTCCCCGTCGCGGAGCACTTCTTTTTTTTAATCAGGTTTCATCTTTTTTATACATTTGGTATCAAGTACATGATGTGTGATCTTAGATAATGCAATTGAGTGTAGAAAATCATGGAAGTCTGGAAAGTACATGGAAGAACTAAAAGTCCGGTTGTTCTTTCCATGGATGTGAAAAGAGAAATCAATTATTGAGAAATTTGAATCTCATCGCATGAGTAGAAGACAAGAGATAAAGGATAAAGAGATTCTACAGTTGAAATTCCAATCAGCCATTCAATCCAACAATGATATGATAAAGAAGTGGTTGAATCCTTCTTCAAATAGCCAAAGTCCAGGTCAAGGCAGTAAGGTCAGTGTCAATGGAAGTGTAGTTAAAGATGAATCGAAAAGTACTGGTACTAATGAAAAATCTAACGAAACTTTCTTTGGATTACCCGTAATAGCTCCAGGTAAGAGTTTAAGTACATTAGCACAATCTGAAGGTACTATAGGGAAATATCTTGACGGAAAATCAAAAACTAATAATACTTCTCAACCTATGAATTCTTTACTTAACAAATTAAAGACCAGTCAAAGGAATGAAAGACAAAATAATAAACAGTTTACTCTCAAGAACCAAAAAATAAGTAAGAAACCCAAAAAGACCCATAAAGTAGAGAAACCATCAGGTGATAACTCAAGCGACGAAGAAGAAAAAACCTTCACTACAGCTAAAAAAGCCAAATTATTATTTTGAAACGAAAACCGGTTGCAGGAAATCTTCCTAGGTTGTCAAACCGACAAAAAAACTAAACACGTCATAAGATAATCATGAATACCGGGAACCCGATTGTGCGGTTTTCTTTTTTTAACTATGAAGCCGTAAAGTTGCGAGGAGGGACTTTAATCCCCCTGGAAGGCGGTGTGATATATAGGTTTCATCTAAGTTATATATATGAGAAATGAAATATCTAAAATCTGTATTATGTACAAATTATTAAAATCTTAAAAATAGCTTGCTCGGCTCCTCCAGAGAAAACGTATCGAAAGTTGAATCTATTGATAAAAACTGTGTTACATAAAAATTCTGACATCATAGAAAGTACATTTAAGTTGTCGAACTACAATGTTAACGAAAACTCTAAATATCTAAATGGAAAATCTAAGAATGTTTTAGATTTAGATAATGCTAGTGGAGATCTTGAATAATTTTCTCTGTTTTAGTTTGATATTTTACCTATCCACCTGATGAGAGTTTCAAATGCATATAATTAGGGAAAAATAATTTTCCAATAAGGAAAAATCAACCTCCATTAAGGAAAAATCACCGTAATCAGAAGAATTCGCTAAAATCGGTTGTTCTTTCCGCAACATCTTTCGATAGGGAAACAAACTATTAATGAACAACTGCCAACAATAGAAAATTTCCTAAATCAAATGTTCGTTGCTAGCCTCAAATTCTTAGAATGTCTTATTGTTAACTGACTCCTTTTTCTTCACCGGGATCCCTTTTTGGGTATCTGATGTAATGGACGATTGTTGAGGTAAAAAATATTACCAATTGGAATTGCTGCGAATTCGAATATGTACGAAGGGTTAAGTAGGAATTTGATAAGCAGAAAATAATTGCTAGAGAATTTTCCTGATTTCTGAAGGAAAGGGGAAAATTGTGTAAAGGCGATTGACGAGGTTGTAAGGAAGAAGATGATTGGTAGGAGAGGGATACAAGGAGGAAGTGGAAGAAGGAAAGGCGAGATAAGGATTAAAGGGGGTGGGGCTATAGATGGGAAGGTAAGTTTAAGAGAAGAGATTTTCCATGGCGAGGATTTACTAGAGAATATGGCCCGCGGGTCAAGAGAGTAGGGAGATTTCTAGGGAGACCCTCAGGGAGAATTTGACACGCGTTTTGGTGATCGGGCGACTGGGATTTACACCGACGCCTGAGTACTAAAGAGAATAAAAATAGAATATGAAATAGACGGTATGGAGACAATAGAGCATCGGAAACCAGACGAAACAGCGCAATTGATCTTAAGACATGACACGTCGACGTTTTTGAATGTGATATTGGAGGACGTCGATGATGGGTGTTGACGTAGATAGAGAGGCAGGGACATAGATATTTAGATTTAAAGTTTGGAAGTATCGTAGAGACTCTCACAGAGACTCACAAGGACTCACAAAGACTCACAGAGGCGTAGAACTCTAAACTCACTTACAGTCAAGAGATACTGCAAATACAGGGGCCCAGAGAGGCTCCAAGAAAGAGACTTTAAAAACAGAGGATCTGAAGACAGAGACCCCAAAAACAGAGGCTCTAAAAACAGAAAAACACTCTAAAGACACCAAAATTCAATTTGACCTATATATTAATAATCACTCAACTTTCTACGCTTATCGTCATTCCCATCCAACAAGGAATGAATACTGACCTTATTACTATTAGAACTTTGACTTCTCATAATCGGAGAATTCGATTTCTGAGGAGGTGTTGAACTTCTAAATTTACCCAATCCACTAATAGTGGTAGGATTGTTCACCGTTGAGCCAACAACTGGTGAAGATTTGAACTTATCAATTGAAACAATGGAATCTTTCATGGAAACGATTGAATCCTTTTGAGAAATAATGGAATTATCTCTATTGGAACTGTTTGAACTGATGGAAGAAGTGTTTGAAAAAATAGAATTATTGGTTGAAACGGAATCTTGGAATTTGTAGATTTCAGCCAATGAAGGTCTAATTTTATCCGTTATGGAAGCTCCTGATAAGGACCCTGGAATTGGTCCTGAGATCCCTGATAATGACCCAGGTAAAGAATTGGGTAAGGATCCAGGTAAGGAACTAACATGAGGAATGGTAATTGGATGATTTGGATGAGGATGTGAAGCATGAGGATGTGTATGAGAATGTTGACCATGATGAAGTGGATGAGATGGTGTTTGGGCTTCACTGGGAGGTAAACTTCTAGGATACTCTTTAGGTCTTAATTGAAAATTATTGATGGTGTGATTGATTGGTCCTGCCAAAGAATCTGAGGTTTCGTTATCTTTCTTTATGTCATTATCATTTTCTTCTTTGATGCCGGCGATTTTTTCTTGTCCTTCTCTTCCATGACTTGAATGAGGTCTAGGAACTGTTGCTAAAGGATCGTACATCAATGAAGGGTTTCTTGGTCTTTCGTTGGGATTGTTCCAGATTTTTCTGAATTGTAAAGGATTGTAATTTTGAATATTACCACTTGGTGAAGTAGTGGGGGGTAAATGACTGACATTAGTTGGAGATGTTGTTGATGCTCTATGAACAAAGGATGTGGGGGAAGCATTTGAAGGACGATGAATAATTGTCGTGGGTGAGGTGTTTGACAATCTATGTTTTTGATGGTGGGAGTCCTGGGTCCAGTTAGGAGAAGCTGATCTGGAGATTGGTCTATGAGGAACAGGTTCTTTGAGTGGTTTTTGATCTGGAAGTTTTGGAGATTGTTGCGAATGTTGATGGTGAGGATGGGGTGGATGTGGTAGATGGCCTTGAGAATGCGGTTGATGACCTTGAGGATGTGGTTGGGGATGGCCTGGGGGATGAGAATGACCTTGAGGATGGGCATACATCTGATAAGGTACATGTAAATTAGGTAATTGAGATACTTGATGTTGAGGTACAGTAATCCCTTGGCCATGAATAACATGAGGATAATGATGGACAGTGTGAGGTTGGAAATGTAATTGTTGTTGAAGTTGTCCTTGTGGATAAACTTGATATGGTACATAAGGCATCATTTGATCATGGAAATACATTGGATAATAAACATTATCGGTAGGTAACTTTGGAGGATTGGCTTGATTTGATGATTTGTTACTATTGGAACTACTCCTTCTTTTGATATAAATTAAGCCTTCTTCATCATCTTTCTTAAACCTCCCTGAACTATGTTTGAATTCCCAAACTTGGTTATCATTAGAATTGCTAACTTGATGAGTATCATTGACTTTATGAAATCCATACATATGTAATTGACGTACAAAACTAGCAACATTACCATGCTTGAAGAAGTTGGTTAAGATCTTGGAAAACTCTTTCCCTGGCATTAAACTAAAAGTATTCTTAAGTTCATTATCTTCATTCCACCATATTAAATTCAGTAAACTCTTATCACTTAACATTGTGTATAATTTATGGACAAAAGCATTCTTCTTAATCCCTGGTACGACTTTTTCATTTATGGTGGCCAAATTGGAATCAAATTTAGGTTCATTATCATTAAATTCGTTATCATTAAATTTTTCAGGTTGGGGTTTGGGAGATTTTGAACTTTCTGAAGGTGACCTAATTGAAACCACTGTTGAAGGTGACCTGGAACTTTTATTCTGTTCGGTATACTGAGGAGTTAACCTTCCATCAGTATTCAAAATATTCATCCTAGAAGTTTCAACAACGAAAAAAAAAATTACTCTAAAACCGTCTAATGAGATCAATATGTCCCATAAAGATTCTAAAAATAAACTGAGAAATTTGCAATTGTAGAAATTACTCAAATTTACCTTCAACTGTTTCTATGATAAAGAATTTCTATTCTGTGACGATGAAAGCTAAGGAAATTTTGGAATTTTAACGTAAGTTAATCTTTATATACTTTTAGGAAAAACCGTTGGAAATATTTTTTTTTAGTTTAAAAAAATTTCGCACTCGAAAAAATGAAGTAATAAAATAAAAAAAAAAAAACTTTGTCGAAAAAGGAAAGAGATGAAAATAGATTTATGCAGAAGACGCCAAATTGAAAATTGATATTTTTCATGTCAGGAAGAACAGTGGGGGGGACGAGGAGAAGGTTTAGTTGCGAAAGTTAGACGAGTTGATAGAGAATCTGAAACAAATATCAAAGCAAGAGGGAAAAGTATGGAGCAAATTAATACCACGGTTGAACAAATAAAAATAAAGTATAATTGCTTTGGCAATTTCACCGAAACTATTTCTTAAAAGTAAGGTACCGATTCCCTAATAACCGATAATTGATGTTCCGTATGAAATCCTCCATATAAAAACCACCTCACTGTGAAGTCAGAGAGGTGCAGTTAAGAAGCTAAGAGAAACTGCGGTTAAGAATATTCACTGACGATAGTGCAGAGAAGAATATGTTGGAAAATCGATAATCCTGGCTTAACTATGGCGACAGAACAGAAGAATCATATGGACGTTCGACATGGATTCTAGAGGCAGTTTCGAGGCAGTTTACAAACTATGGAACTATGGAAAATCAAATCACTCGAACAATAAAGATTTCCAACTTGATCGGGCCACTAATTCCATCCGTTTGGAACCCAAGTCTTTTCATGTAGCGAAGTTGATTTAACTTTTCCAATTCCATAGTATACGATACTCAAGCAATTCACAGGTGTTTTAATAACCGGAAGGCTCAGCTACATCAAGAACTCGATACGTCACCTTCTTTGCAATACACTATCAATTGGAAATTTTTCGAATTATCTAACCTGCAAAATTCAATCAAACCAAACCTGTAAATCCTTTCGGTGCCAAACTGTAATTAACTTGCAAATCTACAATTTGATTAACATTAGCAACTTCTCAAAATAATTTCCTGATTTCCCGATCAACCATTTATGCGCATCATACATATGCAATCTTTGACTGTCCCATCAGTGCTTCGTATGCGCAACGGTTTTTTATAACAGGGCTATACGTCATTTTTTTCATTTTTTTTTACAATAAATTATTTTTTTTTGTTTTTTTGATTTTTATTGTTCAATTTATTTTTCATCTTAAACGGTTTTCCCTTTTTTTTGGCGAAGCGCACGTCTTTCTGCCTCTGATTGTCTTTTGTTTTACAATACCTTCCATTTTAAGACATCGAATAAATACTTTTTTTACGTGTTAGAAAGTTTAATCATTGTTGAAAACTATTGATTGCCTCTTTATAAATAGAAATAAATTCATGAGATTTTAAACCGAAGGATGTGAAGGCCCCAAAGATGAGTAGCCTTAGAAGTTAGAAATTCACCCATATGAGTGAACAGTAACCGAACATCAGTAACCGAAGAAAAGATAATCGTACAACGGTAATCGAGGGAGCGGAGTAAAAGGAATAGGAGTTTGCGAGAAGTGTAAACTGTGAACCAATAACCTTGGGAGTACCAGAACAGGTATTAAGGTAGATGCGATACCAGGTATGTCATAATATCCACTTACCACAGACTACTGTTCTACATATTAAAAGGGAAGGGCAAAGTATAATTATAATTGAACGGGACTGTTAAGACCGAAAAATAATTGAATAGTGGGACAGTAAAAGTATCATCTCAACCAGACACTGCAAGTTTACTCGTTGGAATATGATTGGAGAGTTACACAGGACGAAAGAGTCAAAGGCTTCATTAGAATAGTTAGAATCGAAAGATTCTTCCAACAGTAAGCCAAAAGGATCTATAGCATATTGAAGGTAGCCGTGTCGAAGGATTCTAAGCAACTCAACTAAAAACATTTAGATCAAATGGCAAGGAAATAGGAGTTTAGCGTATCCCACAATGTTCACAACGCTGGATAGTGACGAAATAGGAGTATGATTTTTTCAGGGTAAAACAGTCAAGTTGAGCGAGACAGGAAGACTAAGGACCAGTCAAATTTAGGCAAGGAGTCCCGTTTCCTGGCTTAGAGTTCTAATCCTTGTTGAGTAAAGGACCCTTCGGCGAGAGGCAAACCCCCAGTAGGACACAAGAATCTTTTTTTTTTTTACAGAATTGTAAGTTTTTTAGGTAAGAAACTTCTAAATCTTATTACTTGACCTTTGATTGAGAGGGAAGGTGCCTCTAGGCGAGAGACTGTTGGGTAAAAGGCTTCTAGTGAGAGAATCTCTGGTGAAAGGCTCCTAAGCCAAAGACTCTTTGGTGAAAAACACGAGATCTCTAGGGAGAGATCCTAGAAATAAGACCTTATACATAAGACCCCTAAGAGGATATCTTCAACAAGAAACTCTCGATAGCCCTTTGGGGAAATACCTCTTAACAAAAGCTATTGGATAAGATGAAAGGGACCAGACAAGAAATCTTCAAACAAGTGATCTTCGAGCAAAAAACTTTAGACAATAAGCCCTTCTACTCGACGAAAGACCTCGGGGTGGAGATCTTCGACAAGAAACTTTTTACAGTGGGCCCTTGAAGAACAACCTCTGAACAAGACACTTTCAGTTGGGAGGCAGGACATATCAGGAAAGCTTTGAGTTGTGGAAACCTTGAACAAGAAATCTTTGAAAAGAAAACTTCCATAGGAAGTTTTTGACAAGGGACCTCTGAACAAGAGACTTTTAGTTGAGAGGCGAAACACCCCAAGCAGACTAGGCAGGTATTGTGTAAGAGACTGGGGACTTCTTTGGTTCTGGAAGAGACCACGGAGAGGCGATCTTCGAAGAAACCTTGAGCAAGAGAAATTCGACAGAACTTCACACAGAACTTCGACAAGGGGCCTTCAGACAAGAGATTCTTAGTTGAGAGGTAAGAGACACTAGGCAGACTAGGGGAGTTTCTAGGGTAAGAGACTGGGCACATATCCGGTTCCATAAGAGACCATGGGCAGGAGACCTTCGATAAGGTTTGTAAACAAAAGACCTCTTTACAAGAGACTATTACCTGAGAGACAAAGCAGGACCCTAGACAAGGAACCCAATACAAGAGACCCTAGCAAAGAAACCCTAGCAAAGTTACCCAGACAACTTCCCTAGACAAGAGACCCTAAGAAAGAAATCCTAGACAAAAGACCTCAACGGACCTCGACTCAACAAGCAGCCTTGGTCAACAGACGCTTCGACTCAACAGGGGGCCCAGGACAGCATGAATTTCTAGTCAGCAGGCAGTTACTTCACGAAAAACACTTCATAAGAGACACTTCACACCCCACACGTTCATCGATTATTTATTCTACTACATTTGCTTTGACTCCCTGATTCTTAATCTTCCACTTAAAATATCACCCACCTTATTCATCTTCTCCCAATGAATGGTATTACTTTTCCTCAACTCGATATTAGCATCCTTATACAATTCAGAAATACTATTATATTCAATCTTAGATCCGATTAACCCGATAACTACATGGTTATCGACGTTTTCAGCCTTTGGTCCATTAACACCATAAATGTCTTCAATGAACTCCATTGACTTTATACCAAAGTTGATGGCATGCATTCTATCCATGGATGAAGGAGTAAACCCTTGTTGAACATGACCAGGAATAGCTGTTCTGGTTTCAAATCTCTTCTTACCGTTTTCTTTCAAAATATCACTAATCAATTCAGTATCATAGATTTTACTACTTAATTCATTTCTGATGATAATTTTACCATTTTTATCTTCACCACGATCATTAGCAAAGATTTCAAAAATCAAACTCAAATCCTCTTGAATGGTTTTTAAGTTGATGGTTTTTTCTGGTGTATAAGTAGCAATCGATCCCGTGACTAAACCGGTAAAACTTGCTACAAATCCACTATGACCTCCTTGAACCTCAACAATGAACACTCTTCTTCTGGTTGATGATGCACTTTGTTTGACAGCATCACAATAATTAACCAATTGATTCAAACAAGTATCACAACCCAAAGAATATTCACTTCCTGGTACATTGTTGGACACTGTGGCGGGGATAACAATCATTGGGATGTTGAAAATCGGATAATTGTTCTTTTCACTATCTAATTGGTGTACAGCAGTGAAACTTTCAAATCCTCCAATTATAATCAAACCATCCAACTTTTGTTGTTGTAAGTAAAACGCTACTTTACCAAAGTTTTCTGATGGTAAGGATCTGTTAGTACCAATTTCACTACCCCCTTTGTTATACCAATTGGCCACATCAATCCAATGTAATTCCTTAATACTATCACTACCATTTTTGATCAAACCATGGAACCCATTTTGAATCCCGAACACTTTATGTCCTTTGGATAAACAATATAAAGTAATGGCTCTGGTACTGGCATTAAGACCAGATGATGAGGCACCAATATGAATAATACCGATATTTAATTGTTTTTCAGCAGGTAAAACCATAGATCCATCATCATAATTCGATGTATGTAAATATTGTTTATAACCATCAGCAAAGTTACTATCACGTAGTTTCATAGCACCATCGAAATCTTTAGCTTCAATGGATGTGGCAACTTGTTTGGTCAATTCAACAGCTTTCATCAAAGGTTGTCTAACGATTTTATTCCCAACAATACCAATCATTGGAGACTCGGTGTCTTTAGTGCTTTCCAAAACTGCTTTAACGGCTTCCACCCCTTGCATGGTACCCAACATTCTATCATAAGCTACTGCAGTACCACCTCTTTGGACATGTCCTAAAGTAGTAATTCTGGTATCCAAACCCAATTCAACTAAAACTGAACGAACATCTTCAGAAGTAATTGGATTTAATTCATCATCAATGGCACCTTCAGCTACAATAACAGTGGAATTTCTCTTACCATAACTTCTATGTCTTTTAACCACGGTTTTCAATTCTTCTTGCCATTTACCAGCTTTTGGAGGTCTTTCAGGGATGAAAATGAAGTCTGCTCCAGTACTCATTCCACTCATAAGTCCTAACCAACCACAATGTCTACCCATAACTTCAACAACGAAAGCACGAGAATGTGAAGTGGCTGTAGCATCAATATAATCAACCATTTCGGTGATTCTTTCTAATGCACTATATGCTCCAATAGTAGCATCAGTTGATGACATATCATTATCGATAGATCCAACTAATCCTACGATGGTTAAATGTTTATAAGGTTCAATTTCCTTTTCAGTAAAATCACCATTTGAAACCAATCTTTCAACCAAACTTGGCCATTCAGCTCTAAATAAATCAGCTCCGGTTAATGAACCATCACCTCCACAAACAATTAATGCATCAATACCATTTTTAACCATATTCTTAGCAGCAATTAATCTTCCTTCAGGAGTTCTGAATTTCTTAGATCTAGCAGTACCAATATTAGTACCACCATAACTTAAAAATGATCTAACATCTTCCCATTCCATCTTCTTAATATAATCATTAACCAAACCTTCATAACCTTCATAAATAGCGAATGCATCACATCCATAATAAATACTTGCTCTAACTACTGCTCTAACTGCAGGATTCATCCCTGGAGAATCCCCTCCTGATGTCATAACAGCGATCTTCTTCTTTTTGGAATGTAATGTTGGTTTTTCATCCTTGGGAGGTGCTAAAATACTCTTTTTGTAACTGATGAACTCTTCAATGGATTTGAATTGTTTCCCATGATACTTATCAGTCAAAGTAACTCTGTTTCCTAATGGATCTTCGAAAGTTTTGAATAACTTTTCACAATTATTCAAGTCACATGTGAAGAATTCCAAATCTTTGGCATTATCAATAACTTCAACTGTAACTAATCTTAACTTGATTAATATAGCATCATTATAATGTTCACAATTATCACCTTTATAAATGTCTAATTCTTGTAACGGAACTAAATCTCCGGTGGAATCCAAATCTTGTAAAGGGAAACTTTCCAACCAAACCTCTTGAACGGAATCATTACTGATACCTAAGGTTTCGAATTGGACTTGATGATTATTCTTATTATAGTATCTAACACTTCTAAAACCAATTGAATTATAGAATTTCGCAGTTTCTTCGAATTTCACTTCATCGTTGGTCACCAACGATATACAACTAATCTTCAGCATTGAGACGTTCTTTCTTTACTAACTCCAATAGTGATGGTAATTACGTTTTATAGGTAGTTTCGCACCATCATCTGATCTGGACAAAGGTTATCCGGTGAGCTTGCGCGACATTTCGAGATGTCCGAGACATTATGGTGGTTTACGACATTGCATTTATATTGATGATAAAGATATGGGGATGAAGAAGATGGTGATGGTAATGGTCATGATAAGCAAAGTATTGATGGGAATGGATAACTTAAGAGAATCGTTGGTAGTTGAGGTGATGTTTTCTCGTTTATCGAATTGATTTTCATCTCCTTTAAATCCATCAGTTGATGTCTCAAAATTGTAATCAGAAGTTGTAACAAAATTCCGTCCCCCGATTACACCGTCACTACTTAAACCATGCCAGATTCCATCTTTGTGCCCATAACTATAGATTCGTCCACTACTATAATCACTGACTTTAAGATTTCTGAAATTCATCACATAAGGAAATTCTCTATAATCACTTAAACCTCCAGCCCATAAAATAGTCCCTTCTGCATTACTTGGATCTCCTCCAGCCCAAAGACTTAATTTTATCGCCATAGGTGATCTAGGAATCCCATAATCATTATCTTTTTCTAGAACTCTTATCAATTGTTCATTACACCACCATTTGATCGATTCAGGTGTCCATTCAACAGTATATCTATTATAAAATTCAATAGGGTTCCTTATTTCATGGTACCCACCCCTATCCCAGGTGGTTGTGTTTCCTTTGATGAAAAAATTAGACTGAAATTGATAAGTATTCCCTCCAAACAACTCAGCAATGTCTATTTCATCTAAATCATCACTTTGTAGGTAGAACGATGAAATGATACCTTGACCAGGACTGGCCTTTATATCACATTCGACTTTTCCATATAAAATATAGAATTCTGAACTTGCCATTGGATTGTCAAATCTTTGATTCAATGACATTTTGACATTTGCACCTTTGAATTCAGGTGAATCTTCTTCTGTTATATCAACATCACCAGTTAGTTTGAAACTTTTCGATTCAAATCTTTCAATGTCTCGTCCCAATGCTTGATTCTGAACAAAGCAGTCAACTTCCTGTAAAGGATTACAGCCCAAGATGGCTCTCAATAGGCCCAAATACCAAAAACAGTACATTTGTGATTTGGTTGCAAAATCGCGATGCTTCACCTTCTCTATGGAAATTTGGACTTTGATTGTGGTATATCATTCTGTCAACACAGTACCCGGAAATGTTTCATAAAGGCATTTTTTATACTACAGTAACACTTCCGGTGACTTAATTTACCACTACAATTATTTCCAAACTCAAATTCCCCCACCATCACCATCCACTGCCGAGCTCGTCGTATAAACCCAATTCCTAAAAAAGCTTAAATCCCGAGAATGCACTATTCTGCACTATGCACCATAATTTGGGTAACATATGACCCAAGACTTCTCATATTACTGTTACAGCTATTAGTTTCCGGTTTGAAATTACCAACATTCGCAATTAAACCTCAAGTCCCGAAATCCCTTGGAAAACAAACCCGTTTGTCAAATCAATTTATTAACTTTGGTTTTGGGTTCAAAGTACTGCCAATGCCCATAATTTAAAATTTGTCTATTTCTTGGGCTGTGCTGAAACGCCATTTTTTGAGAACTTCAAACCATTGATTCCTCACAATTTCCAGTTCACCACCCTCATTTTAAGACCCTCAATAGATCTAAAGCCCCTGGATAAATTTAAAACTATTCAAGGGCCTCCCGGAAACAAGGACAGGAAAAAAATAGCTTGTCCGGATTTATATGTGTCGAATACTTCCAAATGCAGTAGCACAGATCCGCGTGAACTGCCTAATTGGGAAATCCAAATCGCCTCTTCGAAAAAAAAAAATTCTTCATTCATCGAATATGTTTCCAGTTAAAATCTCGTTATAGGCGTAAACTTCCTAAACTGGTAATTCAAGACGCTATACCCAAAGTTCAGCTGTTAAATAATTTCTTGGAGCTATTATCCAAGGATCTTACATCACCCTTACATCACTATCATTTATGAAGGAAAATTTAAGCAGACCAACCGATATAATAATTTGGCATTTCAATTTATGCAAGATTCCTTCGTGAAGAATAGTTAAATGGTTAGGAGTCTAAAGATGTTTTTATTGTTCATCATTCTTTTTGCTTTATGGTTAGACGGTTAGGAGTTGAAATTGTTTTCATTAATTATTCTTTGTACTTCAAGGTTAGATGGTTAGGAGTTTAAGACTTCAAATTTCATGTTTGAATGCTAAGAATATGGTGACATCAGCTGTTATCAAGTCGGTCTTCTTATTTTATCAATGGTCCCGCCTGAAGGATCTTTGATCAAGTAAGTGGTTCTAACAATTCCTTAGAGATTCCTTTCGGTGGTGAAACTCCGGCATGAAATTTTTAATGGTCCAGACTTCAAGTTCGTGATAGCAACATTCGATAGCTTGTATTGAGTTTACAGTAATACATATCTCTCTGAATTTTCTGAGTGATGACTATCACGTGATCATGTGATAAAATGTGAGAAGACGCTAAATCTCAAAGACGCGATGAATCAGTCTATAGTTAGGATAATACTAACGTATGTAAGATCAGTCAAATACATTAGTCATGATGAATTAAAGGAAAAATCAGATACCGTGTGTAAACTATATGATGAACATGTGGACATGGAAGATATTATAGAAGAAATCAACCATCAACTCAATCGATTTCTGTTCAAGATAGATTCTAACTTGAATGAAATCACCAATCAAATGTGTTATTCTTTCATCAATCTCAAGAATGAAGAACAAAATGATAAAGACATTTACAAGCAATTTACAAATTTCAAAGAATCGGACATTTTGGCCATTAAAGGGATAATCGATTTGATCTTTGAAAATAACTATTCCTTCAATATGGATAGGTTAGTCAATTCATTGACACAATTTGGTAAATCCCATCAAGATGCCTACGTCCTAGTCAATAAACTCATAAGTCAAGGATGGCTCGAAAGAATTGGTGGTGATATAGTTGTGACTGTGAGACTAAAGCTTGAATTGAGAGGATATCTTGAAAAATTCGATTTATTGATCTGTCATCAATGTAATAATATTGTAACGGTGGGATACATTTGGGAAGGTAAGGCTTTACATCAGAGATGTTTAGAAATTGTCAGAAGAAGAGAAGAAGTGGGAGAAGTCAGAAAAATCGGGCTCGATGTAAATTAATATACAATGGTGGTGCGGTCTGTGACCTCTCATATTGGTAGTTGACAATTGGTTTTTGGTTATTGAATATCTACTGATAAGTGCTTGATGGCAAGTGCTTGATGGTACCTCTTGATGGTAACTGTTACTAGTACCTTTCTGGTAATTGCTTACTGATCTATTTTCTCTAAATCATCAAGATAACAACTTTCAACCTCATCCATCAAATCCCAGAAATATTCTTCCACCACAAATTCATCATACCTTTCATTAATTGGTTTACATCCAGGAACAGGTGGAGTAGCAGAAGCATTCATTTCTACAATAGCATTGTTGAATATTGATATCATAGGATAGTAACCTAAAGATCCGTCATTTGTGTGTTTGAAGTTAGGGTTGGAACTCTGTTCCAAGTTTTTTGAATTGAATGAATATAAGTTTTCAAACATCGTTCCCATCTCCTTTCCATTCTTATATACTATTATTTTGGATCCAGGAATTGTGGGCAAGTCTTCAAACGTTTCTAATTTTGTTAACTTTTCACCAAATATCTTCACCGGATTAAGTAACTGGGACATTTTTTCCGTTTTGGTATATTCAAATTGTTCATAATAAAGGGAGTTCTTATACTTTATAGGAATTTGATCTCTTATTAAGTTGATTTCACGAGTTTCTTCTGTTTCTGGTAATACTATTCTAAACCCTATGGTATCTCCGGATGCAAAACCTTTATCCATAAACGATTTGGGTCTACTCAAAGTTATTTTCTGACCTGTTACATCTCTCAATCCATACCCATAACCATCAAATCCTATAGGTGCTTCTAAACTGGCTTCTTTCCTGGCGAAACCTATCCTTACATGGTCATTATCGCCGGTTTTTATGATATTAAACTCCACATACCAATCTCCCTTCGATACACCTATATTTGATCTGATACTTCTCCAACCATTTTCCTTGTTACTTACTATAAGATCATCTTTGAATACTATTCCTTGTGATTTATCAAAATAACTGGGTCTGATATTGAAAGAGGCTATTTCAGTAGTCGAATAAAGTGTTGATTTAAATAATTTATTAGGTTTACATGGTTTGTACTTGTAACCTCTCTTGTTCAACGGATTGTCTTCAAGAGAATAAAACTCCTCTCCATCAATTGTCACTTTGGTCTTGGCGATTTTGTTGAAGGTTAAATCATTCAATTTATATTTGATAGGCTTCAATCTTGGCTCTACGATTATCCTTTGTTTCTTGGTCATTGACCTTGTTTCCATCTCCATGGTTGAGAGATTTCGCACTACAGATTTGGATATCACCACATCTTGACCAATATTTGTAACTTCTAGTAAGGGGTCACATTACCACTATTTGACGAAGTAAAACCACGGGAGGTTCAATGGTTGTCATAGCATTGCCATTGTCAACGAAAATCTCCCTTCAAACCGCTATATTGGTGGTTACCGGGGGCTGGGTTTTTTTATTGCCACATCTGTCTGAGACAATTTTTTAAGTCCTTAATTATCAAAAATATCTAGATAATCGTTGAAAAGTTGATTTCCATAAAGATATCAATGGTACTAAAGATATTTGTATGGACAATTTGCATGGAATTGTCCATTTAACGGAAATAATCCACCCTTAGTCACTCACTGTCACGAGACTCAGAGTCAGAATCGAAAGAGAGAATCATTACTCATTAATTATACACATGAAAAAAACACACTTCTAAGAAGTTAAGCCGAATTGAAATTAAGAAAACATTTTCTTCCAGAACCCCTTTTTCTTTTCTTGTTTCACCGGGGCTTTAAGATTACTTTTGATCATTTTAGTAGTCATTCCTGATGAATTACTCTTGACATTCTTAATGGTATTATCTGAATCATTAATTGAAGTTTGACTGGTTGAAGTGGAACTTGTATCGTCAATTAATGATTTCACTTTATAGATTTTATCGGAGTTGCTGGAATTTTGTTTCAGTAATTGGGAATTATAAATAGAATGTAACTTACTATCGAATTTAACTGACTCATTGAAAGTAACCCCATTAGAATGATCTTCTTTACTTTTCATTTGATTCAAGTAATTCTTGGATTCTGTAAGGGATTTATCTGAAGGTTGAGTTATCAAATTGATAAAAGTTTTAGGATTGGAATAATCCGTATGAATATAATCTGAATCGATTGAATCCAATGAAGCCACAGAATTCTTTCTCTTGATATCCAAATTAGAATTAACAATGATTGTAGGAATAGTTGAATATTTGATCAAATAGGAAGAATACTTCAATAAGAAATTATTCCCTATAGATTGGTTCAATTTCACCGGATACTTAAAATTCAAATTATTCGATTTGTTACCAAAAAGTAAGATATTTGGATTATACTGAGTGAATAAGTCTTGAACAAACTTCTTACTACTATTTTCAATAACTAGTTCGATAGTGATTTTGATTTCTACTTCAGGTAACATATCCGATATCCAAGTAAGTAATCTTTCACATCTTTGACGCAAAATCTCCTTATAATGATTTTGGTTATGTTTAATGAAACTTTCAGGTATGGCTGAAGCTATAACAACATAATCATTGGTTTGAATGAATCCTGAATTAACCAACCAATAAATTGAATTCCATGTATGTTTCCTACCATTGAAGACACATAGCAATGTTCTTTCAAACATGTTCTCATAGTTTGGAGTTCTAACAGTTAAATTGTAAGATCTGTAGTTATTTGAAGGTTTCAATTCACTTTTCAAGAACGTCTTACCATTCAAAACATTATGGTTCTTCTTAGTTGATAAATAATAAGTCTTTGCATTATCAAACTTGAAATTAGACAAATCAGTTTTGGGCGTGTTGAACTGAGGATCCAAGGCCATTAATTCTTCATTGGTCATTTCGCTATAACTCTTCCTCCTACTCTTGATTTGGTGCTTATTCCTTTCTATTAAATCTTCTAACTCTTCATCGTTATTCCCATTGGAAATAGCACTACCTCTTCTGGATACTGGTTCTTCATCTTCATCATCACTTACATCCATAACATGATAATTAATGGTCTTCTTGGAGTTCTCGATATTCTGATCAACTTGAACATTGTTCAACTGGTTTCTAAGAATCAGATTTAATGTGTGTCTCTTTCTATGGGTCGATTTATGGGGTTCCTTATCCTCAAAATCATTAGATAAATTATTGAATGATACTCTTCTTGAGTATACCATGGTACAACAAAGTTGGTGGGGGGGATAATTTAGATAATTCTTCAAGTAGGCAGACTCGTCTTTTATCTACACGTTTAAAAAAAAGCTTCTGAAACTTAAAAACCTTTGGCAAGTTTTTCCTATCAGCAAAAAATCAAATCACTTGGCAAATACTCAAAAGGTGATTAAAAAATTTTTCAAAGGGTTGATTACTCAAACAAGTAATGAGGAAACTCGGGTAAATATAAGAGTTCTATAATGAGAGATTGTCGTTTGAATTGTCTCCTTAGTTAAGGTGCTGAGTTATATTAGATTGTCTCCTCTCTTCATGTGTGAGAGGAAATGAAATGCGGGTTAAATAATGACCTTCTGATAGGAGTTAAGTAACTTATGAATTCTAGACTTTTAATCAAGGTTTTCCGAAGTTATTTATAACATGTTGAAGTCTGGCTATGGGCTAAGCGAATTTTAAAGTGACGAGCTTTTCTTGAGTAAACGTTTTTCAAAAGAATAAAAAAAACTCATCACCCGACCCCAGATTAAGCGTGGCTGCAAAAATATTCCCCTTTTAGGCGATATTCTTTTTTCGTCATGTTTCATGTTTAGGGATTTTCTATACTTTAATTCTCTTGTGATGAATGATTAAGCTTTGATCAACAGGGAAAAATAGATTGAATTTGCCCGGTGTTGTGCCGATTGACAGGGTTCATTGTGTGAGTTGACGATAGCAATTACGCGGGATTGCTGGTGGGGACGTGTGTTTAGTAGATGTTTTTAGAGTTGAAAGTTTAGCTTGTAATTATCCCATACTTTGCCATCAGCCGTAGAGGGGCGATGTTTGAATCATCAAGATAAGGAAAAATATGTTCGGGCTTAGCTTTAAGGCTGTGGGAGGTTCAACTTCGGATGTATGTGAAATTTTTTTATCCTTAACTTCCATCATTCTCTTTCATTATCCTTGAGTTCCATAATCCCTGACTTCCATCTCGCCCATCATCCTTAACTATCATCACCCTTCACTCACCCGTAATTTCTCACCTTCGCTCACATTCCCTCCTCTTTCTTATCCGTAAACCCCTTGAACCCTTCAGCCCCTCAAAAGTTCGCAAATGTCATTAACTGCTAGAAGAACATTCTTTCAAGGCTTTTTCAAAAATTGGTCAAGAAAGTCCATTTATCCACCTTCAAGTGATCTTATAACCACCAACAATCGTTTATATCCGTACTATTTCTCCAGTCATAATGATTTACAAGATATCATAAACATCAAACAAAGCTTGCTTTTACATTTCACCGTTCAAGCTGACCCCCAATATAATAAGTCTACTGAATTGTTATTCGATATCTTAGCCAGTAAAGATAAATATCCTTTGGATTCTTACAAATATCCTGTTCATCTTGCCAACATATCATGTGATTCCTTCGAATCTAAAGACTTAATGTTAACTTATGGTGTGAATAAACTCCCAACCTTGGTAAGATTACACAAACAAATCCCTGTAGATATTTATAGTCCAGGAAAAGAATTCAATGAAGATGAGTTACTTGATTGGTTAAAGAAAATTGAAGAATAATCATATCTATTTACATTGTCTAAAAACTACATACATTTTTCTAATCACAAGATCCATCTTTCCATCCATCTTTCCATCTTTGTTGCCATAAATTACAGTCAAATTTGGGTTTACCTAACTTAACATTGACTTCATTATGGGCATCACATAACCATTTACCAAACTTCTCTTGACTTTCAACTGATGGTTCATTTTTAACTTGATATTTTTCAAAATCTTCTCCACAGTACCAACATGGATAGAATTTACTGAATAATCTAAGGAAAGTTCTTAAATCAGTTTGTTGTTCGCTTGAAGGAGTTTCAGGATAGGTGGCAGCAACTGAATGGAGAAAAGTCCATGATGATCTACCTATTTCATTAACATCTGGAGGACAATCTTTTCTTCTAGGTGTTGCCAACTTTTTATCTTTTGGTACTTTACCGGAGGCAGCTTGGAAATCTAATAAGGAGTTACAAGTCCGACATCTTAACGTTAGTATGAATTTATCTTGGGGAGTTGGGGCCATACGTACGGTTTACCGTCTTTATCATAGATCACTTTACTCATTAGTAATGCGAAAATGACTTGGTGAGATAAACGAGCAGAGGTCAGGTGGGGTGAGGTGAGTGTGAGTGGGTGTTAAAGAGTGGTTAAGGAAGAGGGATAATGAGATGGTTCAACAAACTGGTTTGCTTGGTGGCCGACCAATTAACTAAGAATTTTCAAAAATTCGAAAATCTCGGTTCAAATCCATCTCATATAATTCCGCCCGTTTATACCATCAAAACGAGCCCATTCCGTCTAATTCCTGCCTACCCAGCCTCTCTGGTGGTCCCAAGCATTGACGAGAATAAACATGTCTCACCTTGATAATGCTTCGTCTGATTTTCCAGCAAACGTGGAACCTGTAATTTTCGTATCCCCTGTACATCAACATTATGACCATTCATCTCAACATTGGTCTCGTCGACTTCGTTAAATTCGAGGCTTTGGTATTGGGAGGACCCTCTTCTCTTCTATTGAAATTTTTGGTACCTGGAATTGGTCCCTACACTACTTTTGCTTAAGCCTTGGATAACACCCAAAACAACCCTCTAACCCTTGTCGAAGACCATATAATCACATCCCATCACCAACTGATTGATAAAACCCAATCAATTAGTGAAAAATTCAAAAACAATCAATTTTAATAATACCAGTTTCATTACTGGTTCATGTGCGAAGCAATCCAGGTTGTTTCATTCTATTTAAAGTCCTAAATTTCCCCAATTAAAACGAATTACAAAATGAGTTGGAACCAGCCGTTACCAATTGAGTTATTCACTTCAATAAATAAAGTTACCGATGTTCCTAAAGAATGTCCCACTGACTCCCCTACCAGTTTGAATATCAGATGTGGACCCATCTTGAAATTATTCAATTGTGACAAAGATTACATCGCTTCGATGTTAATTGTATTAGAAGATTATGATGAAGTTCCTGAAGTCACTTTCAAAGTTGGTCCTTTGAAGATTGAATCGGATGATCAATGTAAAACCGGAGGTTTCAAGGGTAAAAGGTTCTACCAGGAAGATAATTTCCATTTCTTCAGATTTGATATCAATTTACCAGTAGTTGAGTTTGAACAAAAGTGTCAATATTTCCTTAATGGTGAGACCACTGACTATTGGATGTTTTATATCCCAAGCTTGAACCAATCAATGAATGTTATGTCTTTCAGTTGTAATGGATTCTCATTAGGATGCGATACTGGAGAATATCCAAGTTCTTTATGGCACGATGTATTGAAAAATCACTCTAAAAAACATTATCATGTGATGCTTGGAGGAGGTGACCAGATTTATTGTGATTCCGTCAAGTTAGCTTCATCTGCTTTACAATCTTGGTTGGAAATGGCTAATAATAAAGATAAATTTAATGCTCCAGCTACCGAAGAAGTCACCAGCGAGTTTTCCAAGTATTATTTGAATCATTATATGGCATGGTTCGGTAAAGGATACTGGGAAGGTCTGAAATCTTCATGTTTAGAGAGTTTGTTCCCAATCGCAAGTACTACTATTCCTGCTGTTAATATTTATGATGATCATGATATTATTGATGGTTATGGGTCATATCCAGATTCCACTATGGGTTCACCGGTGTTCAAGGCTTTAGGTAAAATCGCTTATAAGTATTATATGATCTATCAACATCATCAATTACCTGGAGAAACCATCACTTATGAAAAAGGTTGGATCAAAGGTAAGGACGATAAGAATTTCATGAGTTCAACTCCTTTAAGTGTTTATGCCAAATTGGGTAATCAAATTGGATTAATTGGTTTTGATTGTAGAACGGAAAGATCCTTAGAACAAATCATTAAACCACAAAGTTATAAAGCTATCTTTGATAGAATGGCTTTAGAATTGAAGAATTCTCCTGATATTAAACATTTCTTAGTTATGCTTGGTGTACCTATTTTATATCCAAGATTAGTATGGTTAGAATTAGTTTTAAACTCTCCTTTATTAATTCCAATCAGAAAATTGGCCGAAAAAGGTATCATTAATAAAGGTTTGGTCAATGAATTTGATGGTGGTGTTGAAGTTTTAGATGATTTGAATGATCATTGGTGTTCTAAACATCATAAAGCCGAAAGAAATAAGTTACTTAAAGATTTAATCGATTTTGGTGCAGCTAATTCGGTCAGAATAACCATTTTAAGTGGTGATGTTCATCTTTGTTGTATTGGAAGATTGAAGTCAAGATACTATCATCATCCGAACTTCCATAGAATCGGTCATAAAGGAGCCATTGAACATAATGAAAAAGTGTTGAAATCTCCCGAATATGATCCAAGATTAATCTTTAATGTTATTTCTTCAGCTATTATCAATGCTCCACCACCTGATCCTATGGCTAATTTATTAAACAAGAGATCAAAGGGTCATCATTTTTCAAAAGATTGTGATGAAGATATGGTGCCACTCTTTAATGTTAATCCTGATGGTTCTACAAGAGACAATCATCAATTCTTGAACAAACGTAATTGGTGTGATTTAATCATTGCTCCTCAATCAGAACATGCTTCTAAAATAGGTCAAGAACATAGTGTTTTACCATCTTCAACAAAGAAAGAATTTGTTCATGGGACTGATAATCATTTCATCAAATATCCATTATTACCAGAATCCTTGGTCACCACCATTCATGTTGAAGATGATCCAAAAGACTTTGAAACCAACACTATGGGTTATCAATTACTCATTCCTCCTTTACAAGGGAAATTTGCTTTAGACGATGCTCCTGTCAAACATGTTGACGGTTCGGATTAATTGTATAGTATATTTATTTTTGCAGCCATTTACACAATTCTCTTAGATTTCTTCGTACTACTCTTTAACCATACTATTGCCCGCCCTATAGCTCTGATCAGTATCTAACACTACATCATCTCTCTTGTGACTGTTTATTTCCCATACCAATCGACAAAATAAGTGGCTGTACATACTATCAGATATCGGGAACCGAGAAGAGATGCGAAATTTGAAAATTTGTCAAAAAGTTTAATGAAGTTTTTCCATCGTTACAATGAATTATTGAAGAAGTATCCTTACAGAACCAACATGATCACCACTGGGATCTTGATGGGAGTCGGTGATAGTGTAGCTCAAAGATTTTTCAATCATGAAGATGAAAATGGTAATAGACCACCTTATGATCCATTGAGAACAATGAGAGCTTGGTGTTATGGAAGTTTTATTTTCTCTCCATTAGCTGTTTTCTGGTATGGTAAGACCTTACCTTTCATCAAAAATCCTTTCGTTTCAGCCATTAAAAGAGAAGCTTGGTCAGGTAAAAGAATAGAAGCTTTTGATATTGGTTTCAGAATTGGTATTGATCAATTGATCTTACCTGGACTTGTTTGGATCCCTTTATATAATGCATCTATGACATTATTAGCATTCAGAGAAGATCCTTTTAATGTTATCAAAGAAAAATTAGAGAAAAATTGGTGGAATGTATTGAAAACCAGTTGGTCAGTATGGCCAATTTTCCAATTGATCTCATTCACAGTGATTCCAATCCATTTGAGAGTTTTTGCTTCAAATATCTGTTCTATTGGATGGAACTGTTTCTTAAGTACTGTCCATAACGCTAAGCATCATTATAAGAACAAATTCTTAGAGACAGTACATGAATTAGATGAATCAAATGTGAATTTTTCATAAAATAACCCACACATCTGACGACCCATTTTACAGGGTCAACCAATTTAACAGAGTCAACCAGTTTAACAGGGTCAACCACAACTTAATAGATAGAGTTTATAGAATATGTAACATAGGGAATAAATAATCATACATTCATTTTCTAATATAAAGCAATATGAGCACCATTTTGTAAGCACATAGTTAATTGAGAATTCTTCTTTGGAGGATAATCAGCTTCGGAATTATAACTCTTAATATGAGAGAATTCTTGAACTAGTCTGGTAACGGCATAACTGGCTTCAGTTAAAGCAAATTGTTGACCGAGACAAATTCTTGGACCACCATTAAATGGTAAATAAGCCCAACCCAATTTTCTAGTTGAATCTTCAAACCATCTTTCTGGTCTAAAGACATCAGCATCTTTTCCATAAATATTTTTATTCTTTTGACATGAAGAAATGAAATAAGTAACAACTTGGCCTTTTGGCATGAAAACTGGTGAAAGTCCATTTTTACCACCTCCACGAGGTAATGAAGTATCTTTGTTGGTGGTTCTGAAATTAATAGGAACTGATGGGTATAATCTTAAAGTTTCATTGATAACAGCTTTTAAATATTCACATTTCTTTAAACTCTCGAAAGTAATTTCGTTGGTTCTAGCATCTTTACCTGAACCAAAAGTAGCATGAATTTCTTCTTGTAATTTCTTGAAAACTTCAGGATTACGTGATAATTCATAAAATGTAAAACTTAATAATCCAGCAGTAGTGTCTCTTCCAGCCAATAAAATATTTAATGATTGGTCTCTTAAAATTTTTGGATCTCTGGTCTGTTTAGCTAATTCATATAAGAAAGTATAACCACCAGAAGATTTTTCATTCAAAACTTCGGTTGGAGTGTTTAATACTTTATTAACATAATAATCAGTGAATTGATGAACAACTTTACAATCATATTTGAATTGAGAAGTATTACACAACCAATAGAAATCTTGTAAAATAGCTCTAGTAGCTAGAATAGCTTGAGAATCATTGAAAGATTTAGGGAATTTCTTACGAATTTCCAAAATTTCATCATCATCAGTTTTCGCACCCTCTTCAAGACCATCAACTAAACTTGAACAACTTTCACCGAACAAAAATTCAGTAGCAGTATCAATAGTTAACTTAAAGAATAAATCTTGAATATCAAATTTTTGGCCCTTTTCAGCTTTAATGTGTTTAAATAATCTTTGAATGTGAAGTTCTAATGATTGAACATGAGCAACTTGTTCTCTTGAAAATTGGGGTCTTAACATAGCTCTACTATGTTTCCAACCTTGAGCATCTAATGTGAAGATTCCATCACCCAATAATGGTAAGAATTGTTTGTATCTAATACCCAAGTCAAAGTCATTAAATTGAGTACCTAAAATAGCTTTAATGTTTTCAGGATCTCTGGTATTGATCATGGTTCTACCAGCAATCATAGTTGATCCAGTGTCAAATCCTCCATCTTCAAACAATGAATGAACATAATCAATAATTTCCCCATCTCTTTTCCTCTTCATGAACTCAAGAGCTGTCCTGAACCCAAACAGATAATCATTTATATTGGCAAACATAGGTTCACATCCTAACTTCTTCTCTTTGTATTTAAAAGAAGCATATTGCAATACATGATAAGTTATTAATAATCCAACAATTGCAATAATTGCTTTATAACTTTCAATGTCTTCCATAGTAACCATTTTGATTGTAGTTATTAAGAGATTTGGTTGGCAAATATATAGTTTTCATATTTTACTTCACATGAAAACTCATTTAAACTCCGCTATGCGCACTTTTACAGGTTACGTAGGAGATACTGAGCTAACCTGCACTTTCGGAGTTGGGGTCCTTTGAATTAACTTTGGGGATGAAATGTAATGCCAGTTAGTCGTAACATTACGGGTTTATTGTCCCCCACCTTCTATGTACCTAATAATCTATCGGATCAAAAGCATATGACTTTAAAAAGTTCATCTGACAGCAATTGAGGAGGCTTTAAGATCAAACTTAATTTCCATAAACCGTTTCATATGTTTATTCATATGATTTATGACATATATATATGACATATTAATAGTAATAAATGTGTACCAAGGGTTATTAATCTAATGTTAGGGGTTGTTTTGTATTAAAATGTCACCTTTTAAGCAACTGTAACACTATTAGGGTTTAACGAAAAACCTGGTGCGAACTTAATGTTTAAAAGATATAATCAATTGGTATTGAAAAGACCGTTAGTAACCAATATGGTTACAACTGGGATATTGTTTGGTACGGGAGATTGTTTGGCCCAAAAATTTTTCCCTGAACATGAAAATTCCACTTACGATTATCAAAGAAGTTTAAGATCAATCATCTACGGAACCTTAATTTTTGCTCCGATGGGAGATAAATGGTATAAGTTCATAAATACAGTGAAATCACCAATTAGATCATCCAATGGTAATATTAATAAATATTTGGACGTTGTGACTCGAGTAGCTGGAGATCAACTCGTTTTTGCCCCATTTGTTGGGATTCCAATGTATTATACTATGATGACATTTATGGAATTTTCATCAAATCCTTTGGATGATATCAAGAGGAAATTAAATAACAGTTTATGGCCTACCCTTAAAACTAATTGGCTTGTTTGGCCAGCATTTCAAATGTTAAATTTTAGCTTAATACCTGTTCAAATGAGATTATTACTGGTAAATGTAGTATCAATTGGGTGGAATTGTTATTTGAGTTATATTCATAATAAGAAGTAATAGATTAATAGACCTTTGACATTCGTTTTGCTAGTTCTTACCAGTGGTTTACCAATATTTTACCTGCAATTCACTATTCTTACTCTCTGATATCTACCTCGTCACGAGATCAAAAATGACGTGCCACCACCAATCATTTATTTTCCTCAACGATTTTTCTCAACGAGACCAAAAGTAAATTTATATTTGATAAGAATATAAATCTACCATTTTTACTACCAAAGTCTTTCAGTTCAGCAAAGATAAATATTTCAATTCAACAATTCATATCCATTTTATAAATACATCGATTTCCCTCATATTTAAGAGTATAATCAAAGAGATCTTAACTCCAGTACACAATCGCTAAAATGATGAAAGGTTTTAAGAATAGACTTTCAAGAAGTTCGAAATCTTCAAGTAAGAAAGATAAGAAAGAGAAAGAGAAAGAACCAAAGAAATCATCATTAGGAATCACATTAAGTTCAAAAAACTCCAACAGTTCAGGGTCTATAAAATCAAATTCTCCTTCACCTTCAAGGAACAATAGTAATTCATCAATTACTTCATCATCATCGAATTCTACTATTAATCAAGGAGTTGGTTCCCCAAATAATCAATCACCAACTGCTTCACCACAAATAGTTATCAATAATGATGTGGACATGACACCAACCCTGCCAAATATCGAACATAATGATGTAACTATATCTAATACTTCAAGTTCTTCATCGAATTTTTCAAATGCTTCTACTGATATATCATCAACCAATGCTGTAGACAATTTGAAAACTGGAATTCATGTTGCTTCTCATTCTCAACAAGGTCATCATCCTCATGGGTATAGTTTAAATCCAAATATTTCGTCTCCTAATAGAGAAACTTTCGATATTGATTTGATCACCACTCCAAAGAGACATTCATCGTCAAGATTTGAACCTTCATCAAATAATCAAGAAATTTCAATTTTACCAAGTTTTGATGAAGTTTTACCTGAAGAACAAATCAATTTATTCATTGAAAAGGTTGATCAATGTAATATTCTTTTCGATTTTTCCGACCCAACTTCCGATATTAAAGGTAAAGAAATCAAACGTGAAACTTTACAAGAATTGATTCAATTTATAATGTCAACCAGGTTCACTTATACTAATGAGATTTACAAACATGTAATTGAAATGTTTAAACATAATTTATTCAGACCTTTACCTCCACCTGTTAATCCAATTGGTGATGTTTATGACCCTGATGAAGATGAACCCGTTAATGAATTAGCTTGGCCTCATATGCAAGTGATTTATGAATTCTTCTTAAGATTTATCGAAAGTCCCGATTTCAATCATCAAAATGCTAAACCATTCATCAACCAAAATTTCATTCTCAAACTTTTAGAGTTATTTGATAGTGAAGATCCAAAAGAACGTGAATGCTTAAAAACAACGTTACATAGAATCTATGGGAAATTCTTAAGTTTAAGAAGTTTCATAAGAAAATCTATTAATAACGTTTTTATACAATTTGTTTATGAAACGGAAAGATTCAATGGAATTGCTGAATTATTAGAAATCTTAGGTTCAATTATTAATGGTTTTGCTATACCATTGAAAGAAGAACATAAAATCTTCTTAATAAGAGTTTTAATGCCATTACATAAAGTTAAAAGTTTATCATTATATCACCCTCAATTAGCTTATTGTATAGTACAATTTTTAGAAAAAGATGCGACATTGACTGAAGATGTTATAATGGTATTGTTAAGATTCTGGCCAAAGATCAATAGTCTTAAAGAAGTAATGTTTTTGAACGAAATTGAAGATATCTTTGAAGTTATGGAACCAAATGAATTTTTGAAAATTCAAATCCCACTTTTCGCCCAATTATCGAAATGTATCTCATCAAGTCATTTCCAAGTCAGTGAAAAAGTGTTAATGTTATGGTCAAATGATTATTTCTTAACTTTAATAACCGAAAACGCTGAAGTTATATTACCAATTATGTTTGCTTCATTATATGAATTAACAAATGCAACTCAACCAAGTATCACCAATGGGGTTATGAAACAAAAGTTATTAGAAAATCCAAACTTGATAGTTGATGCTAATGGTCATACAATTGATGCTGGTTTAATGAATAATCATAATATGAATGGTGTTAATCATGAAATGAAAAATTTGGATGGTATGAATAATGAGTTAAATGATGAAGAATATTATGATAGTTTTGCTAATCCTCATGGTTATGATTTAGATTATACTAATGGAGTACCTCCTCATAACTCAGCTACAACCAATTGGAATAGAACCATTCATCTGTTGGCTTACAGTGCATTAAAGGTTTTCATGGATCATAATATAATATTATATGATCATTGCACAATGTTATATCATCAATCTTTGGAAGAACAAAGAGTTAGGGAAGCTGCAAGAAAGGACGGTTGGAGAAAAATTGAAGAATTAGTCAAATTAAAGAATCAAGTTACTAGTAAATAAGATGATTCATTATGAATTTTTAGATGAAATATAGGAGTTACTGTAGTTTTCTCTGTGTCTGACTCTGGACTCAGTTTAAGAAGCAATATATTAACCTACAATTTTTGCAGCCAAAGCCGCATTGAGAGTGAAATTCCCCCATTACTTGGTACTTTTACAAATCACTGGTTTCTTTTTGGAGAACTACCAATGTTAAGCCTTGAAACCCTAAATTCGGTCTCCAGAATACCTATTTCGGTCTTTAAATTCCTAAGTTCAGCTTGTAATTCTTCAATACTCTTGGACATGGTTTCAATTTCACTCTTCATTTCTTTGAAAGCTATTTTAGTTTCCTCCAAAAACATTCTGATCAGTGGTAATTCATTTTGTAACCTTTCCATTGCTTCCTTTAACTCTACGTCTGTTGAATTAGAACTAAGGAAGTCTTTGATCTTATTTTGTGTATCTTCCAAATCTTCAAGTTTTGCTTTTGCAATTTTTGTATCTTCAGAGGTCAAACTCAAGACTTCGTTTCTAACTCTCCTAGCTAGTAAATTGATGCATTCTTTCAAGCCCGATTTTCCCTGATCGTCGATTTCTTCTTGTTGAATTTGCTGTTGCATCTTTCAAATCTGTACTATTCAATTTGTGGATTTTTTTTGCAGCCAGTTCTCAACTTTTTCTGCTGTCTTCTTTGGTCAGTAAGGCTTTGTTGGAATCAATCGGCGGTTTTTATTCAAATGGACTGAATGAATTCAGAGGATGAAAAAGGTCAGAAGACTCAATTAAGATGTCTGAGGGAGGGATGAAGAAGGACGAATTAGTGCACCGTTCAGTATTGACTCACATTCTGATTTACTTGAAAGAGAAGCCCTTTCTCAGTACATGAGTGGGATAGGATCTTATTCTGTGACGAGCCCTGGAGCTAACCCAGCTAACCCATCAATTAGCAAACCCTATTCTTTGGCTATCCTCTGGCTGAACCTATTCTGTGGTATTGCTATTCTTTGGTGACACTTTTCTTTGGTAAACACTATTCTTTGGTAAACACTATTCTTTGGTAAACACTATTCTTTGACAGAACCATGTTCAGAACACCAAACATTGTTTCTGTTTATCTCAACCTAAGATTAAACGAACGTTCGAGCCAATTCTTATGAAATAGCTTAACCAAGCAAGAATCGAGCAAATCGATCAAGTCTCATTGCGAATGAAAATATTTCACTACTCATCAAAGTATGTTAAATGATGATCCTTGCTAGCCATTGATCTTTCGATGGTCTTGAAATTGTTATGAAGAATAATACAAGAACCGCTACACTGATAACACATACTAACTTTTAGTTCCGATTTTTCACGTTTAACTTCGACGAAAGGTTGAACTGACTTACAAGGGTTTGGTTTTGGAGACTTTCCAAGGCTTGCTTCATCCTTCTGATAGTTTGACATCGCCATATTACTTCAAGAATACGGATTGAGTCGGAAAATCCTCCAAATCACCATTCTTTGAACCCCATAATCCCTTTACTCAAATCTATACCTTTGTAAGGTCAATTTTCACCATTTTCACTACAAATTCCACTTTTGACGCTGAACTCACCATAAGAGAGATTTTTCAAATATGTGGGAATCAGGATTGACCCCTAAATGCGTTGATATCGTCCATAATCCGAATGTTCATAATTATAGATAGTTAATTATGGATTAGTAAACATCATCACCGCGGTGACTCCGATATATGCTTATAACCCCATTAACTCTTAAATTTATTACTATGACCCTTGTATAAGACTATCTTATCGAATAGAGATCTTTCCTAGCTATCTTACAGTATAACTTTCATGGCCAAAACATCAGTTTAACCCCCTGAAGTACCCAAGGGTAAATTGTTTCAGACACTGAAAATTTTTATTATGGCCATCGCGCAGAGTCAGGTAGTATAAATATCTGGCAAAATTCCTGGAAAATTTTTTTTTTGGTTTCCCTTCTGGCAAGGTTTAGCCCAATAATTAATAGTTAATACAAAAAAAAATATGACTTTCGATACTACTAAAGCAACTTCTTATTTAAGTGAATATAAATCCAAAGATGGTTTAGATATTAAAACCTTGATTGATTCATCAAATTTTGGTGGTTTAACTTATAATGATTTCTTAATCTTACCAGGATTAATTGATTTCCCATCAACTGCTGTTTCATTAGAAACTAAATTAACTAAAAAAATCACCTTAAAATCACCATTTTTATCATCTCCTATGGATACTGTTACTGAAGAAAATATGGCTATTCATATGGCTTTATTAGGAGGTATCGGTATTATTCATCATAATTGTACTGCTGAAGAACAAGCTGAAATGGTTAAAAAAGTTAAGAAATACGAAAATGGTTTCATTAATGATCCTGTCGTTGTTGGTCCTGATTACACTGTTGGGGAAGTTAAAAAAATGAAATCTGTTTTAGGTTTCACTTCATTCCCTGTTACTGGTATGTATTTCTGATTTTCATCTATGGATGTTAAAATTCTTCCCTGATGATCAAAAACAATTTAATAACTTTCGTTCTACCGATTGACATCAAACGATGTTGGGGACAAATTGATTCACTGATTAAGAATTTATTTCTCAAAGAATTTCTTACTAACATTAATTTAGAAAATGGTAAAGTTGGAGGTAAATTATTAGGTATGATTACTGCTAGAGATGTTCAATTCCATGAAGATGATTCTAGTAAAGTTGAAGAAATCATGACTAAAGATTTAATTACTGGTAAAGTTGGTATTGATTTAACTGAAGGTAACTTATTATTAAGAAAATCAAAGAAAGGTAAATTACCAATTATTGATAATGAAGGTAACTTAGTTTCATTAATTTCATTAACTGATTTACAAAAAAATTTAAGTTATCCATTAGCTTCTAAATCTTTTGATTCTAAACAATTATTATGTGGTGCTGCTATTGGTACTATGGAAGCTGATAAAGAAAGATTAAGTAAATTAGTTGAAGCTGGTTTAGATGTTGTTGTTATTGATTCATCAAACGGTTCATCAACTTTCCAAATTAATATGTTAAAATGGATTAAATCAACTTATCCAGATTTACAAGTTATTGCTGGTAATGTTGTTACTAGAGAACAAGCTGCTTTATTAATTGAAAGTGGTGCTGATGCTTTAAGAATTGGTATGGGTTCAGGATCTATCTGTATTACTCAAGAAGTTATGGCTTGTGGTAGACCTCAAGGTACTGCTGTTTATGCTGTCACTGAATTTGCTAATAAATTTGGTGTTCCATGTATCGCTGATGGTGGTATTGGTAATATTGGTCATATCTCAAAAGCTTTAGCTTTAGGAGCTTCTTGTGTTATGATGGGTGGTTTATTAGCTGGTACTTCCGAAACTCCAGGTGAATATTTCTACCGTGATGGTCAAAGATTGAAAACTTATAGAGGTATGGGTTCAGTTGATGCTATGCAACAAACTAAAAGTAATGCTAATGCTTCAACTTCAAGATATTTCTCTGAATCTGATAAAGTTTTCGTTGCTCAAGGTGTTTCTGGTTCAGTCATGGATAAAGGTTCAATTACTAAATTCATTCCTTACTTATACAATGGTTTACAACATTCTTTACAAGATATTGGTATTAAATCATTAACTGAATTAAGAACTAAAGTTAACGGTGGTGATGTTAGATTTGAATTTAGAACTGCTTCTGCCCAATTAGAAGGTGGTGTCCATGGTTTATTATCATACGAAAAGAAATTACACAATTAAGTTATATGAAAGTGTTTGTTTTAATGTATAAATGATGTATTACTCTCTTTTTCGCACGCATAGTTACTGTAAGGCAGTGGCGAGAGAACGAAGAAAGGTAAAGGAAGGCGAAGACACAACCGAACAAACACTCAACAAAGCAAGCAGACATATCAAGGGATATAAGACTAATCAACATGAGTTACAATCAGAATGCATTCACAAATCTCGATCAAGATGTAACCAAATCAAGAATAGATAAGTATCATAAGAGTGAACCTGAAGTCAAACAATGGTTATTTAAAATATTAGATGTCCCTCAACAAGATATTCAAAATTATAACAATCATGGTGAAGATTTGATAAGTATTCTTAAAAGTGGAATACTTCTATGTAAATTAGGAAACCTTTTAAACATCCCTCAGAATCCAACTACTAAGTTCAAAAATTCAAAGATGCCTTTCGTACAAATGGAAAACATATCGTTTTTCTTAAAGACTTGTGAAATGATTGGCGTCCCCCATGATGAAATCTTCCAAACTGTTGATCTCTACGATAACAAAGATCCTTACCAGATCATTATAACGTTAATATCTTTCTCAAGAAGGGCTAATGAGATAAATAGTTCAATTCCTGTCATTGGTCCAAAAGTTGCAAAGATCAAACCTCCAGTTCCTAATAAACCTATAAATCTTAGATCTTAGACATATACATTACCTACGAGGCATATATACAAACTTTGTACGTAGACCTCATATCAATGAACATATAACTTTCAGTCCATTCTGTAGAATTTGCGAAAACCTCTCAATAAATAAGAAAGAAATGATAAAATAAAAAAAACTCCATTTAAACCTCCCCAATGCCATAAACACTAAACCATTACAAACACTACTCCACCATGATCACACCATCACCAACAATCCCCATATCCCATTCTCCAACCCAATTCATCCAATAACCCTACCGCATATCTTGATTATCACAGTTTTCCGTCCTGCACATAGCAAACCTCATCAAGGTCAAAAAAATTTTTGAGATGAGAAGACTTCACCAAGTGATTTGGATTAAATTCATTTTTAACTAATAAACTCGAATTTAATATAATATACCATGTCTGACGACGTTATTTGGCAAGTTATAAACCACCAGTTCTGTGCCTTCAAGATAAAGACAGATAAAGAACAGAATTTCTGTAGAAATGAATATAATGTTACAGGTTTTTGTTCAAGACAATCATGTCCATTAGCCAATGCAAGATATGCCACGGTTAAAAATATCGAAGGAAGATTATATTTATACATGAAAACCGCCGAAAGAGCCCATTTACCTTCTAAGATGTGGGAAAGAGTCAAGTTACTGAAAAATTATAATAAAGCATTAGAACAAATTGATGATCGATTACAATATTGGCAAAAGTTTTTAATTCATAAATGTAAACAAAGATTAACCAGATTAACTCAAGTAGCCATAACGGAAAGAAGATTAGCATTGAGAGAAGATGAAAGACATTATGTTGGAGTCAAACATAAAGTTAAAAGAAGAGAAGAGAATAGAGAAAGAAAAGCATTATCAGCAGCAAAGATTGAAAAATCTATCGAAAAGGAATTATTAGAAAGATTGAAGAGTGGTGCATATGGTGATAAACCTTTGAATGTTGATGATAAGATTTGGAAGAAGGTATTAAGTAAAATGGATAACCAACAAGAAGATATCGATGATGAAGATGATGTTGATTTAGTCAGTGAAGATGAAGATGAAGAAAGTGATGAAGGAGAAGTTGAATATGTTGAAGATGATGGAGAAGATGAATTAGTTGATGTTGAAGATTTAGAAAAATGGTTAGATGATAGTTCTGATGAATCTGAATCTGAATCTGAAGATGATGACGAAAGTAACGATAATGATAAGAAACGTAAATCACAAGATAATAACAATAAAAAGAAAAGACCAAGAGTGGAAATTGAATACGAACATGAACCTGAATCTACCTTACAAACTAATATCTTGTATTAGGTTTCTTCAAACGATTACCTTTGAATCATTTACTCAACCAATATTTCACTCAATACTAACAATTACCAACCATTTACCTATCGCTCCTTGAACCATTCGCAAATTATTCACTCGACCATTCACCAACTATTCACTCGAATATTACCACCAACCACCAACAACAATTGCCACCTACCACCAACAATTACCAAAAATCATCACCTACCGATCAATTAAGTAGTTAATCATAGCATACTGTTAGCCTTCCTCCCTACCCCCCCACTCTCGTATATCTACTCTAATTATAAATGACTGTTAGGAATGTATTGTGAACCTGATCATTTAAAAGTTGAGGAGGCTTTCCCGTACATGGTTTACGACAACAAAAACGTTAAACTACCCCCCGCTAAGGAATGTTTCAGCCTTAAGCTAATAGTTAAGTATCCGCCGCCGTCCACTGCGGTTTTGATTTAACTTCGCCTCCCCTTCGTAAGTTTAACCTAGGGGTAACTAACATACCCGAGCAAAGGCTATTCAGCACACCTTCGACCATGAGTTCACAAGATATTAAGGTGTTAATCATGTGGTTCTCACTCGTTCTGACTTGTCCACTCAGGTTGAACTTCCTTGACAGGTCTCTAAGAAATTCCATAACGGTCACTCCATCTCCAGAAACTCCGAATACATCATCAAATCTACTATGTTCCAACCTCCGCTTATAACCCCGAACAAGGCTATGAACGGCCATGATGTTCTTATCAATGTACCGTGTCTTAATATAGATTCTTTAGAATAAAAAATAGCCTTTCCTACGATTATGTAATCTTTACGTAAGCGAACTTAAGACAGTATTTCGGGAAGATTAATCATCAGTATTTCTAAACTTCCACTAGGAAAAGTCCTTGGTCTATGTTCTTGGTAACATCAATTACACTATATAACACCATGAAACCACCACCACTATGCCCAAATCCACAAAAATCGGAAAAAAAACTGCGTTTATTGTAATTCAGATCGAAGCTGCAAAAATTTTTAAAGGCCGCAATGATCGGAAGTGCTATATTTGTAAGACGTATATTTTTTTTAATAGAATTCCATTAGGTAATCGAACTTACTGAAGTATTTATACCAGAGGTTATCAGCCTAATCATATCATTGGAACAACCAAACCAAAACCATCCAAAAGTTCAAATTTTCGTGAATTCATTCAATTACCATATTCAATATGAGTGCTGTCATTTCATCATGGACTACCTCAGCTTATCCAACGGAAACTTACTTAAAGACCGTCGCTACAGACCATTTGTCTGAATTGACTGTTAGTTATACATCGGCCATTGAAAGAATAGCTACCGAAAGTGCTATCGGTAGATTAATTTCATTGTCAAGAGTTATCAGAGGGGTTCAAGCAACACAAACTATTGTTTCTGCACAAAACGTTTTAGCCACAGCTACTGCTGATTCAGTTAAAGCTCAAGCTACTGAAGCTATTTTCCATGCTTCAGTCAACTTAGATGATTTGAATTTCGAGGAAAATCTTTATGACACATTTTTAAACAGACCAGCTAATATCATCTATTTATCCTTGTTTGCCTTGTTATTCTTATATTATACATTCATGAATATCAAATCAAGATACATATGGTTCAATGTTACTTTCTGGTGTGGATATGCTTTAGAATTTTCAGGTTTCTTAGGTAGAATCTTAAGTTTCACTGATTGGACTAATATTAATTTTTTCCTTCTACAATTTGTTTCATTAACTATAGCTCCAGCTTTCATAATGGCAGGGGTATACTTCACATTTGCACAGTTAGTGGTGGTTTATGGAAGACATTATTCAGTATTGAAACCAATGTGGTATACATATTTATTCATTACTTTTGATGTTGTGTCTTTAGTTATTCAAGCTATCGGAGGAGGTATGGCTTCTCAAGCACAAGCTCAACAAAAAAGTGGTAAAGCTGGTACTAATGTCATGATTGCTGGTATTGCTTTCCAAGTTCTTTCAATGACAGTTTTCTTATCACTTTGGTTTGAATTCTTAAATAGAGTTTTCTTCCATGATGTGAATAGAATTGATTCAAGCAATAGTTTAAACAAAAGAAGTTTTGGAAACTTCTTCAAATTCTTATTTAATGGTAAAAACGCCGATTCGTATAAGAGAAACACTTTAGAACCCCATTATAATCCAAAATTTAATTCAATTAGAGCCAGGAAATTATTGAACTTTTATCCTTTAGCTATCACTGCAGCTTCAATAGCCATCTACATCAGATGTGTTTATAGAGTTGTTGAATTGGCTCAAGGTTGGTCTGGGTACTTGATTACTCATGAAGTATTCTTAATGACTTTGGATGCTTTAATGATTTCGATCGCTGGTTTGATCTTTGTACCTTTCCATCCATATTTCGTTTTCGGGCCAAAGAATATCTTGAATGTTTCAACTATTAGAAACAGATTAGATCATCACCACTCTGAAGAGGAAAAGATTAACGATCGTGTTGAAGTTGAAACCCAAAGCCATCATGATTCTGATACTCAATTAGAGTCTCAAACTGAAAAGTGATCTTTGAAACGATTTTTTTATAGATAGATTGCCTTTTTGAAATATAAATGAGTGTCAATGTCTCCACATCTATGTCTCCAGTATCAAATTATCAGATTTTTAGTATTGAAGCTCATTCACGAATCCGATAGAATAGTATCTGAACTATGTCTGAAATATTGCTTAGTTTGAAACATAAACAATATGAAGTCGTTTCTTGGAAAATAAAAACGTTGACATCATGGAGAAGGCAATGTAAAAAAAAACTGTTTTAGACGGAGATAACAGTTTTCCCCATCGCACGGACTGAATGCCGAAAAGGTAACACAGATTTACCTTTAAATTCGCCAGGAAAGCACACGCAAGAACATTCATAATATCATCCGAGGAATGTAAGTAACTGAAGCCGCCCATTTACTAGTTATAAACTAACGAACTACTCGGCGGTCGTATAACATTACATTTGTAAGAGGCTTTGGCTCGTTACGAAGCCGCGACTTTTTCTATTTTGGCTAAGATATTTATATCAGGTTTTTCTTGTAGATTTAACTTTTGTCATTCGTATCCCTAATGTCAATTACTACTGATGCCTGGACATCTGTTAATCCCACAGCTATAACTGGGATTCAATCGACTATCACTTCAGCGATGGCCGATTTAAGTCAAACTGGTGGTGATTATAGGCAATATCTTACTGCTTCATATGCATTGATTGGGGCTCAGGCGTCTAAAAACGTTCTTTCTTATCAATCGGTGTTAGCTACTGCAACTGATAGTAGTGTTATTAGTATGGCATCTCAAGGGATTGCTGAAAATGCTGTCGCCTTAGAAAAATTAGACATGACTTTAAACTTGTATAAATATGACTTAAACAGACCAGCTAATATCATTTACTTCACGGTGTTTGCTTTGATATTCATATATACGGTTGGAATGTCTGTTGTATCGCGTTATCATTGGTATAATGTGACCTATATTTGTGGATATGGGTTAGAATTTTTAGGTTGGTTAGGTAGAATCTTAGCTATGAATAATGTTAGAAACAATAATTATTATATTTTACAATTTGTGGCATTAACAATTGCTCCAGCATTTATTATGGCAGGTATTTATTTCTTATTTGCTCAATTAGTTGTGGTACATGGAAGAGCGTATTCTATCTTAAGGCCGTTATGGTATAGTTACTTGTTTATAACTTGTGATGTAGTCTCATTACTTATCCAAGCCGGGGGAGGAGCTTCCGCTTCAATTGCTAGTTCAAGAAATGAAGATACCACCACTGGGTCAAACATCATTATTGCTGGAATTGTATTTCAAACCGTAGCCATGACTGTATTCTTAGGATTTTATTTTGAATTCTTAAACAGACTTTTCTTCAAACACAGAAATGAAACTGAATCCACCAGTCCTCTAAAGAAAAGATCTTTCGGCAGTTTCTTCAAATTGTTATTCAATACCAAATCAGCTCGTGCTTTCAAGAAAGAAAATGATGTCTTTTATAACGAAAAGTTCGCCCACATCAGATCTAATCCTTTATTTGGATACATGCCATTAGCAATCACCGTATCAGTCGTAGTCATTTATATTAGATGTGTTTACAGAGTTGTCGAGTTAGCTGAAGGTTGGAGGGGACATTTAATCACCACTGAAGTTTATATCATGGTGTTGGATGCTTTGATGATAGCTATTGCTGGTATTATAGCTGTTCCTTTCCATCCTTATTGGGTATTCGGTAAAGCCAATGTAGTTAAATTGGCCACTATCAGAAAAAACTTAGATGTTCATGACGACAGTTCCACCAAAGAAGAACCTTCAAGTGGTCAATAGTATGTAGTTAATTTCCACAAATACGATTCATTCTATATAAAGTTCGCAAATGGCTGCAAAAAAAAAAACAATAACACAAATGTATATGTCTGATGCTATTCACAGAATGTACAATCTAGATGATTATGACGAAGATGAAGTTAGTGATTGTGAAGATTGTTTCGATCAGTCTTGTCAATGTCAACTAACTAGTCAATCAGATGGAACTAGTGTCAGTGCGTTCACTGATACTTTACAAGAGACCAGTGATAAGGAATTGTATCAAGAATTACCATTCTATCCATATGAAACTGGAGAACCACTTGAAGATTCAACATTTGAATTGTTATTGGACGGACAAATCATTGAAAAGTCTGCCAATGATGGGTTCTTTGGGTTTCATCATATTACTATTGTTACTTCATCTGCTAAAAACTTATCGAAACTATTTCAATTAACTATGGGGTTTGAAGAGATTGCTTCAAAGACTCTAGAAACAGGTTCTAGATCAATTGCAGCTCATGTTATAAGGAATGGAGATATTGTGATTGAGTTTGTTAACACATTAAATCCTCCTCCAAATAATCCATCAATGTTACCACAACCATATCAGAAATTGATTGATACCAATCTTAGATACGAGGAATTAAAAGCTGATGTTCAGAGTCATCTCCACGATTCCATTGGCAGATTATTCCAAAGGCATTTATATAATTCGAATGAGACTTTCGAAATTCTTCACAAAGATATTGAAGGATTTACTGATAGAGCTTTTGATGAATTTTATTCCACTACAGTAACATCAATTGAAGATAAAATTGATTTGTACGAGTTGCTGGAATATTTGAAAAACCACGGTGAGGGAATAATTGATATTTCTTTTAAGGTTAAGAGCGTTGATAAGATTTTCCAACGAGCTGTAAAGTTCGGAGCTAACGTTTTGAAATATCCGAAGATCTCCGTTGATCAATATGGCTCAGTAAAGATGGCTACCATAGTTATCCCAGGAACAGATATACGTCATACATTGATAGAAAATATCGATTATGTAGGTAATTATTTACCTCATTACAGTAATGAATTTTTCCCCAAAATTGGATTCAATTCAATTGATTTATCTGCCATTGATCATTGTGTAGAAAATTATTCCTGGAAACAAATGCTGTTTCATGCAAGGTTATATGCTGAGATTTTCGGATTTAGGAAATTTTGGTCAGTGGATGAAAAAGATATTTCCACTGATAAATCATCTTTGAGGTCAACAGTCATGGCATCAAGCAATGGCAAGATCAGAATACCCATCAATGAACCTTCAAAAGGAGCATTCAAATCTCAAATCGAAGAATTCTATGATTATAACTGTGGGCCTGGGGTTCAACATATGGCCTTAAGGACAGATAATATAATTGAAACAGTTAGAAAGATGAAGAGAAATGGAGTATCATTCAATAATGCTCCAGAAAACTACTATGAACGATTAGCCAATAGAATGAAACAATGCCATGCATCAATCTATGAAGACTTTGAACAAATCAAAGAGTTGGGCATTCTAATTGATTTCGATGAAGAAAGTTGTGGCCCAAATAGGAAATGTAATTACATTTTACAGATTTTCACTCACCCCCTTAATGATCGGCCAACACTTTTCATTGAAATCATTCAAAGACATCATCATAATGGATTTGGTAAAGGAACTTTCAAAGGGTTGTTCGAAACAATTGAACATCAACAAAGACTAAGAGGAAATCTTGTTCCATCAGATCGGTCATAATATCTAGATAATTAATAAAGGTATCGCTCTAAAAGTAAAAAATTACATTTTCTAACTATCAAACTCTGCATAATCACCAGGCGGTGGTATGCCATCATTTTTCAAGCTTGACCCCCTTTTTTCAAAATAACCTTTCAAGTCTTTGACAAAAAGTGGGAATAGTAGCTCATCTAATCCTTCATTTCGGGCAATTTCTGAAGCTCTTTCAAAAGGGATCCAGACCCCTTTCAAATTCATGGTCCCCATTTTTATCACTGTCTTTACTTTTTCGGATTTTAAGATTCCATCTCTTTTACCTCGGGACATTCCTGCTAGATTGAGTAGTTTCGTACCATTTACGAAGTTGGTATCCTGTCTTCTGCTGACTAGTATACCGTGTGCTTCAACTTGATAGCAAATAGTATTTTCGTCATCCCAAACAGTGGTAGCTATTCTTGGCTTGACATGTTTGGGAGGTGGTTGGTATTGATTTGGTAATTGCTGTAAGGAACCAACAACAGGAGATTGTTGTCCTGTTATCAGGGTGGTAGAAGTATGATAAGCATATTGTTCGAAATGATAAGGAACCAGCGATTGCCTTTGATGAAACAGTGGTTTCAATTCTTCCAGGTAATTTGTATTACCAGGCTGTCTACTGAGGAAACTTAAATTACTTTTTATCGGATTATTGCTTACATTGGAAGTATTAGATAATTGATGTTGATGGAAATACAGGGGATTACTACCTTGGAAGGTATCCAAGACAGGTGATTGATTGGGGAATTCAGAATTGACAGAAGTCTGGGTATTCAATACTGGTGGTTTGATGAGATACTGACTTTGTGGTGTGGGAGGATCCATAGAAGGACTGGATTGGTTTTCACTCTTAGGATTTTCTTGAGCAGCTTCATTGAACCCCACCATTTGTCCTGAGTTAGTAGAGGAAGATGGTTGGGGGTCTGAATGTTGACGTGATAATGATTGGTAAGGATTAAAGTAGTTCCTACCGGAATTTGGATCAGCAGGTACCACTTCAGCATTAGGATAATATGGATCTCCATGGAACTGATTGTTCTCCAAAACAGCTGCATCGTTAGCATTAGATAAATGATGATATTTAAAAGCATTCGAATGAATGTTCTCGAAACTGCCTTCATTGTATAAGTTACTATTAGGGTTAACTTCTTGACCAAACTCATGATTGATCAAACTTTCATTGAAAGTATCTTCACTACTTTCATATTCAGGAAGTAACAAGTTAGGTGTATTGGCTAAAATCATAGCGGTGGTATCTAAAGCTTGAATATCGGGATCAATTACTTGCGTTGGTATTTGTTCTACAGCTGGTCGATACTGTGGACTTTCCAACGTTGGATTATCAATGATAGTTTCGGGTTGTTCCGTTTCCAAAGGAAGATTTTTGTTTGAATAGCTATTAGAAGATCTGTGTTTCCGAAATGACTTTGGTCTAATACTTGAAGTATTAGTTTTTTTTCTGGGTTTCACTTTAAAAGAATTTCTGCCTTTGGGAATAATGTGAATTTATAAGAAGATTTTGGGAATTTGACTCTAGACCCTTTTACCAAAAATAAATCCTTTTGGTTATTCAGATTGTGGTAGGCGATAAAGAAATTACAAACAGGATCACACACCCAAAAGTGAAAAAAAAGAAAAAAATTGCAGATGGTGTTTGTGTAATATCTATGAAGATTGACAGAAGAGGTTGGAAATGATGTTACCTAGTGCACTAATACGAAAGTTAGTTGGTAGATTAGCTCAAAATTGGATTTAAGTTATAAAGTGAAGATTCAGAAGAATGTGTTCATAGGTCTAATGAAAGAGATCAGCTCATCAGACCGACTCCAAGAAGGGTTTAAGCCAAGGAAATCATATGAATCGTTGAAACATCCATGATCACTGGATTAGGAAAAGATAGCAAGATATTATTCGGATCAGATCAGACAAACTAGGAAATGAATCCTGCCATTGGCACTTCAATTCAGAACACTGTTTCAGGTGAAAAAATATCCATTTATCCTCAGTAAAGTGTCTTTTAGACTCTCATGCAAGTTGATGCAAGATGTCTGGAATAGGAAATTTGAAACTAGATTTTGCATGTTAATTGCAATTATTAAGAGCAAATAAGCACCATTTGGTAATTCAATTGCTATGAAGTCAAAGAATCAGTTACGATAACCTTAAGCAGTGTGATAGTATGGCTATGATTGATCATTAGACGAGCCGCAAAGATCTTGACATATTTTTTTCGCAGCCGTTTGATGTTTTGGAAGAACCATTTGATAAGGGCATCACCGAAGGGCACGATGATATACCAAGAAAATGCTAGTTACGGCAATAAATTGATAAGTGATTAAGGGTTCATTAAACTTTAAAAAAAGATCTGGCTTAAGTGCAGTCCTATGGGGTCGTTTACCATCATGCATAAACTCACGCCCAATTTGTAAAGTTAGCCAACGAATGTCCTAAATAACCTTATCTAAGAATGATTAAAGGCACGGATTTGCTAGAGTGAACATTAAAATTGAAGATCACGAGAAATTTGCTCTACCTGCTTAAATTCATACGTGCCCCGATAGATAGGTGATAATAGGTACTTAGGGATCCATAAGTCAAAATTAGGTTTCCCAATAGTCTCCTAAACTGAGATGGGTACCTAATTAGTCACTATCAGCAACCTGCAACAGACTGAAAGAATTCTTAGCACGGAAAATAGAAAAAATAAAGAGACATTAGACATATTATCTCCTCTTTTAGGAATTTCATTATTCCTTGATAGGGTTTAAGGTGATATTTTTTCGAAAATTAAGGAATCTCATCAATCACCGATGGTTCTAGCACGAAAAAATCAAAGTCTGATGTTAAAGAATATACTTTAAGGTTAAATTATTCATGGTTTTATCGGAAAATTTCATCCTCTACGCCTTATGGAAGAATTTCCCATCACTTTACCTCCTTGAAATCAAATAAACTCTCCCCTTTTCCATTCAGCCACAAGAAGTACTTCAAATTGATTGTCAGGTACTCAGAGCCTGGAATCAGTAAGGGGATTTATTTTACGAGCAGGCGAGGGAAGGAAGGAAAAGACTCATCGCGCAGTATTCAATGGATGAACTGAATTTAACTTTGGAACAAGTACGGAATGACCTAAGGAATAGTTCTCATAGTATTGAAAGTGATGATGTTATTGAAGAAGTTAACGTCAATTCGTTTCAAAATTTCGTTTCCTCATATCAGCGGGCTCAATCTTTTTCTGCCGATAGGTCTATTAATGAAGAGACTGAATTATTAGGACGTAGAGGTAGTTTATCATCAAATGTTACGTTGATTAATAAGAATTCCACAGTTTACCAGACAATTTTCAATGCTATTAATACCCTTATCGGTATAGCTGTGCTTTCATTACCTTATGCATTGAGATTGAGTGGATTTTGGTTAGGAACTATATTATTATTCAGTTGTTATCTTATTAGTACACAAACGGCCAAGATATTAGGATCTATCATCAAAAAACATCCAGAATTAACAACATATGGAGATATAGCAGGATTTTGTGGAGGTTCAATAGCACAATTTCTCATTACTTTATCATTTGTAGTGGATTTAACTGGAGCTTCATTGATTATTGTGCTTTTATTCAGTGATACTTTCACCCAAATATTCGATTTGCCTAAGAGTTTCTTTAAGGTGTTGATTGTGGTGTTGGTATTTTTCTTATCATTTTTACCATTGAATTTGTTATCATTGATCAGTTTAACTGGGGTTATTTCCACATTTTCTTTGTTATTAACCATTGGTATTTGTGGATTCATCACCAATGTTCAACCAGGGACTTTAATTCATCCAATGAAGATTAATTTCTGGCCACAAAATGCTACTGGAGTGATAAAATCTCTTGGAATGTTTATGGCTCCTTATGGAGGACATCCTGTATTTCCTGAATATTATCTTGATATGCGTCATCCTTATAAATATTCCTATGCCTGTACGGTTTCGTTTACGGTGACGTTTCTTATTGATTATTCTATAGCCATTATTGGATTTCTCATGTATGGAACAGATGTTAATGATTCAATCATCAAAAACCTTATGGATAATTCCAATTATCCCAAATTCATAAAGATGGTCTTATTGGTTGTCTTAGGGATCTTGCCAGTACTGAAATTGCCATTATTTGTTAAACCAATTCTACGTACTGTCATGAGTCATTTGAATTTAAAGGACACTTTAACATCAAACATTTTAATTCGTTTAGTTTATTTCGGGTTTATCCTATTGTTATCACTTGTGGTGCAATCATTTGGTAGAGTAGTTGCATTTTTGGGAGCAGCTATTTGTTTTACACTTTGTATGACATTCCCATATTACTGTAAGTTAGTAGTATTTAAGGACGATTTAAGTTCCAAAGAGAAAGGTTTATATAAGATGGGTATAGCTATAGGGACTATCGGGGCTATTTTAGGGACCGTTGGAAGTGTTATTGACTAGTGAACAGTCAAGGAGAGACGAAAGTCTGAGTCACAGACTTTAATAAGACCTCTAGTAATTAATGTATATTCAAAGTATCACGTATCTTTTTTTCTTCTATCATCATAGATTATATTGGGTTGATAAAAGAATCCATCATTTTGAGATTTAGCTAAATATTGAGCCATTACTGAAGAACCACTAAAAGATTTATCATTGACATTCAATCCTGATGGTGGGTAATTATAAGAATTATAATAAGGTTGATTCAAAGAATTAAATGAATGACTATGATGTAAATGAGGTTGAGGAGCCGTCATTGGATGGTATGATTGGAATTGTTGTTGTGGAGGTGGAGGTGGATAACTATAACCATTATAATAAACATAAGGAGTTTGAGGTATTGGACCCAGGAATTGTGGTGGCATACCTAAATGGTGAGGTTGTGGAGATTGATGGATCTTATATTTCCCCAAAGAAGCATTTGAATTGTTTCTTTTAGTTCTTGGTAATGAAGGAATGAAGGGATCAGAAGAATTAACAAGGTTATTATAAAATTTCTTCTTCTCTCTTGGTTCATTTGAATTATTAGCAGTAGTTGATGAGGTATCATCAGATCCAATGATAATGGAAATATCATCATCATCATCTTTTTCTTCATCTTTTTCATCATTATCATCTTTTGGCTTTTCTTTTGGTTCTTGAATATTAAGATTGTTAAGACCTTTAGCCAATTCTTTTTCTCTTTCTCTTGTTATTATATCATCTTCTTCAGGTGATTCTTGTAAACTTTCTAAAGATTCATCAAGATTCTTTTCATCTTTAATAATACCAAATACCATAGCTGCTTCATCATTAATTTCTTCTTGTTTTTTCTCTTCAAAATAGATTTTTTGTCTTACTTTACCAAATTTCTTCTTAAAAGAAAATTTTGGTGGATTACCACATCTATCTTTACCAAAACTTATTTTAAATTCTTTATATTTATCATAAAATCCATCATTTTTAGCGATTGAATTCAATTTTGTGATATTTTTCAATTCGAATAATTCAACTACTCTTATAGCATCTAAGATATTACAAAAATTTATAAATGCACAGTCATTATGATAGAAATTGATTTGTTCTAGATTACCAAATTCTTTAAAATCTTTCCTTAAAGATAATTCTGTAGGTAAAATAGGTTTTTCAATAATCTCCTCGGTCTTATTCAATTTAATTCCGATATAAACATTTCTTGAAGCTCCCGCAGTTACAGCTAAAGATATTTCACGATTTAAAGGACCTGAATGAGTCTTAGCCCATCCAACAGTAATATCATAACCATGGATAATTAATTGATGAACTACTTGATGATTAAGATAGAATTTTAATGCAATGCCGGGATCGATGAAAGTTATGAAACAATGTCTCTTTTCAGGATAATATTTAATAGATTCCAATAATCCACCAGCTCTGACATTATTGGCTATTTCTTCAATGGTTGATTGAGGATGTAAGTTACCTAAATAAATGGTTCTATTACCTACATTATAAGGATCATTATAACTGTAGTTAATGAAATCTTCATCCATAGAATGCATTGGAGGAGTGGGCATAACTGGGGGCATTACAGGAGGCATTACAGGAGTAGCTATTCCAGGAGTCATCATACCAGAGATCATTCCTGGACCTATGCCAGGAGTAACTATACCTGCAGGTACCATACCAGGAGTTCCAAGACCAGCTATAGGAGTGGCCATTCCTGAAGGTATACCAGAAGGTATACCATTAGCCCCCATTCTTTGCATTATTGGTGTACCTACTAAAGAATTATTCACTTCCAAACCTAAACCCAAATCTTCATTTTCATCTTCATCTTCATCTTCACTTTCATCAAATTTATCACTACTAGGATATTGATTATAATCATCTAATAACGTTGTACGAACACTTTCATTTATCATATCATTGTCATTATCTCCCACTGGAGTACCTGATCTTGTACTGGGGATTTTTTCATTAATTATTGTCCTATCACATCTATCTTTTATAAATTCAACATTTATTATGAGGAATTTATCATCAAATTCTTCTTCATTAACCAATTTTTGATTACTCAATTGAACAGTTTTTTGGAACATTTCAAATATTCTTATACTTGAATCAATTGAAGTGAAATGAATTTGTACGGAATTTTCATTGAAACATACTTTCTCATATTCAACATTTGATTTAGAACAATAATTATCCAATACCATTCCGAGTTCTCGTTTACTATCGATATTATCAAATACTTCATAATTCAATTGTAAACTTCTGGTAGCATTAAAATCATTTATATAGTTTAAAGTCTTCAATTTTATGAAATCTTTAACATTTTTACTATCATTTAAACTAATTTTCAAATTATCTGAAGATAATTTTGTTTTCAAATCATTAAGATTACTTAAATTATTATATTTAAGGAAGAAATTAATGGAAATGGTAGAATTTATGAATGAAATATAACAAAATTTATAACTTTCATTGGATTTATCCTTGGAAAATAACTTTAAATATTCAATAGGTCCAAAATCAACATTATCCAACAATTGTTGTAATGATAATGAAGGGTTTATGTTCTTTATTATGATAGTTCTAGAAATATTTAATTGATTTAAAGTATTATCAGAAGTCTTACTCATAGTTAAGTAAGGGTTATAATTTTGATATTGGAATTGATTTTGTAATTGCATTTGTTGTAAATTATGTAATTGTTGTTTGTGCATTTGAATTTGTCGTTGAATTTGATGATGAACTTGACTAGGTAATGGCAGATTAATGGGCAGATAATCTCTATCTTTATATGAAAAGTAAGACATTATGATTGAATCTTTGTTTATGATGAATTAATAGAAATTTTCTCTGATGTGGATTATTAATTTGAATTCCCCTTTAACTTGATGTCCTTCCAACTTTCTTATTCTTTTTCCTATCTAAAACACCTTCCTTACACCAGGATTATGATTCTATTAATAACTTGGTGTTGGTTATGACCTTAGTAAATCCAGTTACTAAATTATCTGATCCTTATGATGATTTTAAGGAATTACGAAACGATGTTTGTTACTTAAACGATTGAAATCCTTAGTTCTTATAAAAAATATTCCCGTTACTGTTAAGGTAACTTTGTAAATGTTGATAAAAATTTCACAATTTCTCACTTTTTTTCAGGGTCGTGTTTAAAACGCCCTACCTTTTTTTTTAACGTGGAATAAGGAGCATGAGGGATAAGGGATTCTAACAGGATATTTTTTACATGCAACTATTCCGAGAGGGTTAAGGGAATAGTAAGGGGTAGGGTTGAAAGGGTTGAGGCTTCTGAGTAAATCGAAAGTTAATCTTAACAAAGAGATATAACAAAGGACGCAAAATAATTACGAGTTTTTTTTTGTTAATGACGAGGAGTCATATTGGTAATTACAGTGGAATAGTATCGTCTGAACAGTAAATATCCATCTAATAAAATGGTGAGAGTATCTTAGGACAAGTGTCCTGTTTTGAACAACTCAGTAAAAGTCTATGTGTCCGTAAAACTATTGTTGATACGCTGGCAATTTTACTAACAGAAAAAACTCCATGTTTAGCCGAATTAGTCTTTATGTCCCAAACGACTGTATAACGCAAAATGAAAAATCAAAAGGTTCTTCGGTCACATGACTTGCGAAAGGAGCAATCTATGGGATTTAAAGGACTATGGTAGTTTTTTGACCATGCAATGGAGATAAGGCTCTGTGATGGTGGATCATACGATACATTATGATATCGAGTGTCACTTCATAGGTAAGATATGGAGAATATATCAACTCAATGGATTCTATCCCATCCCTTTAACTTTTGTCATTCGATTTGCCTGTGCACGACTCAGTTTCAGGTTTTAGATTGGTATAGTTTAAGTCCTCCATTGACTTAAATAACCACATCTATACCTTCCGTAAACATCATAACATGGCCCTTCACCACCATTCCTCTCACCAATCCTCTAAAACTCTCCCCGTGTGTTGAAAATTCCCATCACTCAAAATGTAAACAATCGTCGAGCATTAGTGAGGGAGAAGACTAGAAAAAATTTTCCACAAAGAATCAAAGCAAAGAATATGGCTCAACAAGTTCCAAGTTTTAAATTAGTTTTAGTTGGTGATGGTGGTACTGGTAAAACCACCTTCGTTAAAAGACATTTAACTGGTGAATTCGAAAAAAAATATATCGCCACAATTGGTGTTGAAGTTCATCCATTAGGTTTCCATACCAATTTTGGTGAATTAATTTTTGATGTCTGGGATACTGCTGGTCAAGAAAAATTCGGTGGTTTAAGAGATGGTTATTATATTAACGGTCAATGTGGTATCATTATGTTCGATGTTACTTCCAGAATTACTTATAAAAACGTTCCAAATTGGCATAGAGATTTAGTTAGAGTTTGTGAAAACATTCCTGTTGTTTTATGTGGTAATAAAGTTGATGTTAAAGAAAGAAAAGTTAAAGCTAAAACCATCACTTTCCACAGAAAGAAAAACTTACAATATTATGATATTTCTGCTAAATCAAATTATAATTTCGAAAAACCTTTCCTTTGGTTAGCTAGAAAATTAGTTGGTAACCCTCAATTAGAATTCGTTGAATCTCCTGCTTTAGCTCCTCCTGAAGTTCATGTTGATTCTAACTTAATGAAAGAATATCAACAAGAAATGGAACAAGCTGCTGCTTTACCATTACCTGATGAAGATGATGCTGATTTATAATCAGTTTATGATCTTCAGTTTATAGTAATATACACCGTGTTTATTACATGTAGAGTTTTCGATGTGTAGTTTCTTGTAATAGGAGAGATCATCGATGGATCATTAGATCTTCAAGATTTGAACCTGAGACGTGAACTGATCATCGTCTCAATTCTGAAACATGCGATCTGCAATTTTGCTCTTTAATTCTCTTTCTTGATCTTCTTCTACCAAAGTATGTTACTACTCGTCTTTGTTGATCTACTAAGTACCTAACTACTTCTTCTATCAAACTTCGAGATTCAGATATACCAAATGCTTTCCATTAATCTATACCCTATATGCTAATTTTTGCTCATTAAATATACAATTCCCTCTTTATCCTTTTCGTTATGTAATATGCTTGGTGGTGGATTAGGATACCCTTTTATCACTTGTGGAGGTGGTAATTTGAATTCATTATCATTCTCATCACCTACCCCTACAGAAAATTTTAGATTCCCATCAAATCCTGGTGCTTGCTTGACAACATCACTTAACTCTATGTCGGGATTGATTATCTCCTTAATGTCATTCTCCTGAGCTTTGGATAAGTAATATTGACAATATAATTTGATATGGTTCTTCCCCTGTAAATGACTTTGTCTGACACTTTGAGTATCGTGGGTGAGATACGATTTACAATATTCACAATAAAATCTCATTTTTTTCCACTTTATTGAATATTTCCTTTCTCCTTCGACCTTTCTTCAAGTTTAGGTTATCTGTTTCTTCAACTTTCTTCCTAAACCTAGACAATTCTCTTCTTCTAATAAAGTGTGAGGGTAGTGAATTATGGCCAATAAAAATGTGTTATTTCGCACCGAATTGGAAAACTGAAAACTTTTCATCGATAAATATGTTTAGACAAGTATGTTAACCATTATATGAACAGATTAATTGAGTTCATTACCATCAAAGACTACATCATAGTTTTGTTAGACGGTCAATTTACTCAAATTGATTTTCCGTTTGTCAATTCATTCATTTTAACAGTATATTAACCATGTAGATTATTTCCAGAAGATTCTTATCAGTTACTCCAAGAAGATCTAACTTAGTATCTGACTTATACATTCAACAAATCAAATCATTCAAACCAACTCCATTATCAGCTCAAGAAGTTGAATCTTCCGTTAAACAATTTCAAATCCCAGCTCAACCAACTATCCCAACTGAAGAAATTAACAGTGATTTATTAAAAGAATACGAATCAAGCGAAGTTGAAACTGCTGCTGCCGAATCCAAAGCTGAAACTCACATCCCAGAAGAAGAATGGTTTGTTTTCCCAGAAGCTGATGAAGAACATCATTAAATTCAACATTTTAAATCATAGATTTACGGTTTGATGATTTTAAATTCATGGTTATAAAAGTTCATAAATAAATATTAGAAACACACTTCTCTTAGTGAAATAGGGAGATATTAGTGGTAATTGTCAGTAAAGAAATGATCATTTGATCTGATACTTCATGTGATACTTATTTCTATACTTTTTGAATAACAGAAAGTATTATTCACTTCTGGACTTCTCAAAGTCTCCACTGTACTTCTCAAAGTCTCCACTGTACTTCTCAAAGTTTCCACCATACTTCTCAAAGTCTCCTCTGTACTTCAACTTCTTTTCCCTACCTGCACTTCTCTTCATAACCTTTCTCATCATCCTTAACCCTCAATTCTCAGCTTATCTGAAAAATACGCGTATGCCCTACTTAAACAAAGAAAGTGTTGTGGGTGCTTCTAAAACCCTTAATGATATACTAATATCTAAGGGATACATAGATGAACCATTATTATTCCCAACCATTGACTTTGACCAATTGAAAACGGGCCAATCCCAAGAATTCCCTGAGTTACAGGTGACTGAGAAAATTTATAACAATGATAAAAATATCATTAATATCATTCATGGATTGATTCAGAGTGTTGATAGAAATAAAGATCAGAATACTACTTTCAATAAGATATTAACTAGGAAAGATGAGACCATTAAGGACTTACAAGCGAAAAACCTTTTGTTACAGAAAGAAATCAATAAGAACTTGAAACATATTCAACAACAACAAAATGAAATTGAAATTTTGAATAATAGAAAGTTCGAATTGACATCAAGGAATAATTTAATGATGAAAAATATCAGTAGATTCAAACAAAAATTCAAAGATTTGGAAATCAAATACGAAATTGAAATCAAAAGACAATTAATCGAGATTGATACATTGAAAAATCAATTAATCAATAAGAAAAATTTAAGTACTTCAATAACGTATGGAATAAAGACCAAAAGATTGAAAACAGATTTTACTCCTAACACTATTATTGGTAATAATCCCATCATTAATAATACCTTTACTGAAGATATAGTTACACCACAATTGAATATCGAATATGAAGATATGATAAATCATTTATCTTCATTAGTTGATAACTTATTGAGAGAAAATCATAAACTAACAAAATTCATGAAGTCAATGACATCATATTTTTCAAATTTGAATAATAATTTATATCAATTCCAAAATAATCCTAATATAGTAATATCCAATCCTTCAGATTTCATTTCCAATACTGATGATGACATTGAAATAGATATAAAAGACGTTGAAGGGTATGATACTGTAGTGACGCCGTTTTTGAATAATATCTATAAGAATTATCATCATTTGAAAGATGTGATTGATGGGTTTAATAATATAGAAGATCCCGATGTGGAAAACTTGAAAAATGAATTAAACATAGTGACCAAAAATTGGGAAGATGCTATGAAAACATTGGAAGATTGGAAATCTAGAAGAAAGTAGGTTAATTGTATAATATTTGGTAACTCTAAAGACTCGATAAAAGCGTGGATTCCAAACTTACACACGTTAAAGGGAACTCTTTCATTAACTCCTCTTCATGATTCTTGAATTTTAACACTACTTTGTTACCCTTAACTTCTAAGAGAGTATTTAAAATGATTCCTGAACACATGATATCTTCAAATTTATAATTATCATCATTTGTTTTAGAGGAAAATTTAACTATTCTTAATAAATCTCCTGGTATTAAAGATTGGAAACATTTAACTACCACCACTATCCCACCAATGTTGATAAAATTATCAGAGTATGGGTCAGGTACTTTCCTAACCAGGGAAGTGGGTAGAAGGTTCTGAAGGATAAGGGTTCGATTCAAACTATCATCTTCAGTATCATCTCCAGTATCGTCAATATTAGTATCATCAATATTAGCATCATCGATATGGGCATCTTCGATGAAACTTTCATCTAAAGCACTAAGATACTCCTGACTAGACCCATCAATCAAAACTCCGCCAGGAACCTCTCTTCCCACCACCGTCAGTTCTTGATCAAGACTTTTCACGGCGGTTAATGATGGATTTTCAGTATCATGACCATTTCTTAACTCCCAAAACTTATAAGGTTCATTATCAATAAACACGGTATAACAGAACATTACATACACGATGACAAAGAGCATCATGATGACAAAAACACCTAAAATAGTGGCTAAAATTGGAATAGCTTTATTCATAGTTAACGCTTGGGTGCAAAAAAAAAACGAGGAAAATTCTATTTGGTGAAGAAATCACCTTCAATATCAACGGTCTCTTCGAAGTTCGAATCCGGTTCCTCTTTTTCTTCTGCTAGTTTCTTATACTTCCTAGCGGCTTTTTTCAGTTTACTTTGTTTCACTTTAACTTTCCTATCGGTTACCACAGCTAATCTTGAATTTTCTGGATCTTGTAAAAATTGGATTTTCTCTGCCAAAATCTCCCTGGCACGCTTCCTATTAGTTTCTTGTGACCTACTCAGTTGATTGGTTACAACTATACCTGTAGGAATATGTTTCAATTGAACTTTACTATTAGTCTTATTAATCTTTTGCCCTCCAGGTCCACTACCTCCTTTGATGAACTTTTCTTCTATATCCTCCTCATTTATGAGCCAAGTTGGTCGTGGTGGTAATTTATTCTTCTTAGGTATAGCATAATGTCGTACCAATCCTCCTATATTCAATCTTATTCCTCTAATCATTTATGGGAAAATCTCATACCTCAATGTGGTGTACTGATGTGTTTTTCAAGTTTTCTTGAACTTACCCGGACAAAACGCGAAGAAATTCAATTTAACTCAATTGGGAATATTAATTACACGTCCCAAAAAAAAAAAAATCTGAATTATCTTTTTAGAAACTTATCATATATGTCTTACGATAGAGTAGATAATTATAGTGCTCCAGCTATTGCACCATCAGATGGAGGTGATGATTCTCATAATGAAATCTTGAAGTCATTTAAATCATTCATTTTAGAATTCAGATTGAATAATCAGTTCATTTATAGAGATCAGTTAAGAGAGAACTTATTGATCAAGAACTATTTTTTGAAAGTCAATAATGAACATTTGATTGGGTTTAATGAAGAATTGAATAAGAAATTACATGATGATCCAACAGAAATGATACCAATCTTTGAAAATGCTATTACTGAAATTGGTAAAAGAATAGCTTATTTATCAACTGATGAGAATGAAGTTCCTAGTAATTTCCCCCAATGTCAGTTGATTTTATATTCCATTGCTAATAAAACTTCCATTAGAGATTTGGATAGTGAAAATATTTCCAAAATTGTTAGAGTTAGTGGGATTATTATCTCATCATCAGTATTATCATCAAGAGCTACCAAAGTTCAAATTATTTGTAGAAATTGTAAACATACTATGAAGATGAGTGTTAGTCCTGGGTTTGGTAACTTACAATTACCTAAGAAATGTCAAGGATCTCATAATTTCGATGATAATTCCACCCAACAAAAATGTCCCAATGAACCTTATACCATTGTTCATGATAAATCCACTTTCATTGATCAACAAATTTTGAAATTACAAGAAACTCCAGATATGGTACCTGTTGGGGAAATGCCTAGAACCATTCTTTTACAAAGTGATAGATATTTAACCAATCAAGTTGTTCCAGGTACCAGAGTAACCATTATTGGGATTTATTCAATTTTTGAAAATACTGGTAAAAAAGTTAGGAATGGTAATGTCAACACTGTTGCTTTGAGAAATCCATATTTAAAGATTTTGGGTATTCAAACCGATATTGAATCAAATAACTCTAACTTAATCTTTACTGAAGAAGAAGAGGAAGAATTCATTAAATTGAGTAGATTACCTAATTTATATGAAGTTTTCTCAAGTTCAATTGCTCCTTCAATTTATGGTAATAATGACATTAAAAAGGCCATTACTTGTTTGTTAATGGGAGGATCTAAAAAGATTTTACCTGATAATATGAGATTAAGAGGTGATATCAATGTGTTATTATTGGGGGATCCAGGTACTGCTAAATCTCAATTATTAAAATTCGTTGAAAAAGTTAGTCCTATCTCTGTTTATACTTCAGGTAAAGGTTCCTCAGCAGCAGGTTTAACTGCTTCAGTTCAAAGAGATTCAGTTACGAGAGATTTCTATTTAGAAGGAGGAGCTATGGTCTTAGCTGATGGTGGGGTTGTTTGTATTGATGAATTTGATAAAATGAGAGATGAAGATAGAGTAGCTATTCATGAAGCTATGGAACAACAAACCATTTCTATTGCTAAAGCTGGGATTACAACTGTTTTGAATTCTAGAACTTCAGTTTTAGCAGCAGCTAATCCAATTTTTGGAAGATATGATGATTTGAAATCTCCTGGTGAAAACATCGATTTCCAATCAACCATTTTGTCTCGTTTTGATATGATTTTTATTGTTAAAGATGATCATAATGAAAATAGAGATATCTCAATTGCTCAACATGTTATGAATGTTCATACTGGTAATTCATCAGCCAACACCAATCATAATGAAGAAGGAGAAATTCCAATTGAAACAATGAGACGTTATATTCAATATTGTAAGAATAAATGTGCACCAAGATTAACTCCTGAAGCTGCAGAAAGATTATCATCACATTTCGTTTCCATTAGAAAGAAGTTACAATTAAATGAAGCTGATATGAATGAAAGATCTTCTATTCCAATTACCGTTAGACAATTAGAAGCTATCATTAGAATAACAGAATCTTTAGCTAAATTAGTTTTATCACCAATTGCTACTGAAGACCATGTTGAAGAAGCTATTAGATTATTTACTGCCTCCACCATGAATGCTGTTGATCAAGGTATCAACAATGGAATGGTAACCAACTCAGAATTGAATAAAGAAATTGAAAAAGTCGAACAAGAGTTGAGAAGAAGACTACCAATTGGTTGGTCAACTGCTTATAGAACATTAAGAAGAGAATTGGTAGAGAGTGGTAAAGCTAGTGCTAATGCTTTAGATAAAGCATTATTGATAATGGAAAGACATGAAATTATTAGATTTAGACACCAACGTCAAAATATTTTACGTGTAGGAGTTTAGGGTATTGTAAATTAATAGGTTTTATTTGGTTACTATTTCTTCTCTCGCACCATTTGATGGTAGTATCGCACGATCTCCCTGGTACCAGTTTGGTGAGTCCCCCCGTCCGTCTCAGAATAGTAAATTCGCACCCATCTCACTTGAAAAACTCAAACATGTCCGACGTTGATGATTTGAAGTTCATTGGTTTAGGTGGTTGTAATGAAGTAGGGAGGTCATGTCATATCCTAGAGTATAAGAATAAAGTCATTATGTTAGATGCGGGTGTTCATCCTGGTTTAAGTGGATTAAATTCTTTACCTTTCTATGATGAATATGATCTTTCTAAAGTTGATGTTTTATTAATCAGTCATTTCCATTTAGATCATGCTGCTTCTTTACCTTATGTAATGCAACATACCAATTTCAAAGGTCGAGTTTTCATGACCCATGCTACAAAAGCCATTTATCGTTGGTTATTAACAGATTTCGTTAGAGTTACCTCATTATCCAATGCTTCAGATGCTGTTATGGGAGGTTCATCATCCAATTTATATACTGATGAAGATTTAATTAAATCCTTTGATAGAATTGAAACCATTGACTTCCATTCAACCATCGAATTAGAAGGTATCAGATTCACTGCTTATCATGCCGGTCATGTTTTAGGTGCCTGTATGTATTTGATTGAAGTTGGAGGATTAAAAATCTTATTTACTGGTGATTATTCACGTGAAGAAAATAGACATTTACCTGTTGCTGAAATCCCATCAATAAAACCCGATGTTTTAATTACTGAGTCTACTTTTGGTACTGCCACACATGAACCTAGAATGGAAAAGGAAACCAGGTTGACCAAATTGATTCATAATACTTTAACTAAAGGTGGTAGAGTGTTGATGCCAGTGTTCGCTTTGGGTACAGCACAAGAATTATTGTTGATTTTGGAAGATTATTGGAAAAGAAATCCTGATTTACAAAAATTCGATATTTATTTTGCTTCATCTTTGGCCCGTAAATGTTTGGCCGTGTATCAAACATATACCAATATCATGAATGACTCCATCAAGTTGCAAACATCCAAGAATGATCTGGTAAGGAACCCTTTTAACTTCAGATATATCAAAACATTGAAATCTTTAGATAGATTCCATGATTTCGGTCCTTCAGTAGTCATTGCAAGTCCAGGGATGTTACAAAGTGGTATATCTAGAAACTTATTGGAAAAATGGGCCCCTGATCCTAAAAATATGGTTTTGATGACAGGTTATTCTGTCGAAGGAACCATGGCTAAAGATTTATTGATTTCTCCTCCAACCATTCCATCTATTAATAATCCCGATATGACCATCCCCAGACGTTTGGGTATTGAAGAAATCTCATTTGCTGCTCATGTTGATTTCTTACAGAATAGTGAATTCATTCACGAAATCAATCCTACCAAAATTATCTTGGTTCATGGAGATTCCATTCCTATGGGTAGATTGAAGTCGGCTTTATTGAGTAAGTATAGTAATAGAAGAGGTACAGATCAAGAAATGAAGGTTTATAATCCAAGAAATGGTGATCAATTGAGTATCCCAATCAATGGGTTGAAAGTAGCTAAAGTTTTAGGACTTTTAGCTGAAGATCAAATAAGTCAATTGAAGAGTGAGATTGAAGAGGAATTGGAGGATAAGATTGTTGAGGTAAAGAAAGAAGATGATATGGAACTTGAACCAGAGATCAAGACTGAGGAGTCCACCACTGATGGTGAGATCAAGACCGAACCAGAGACTGAGTCAGAAATCAAAGACGAAGAAGAAAAACAAACCTTCACTAGTGAAAAACCTTTAACCGGAGTTATTGTATCCAAAGATTTCGACTTGAATGTCCTCCAATTACAAGATTTACATGAATTCACCCAATTATCCACATCCATAGTGAAGTCCAAGATCGATCTCATAATCAATGCCAACTTATCTATGGTCGAATGGCATTTAGAGCAAATGTTTGGATATATAAATATCGTCCATGATGATGAAAGTCATTGGATTTGTCTTATAATGGATATGATCAGTATAACAGTTGATCGTACCAAATCCCATAATTCATCGTTATTTGTCATGGTTGAATGGATTAATGATAATTTAATGGCTGATTCTTTGGCTGATAGTGTCATAGCCATCTTATATTCCATTGATTCATCACCAGCATCAGTCAGAATCTCCACCAAATCTCATGACCATCATGTCAAACAAGAATCTGATGAAACGTTGATTGTCATTGATAAACCAGGACATACCAACACCAACATCGAAGAAAGAATTTATAGAATTTCATCGTTATTAAAAGCTCAATTTGGTGATAGTTTCTCAGCCAAAGGTAATGAAGCTAAGATTGAATTCGGGAAAAATCAAGCATCTATCAATTATGAAAACCTTACTGTTGAATGTAACTCAAGAGTATTGAAGGATAGAATCGAGAATATCATCAAAAGGGGATGTAATTTGGCAGCTCCTTTGAATCAAGTAAGTAAATAGTGTAAAATAGACAGGTCGCATTGCGAACAAAAAATTCTCACTATGGCAGAAGTAAACATGGAGTACGTAGAATTAGCGGTATAGGCGTGTTAAAGCGTGTTACCGGCAATGAGGGACAGTTCAGTGGAACTAGAGGTTCTAAGAAGAGATCTCAGTGTTTGTAATTGTTGTAAAAGTCCTTGAATACCCTGAATTTGTCCCATAACTTGTCTATTTGAAACATCATATACTAACTAAATAGTGTCAGTGAAGGTGCTAAAAATGACCCTTTCACCATAATGTCTGAATCAGTAAGAGACAAAACCAAAATAGTGATATCATGTCGTAACAACCACAAACTAGTAGGAAGTTTAAAAGCATATGATCATCATTGTAATATGATATTAGAAGAAGTTAAAGATATTTGGAGTGAGCCTATCAAGAATGGGAAAGGTGAAGTTGTAGACACAAACGCTAGAGAAAGATACATACATAAGATGTTTTTAAGAGGTGATACGGTGGTAGTTGTCATGAAATTGTAAGTATATAGTATAATAGATAAGGACCTGGAACTCTTCTCAATGCTCACTTTTCTCATCTTTTCATCACTATGAGTGAAATAACAGATCCATCAACTTACAATAAACGAGATCTTTTGCTCGTGTTACAATTACTTCATACTGAAGGGTTGATAGATCCATCAGCTATAAATGCCAAACCATCGATTTTGAAAGATATTTCATATAATTGGTTCAATCATAAAAGTACAAAGTTATCTATGATGAATGGGTTAGATATAGGAAAACAATGGACTATAGGTCAATTAGTGGAATTATACAATAACTTATTAGCAGAATATCCCAATTGTTCTAATACCACAGATTTGGCTAATACTATATATGCAGAAAGAGTAGAAGAATTAGAGAGGAAGTTAGAAGATAGCCAACAACAATTTGAAGACTTGATTAATGAATAGGTGTATAATAGATGTATATAGAGGGCAAAATTACCCCAATGAATAAACTAGACCACCATTGACTTCTACTGGTAACTTACTTACACTTGGTCATTTGCAAGTACCAGTCTCTTACTTTTACTGTTCACTGACTATTACTAGGTTAATGGCTTATGTCGCATACCATTTATGTCTCATCAATAAATATCTCCTTCAAATGTCGTGGACATAAGTCCCCCATGTCGCATGTCCCAGCCCGCATCCTCGGTGAAAACTCCACATTTTAAATCTGGAGTCATCAATATGTCAACACCAAAGAATAAGTCGTTAGCTCTATCAGCTTTCAATATCTACAAGCATAATAGATCCTTGGTTCTTAATGCTTCTTACATTATATTGATCACTGCGGCTTTTTCCGGTGCCACCAATACCCAATCATCGAAATCTAAAAAGAAGGATGAAGTTAATATAGATAAGAAGAGGAAGAAAATTTCAAAAGAATCAGCTTTAAGGTTGATGAAAGCCGCTATTCCCAAAGTTAATGATATGAGTGTTGTATACTTAATCACACATTTAGGTTTATTGGTGGTTAGGGCGTTTTTAACCATTAAAGTAGCTAGTCTTGATGGGAAATTAGTTGGGGCTTTAGTTTCAAAGAAATTAAAGAAATTTGGTCAGTTATTAGCTTTCTGGATGTTCTTAGGGATCCCAGCTTCCATAGTTAATGCGTTGTTGAACTGGACTAGAAGTAATTTCAGGAAACATTTAAGAATCAATATGACCAACAGTATTATTGAAGATTATTTACCAGATAATTTGGATGCTAATTATTATTCATTACTTCAAATAAGTGATAGTAAAATAAAAGATCCTGATCAAAGAATTTCCACCGATGTTTCTAGGTTAGCTGGAGCGTTATCTTCATTACCAGGACAATTATTAAAGCCAACATTAGATTTATTATTATGTGCTAAAGAATTAAGTAAAAGTGGAGTTGGTAGTGGCGAAGGAACTATTGCTCTTGGACTTATAGCCCATTTTTCAACGATGATTTTGAAATTATTCTCACCACCATTTGCTAAATTAGCATCAGAAAGAGCTGATTTAGAAGGTAAGTTGAGATCAGCACATTCTAAAATCGTTTCTAATAGTGAAGAAATTGCATTTTTGAGAGGTCATGAAAGAGAATTGGATTATATTGATTTCTGTTATTATCAATTAGAAAGATTTTCAAGAATGGAATATTGGAAAAAAGCTGTTCATGAAGTTGCTCAAACTTTTATTGTTAAATATTTTTGGGGTGCAGCAGGTTTGGTTTTATGTTCAGCTCCAGTATTTATTAATAAATATTTAGGTAAAGATCCTGATCCTTCAGTTTCAGGAGACTTTATTACTAATAGAAGGTTATTATTAAGTGCATCAGATTCGTTAGATAGATTAATTTATTCCAGAAGATATTTATTACAAGTTGTGGGACATGCTTCAAGAGTTAGTGATTTCCAAGATGCTTTACATGAAATCAAACAAAATAATTCAAAAGATTATAAGGGAAGTGAAAAATCCGGTGATGTTCAATATGGTGACGAAATTACTTTTGATAATGTAAGATTAGTTACACCAGCTGATGTCACATTAATTGAATCATTGAATTTCAGTATTAAACATGGACAACATTTATTAATTGCTGGACCCAATGGATCAGGAAAATCTTCATTATTTAGAATGTTAGGAGGTTTATGGCCAGTTAAAAATGGTAGTATTGTTATTCCACAAACTGAAAATATGTTTTATTTACCTCAAAGAGCTTATCTTTGTAGAGGTAACTTAAGAGAACAAGTTATTTATCCTCATAATTTACAACAATTCAAAACCAACAAACATGGTAAAACCGATAAGGATTTGTTTGAAATATTCAAAATCTTGAATTTAGATGATTTATTAGTAGGTGATCAACCTTGGGAACAAACAAGAAATTGGGGTGAAGAATTATCTGTTGGGGCTCAACAAAGATTAGCTATGGCAAGATTATATTATCATCAACCTAAATTTGCTGTTTTAGATGAATGTACTTCAGCAGTATCACCAACTATGGAACAATTCATGTACAAACATGCACAAGAATTAGGAATTTCTTTATTATCAGTTGCTCATAGACCGGCTTTATGGCATTTCCATAATTTCTTATTGAAATTTGATGGTAAAGGAGGATATTATTTTGGGAAGTTAGATGCCGAAAAGAGATTGAAGTATGAAGAAGAAAGATTAACTTTAGAGAAAAGTTTAAGAGATGTTGGTAATTTAAGAGATAGATTACAAGAATTAAAGAGAGTTTCCAATGCTCAACACATAAAGTATCAAAATTCCCATAAAAACTTGGCTCAATTAGGTAAAGAAGCTGTAAAGACTTCATAGTAAATAGTTCATAAAGATCTTTTTCCGCACCTCATTTTTTTTGCAGCCAAAGGTAAATGAAGACTTCACCATCTAGAACGAGTCCATCAAAACCTGTGGTATTCTCTGAGCCTATTGGAGGTGAAGGTAACGAGGAAGTGTTCAAAAAACCAAGTCCTCGTGTAAGTACAGCCAATTTAACAGAAAAAACTAATCAATCAAATGCCCGCCAGGGTACAAATAGTTTTGATAGTGATTCATTCAATTCAATGTCATCACCATGTGATAGATTCAAGGAAGACTCAATTGAAGAGATTGAGAGGTTTTTGAAGTCTCAACATCTTGATATTGAGGATTCGGAATTACATTTGTCTTCTTTAGAGGTGTTACAACAACATATTGATGAATTGGTTGATGGCGTTAAGTATCAGGATAAAGTTGAACAATTACCACCATTTGATTGGGAGAAAATCCAGAATGCTTATGGTGATATAATGAATAACTTTGTCACTCAAGCTAAAGGGATTCTTGAAGAAATGCATGATATTGAGAATGTAAGTTTACCATTTCCCATCGTACCCCAAATGCGTACTAACTTCTTAGAATTTGAGATTATGGCAAAACACCTATTTCAGATTAGATCATGGCAAATGTTTTCAAAAGTATGTAGATTGACCTCTTTCCAAACAGTTTGGACTGTACTAACCATTTTTAGAATCAAAAATGTCCTGAAAGCTATGGATGAAAAACAAGAAGAAATATCAGCTATCTCTGAAAAATTTAATGAACTCCAAACCACTTTGAAGACAGAGTTTGAAAAATTTGAATCATAACTGCGATTTTTACAAAATCAATAAACCTCATAAACCTCATCCCAAGAGATTAAACAAAGGGTTCATTAAAAAATTCCAATCATTTCTATAATTATGCAACTATTTCGATATAATCATCGATATCTAACAAACAAGTTATTCTATAAACAAATATCCCGTCAATTATCCACTAATAATGATAAACCACCATATTTAATGATTGCATCTATAGGTAATCCTGAACCTGAATATACTTTTACTAGACATAATGTTGGTCATTTTGCATTAGATAAATTGATAGAAGATCATTGGACGAATTTTAAAAGTTTTACTAAACATAGAAATTTATCAAGAGGTGTTTATAGTGTTTCCAATGATTCGAACATGTCCAACATATTATTATTCAAATCAAATGATACTTTAATGAACTTACAAGGAGATCCCATATTCACCAATTGGAGAAATGTCAAAAGAATGCAAACAAATAATTATAGTCCAGCATTGGTAATCCTTCACGATGAAATACAATTACCTTTAGGTAAAATCCAAATAAGAAAACAAGGTACTAGTGCACGAGGACATAATGGATTAAGATCAATAGACTCCATCATGGGTAAAGAATATACAAAGATAAGTATTGGTGTAGGTAAACCTCCAAATAAGTTTGTTGCTGACTATGTTCTTGCTAGATTTAAACGACCCGAAATTGAAACTTTAACTTATGATGTCATGCCACAAATTGTTGAAGTACTAGAAGAAATGATGAAGGGGAAATATATCTATGAAAAGTCTAAGTAGTAAATATAGCTATTCAATCAATCTGATGTCTCATATTCTCAAAAGATATTCTCAAAAGATAAGAAAAATCTGAGATCACTCAATGGAGTTTGTATTACATCTAACAGCTGAACGATCAGTTGTAAGAGAGTCATTGAAAGGTAAGTCATCACCATCTAAGTCAATTAATGTCAAATACTAACATGATAGGAATCATATGGTCAATATTCTTCCAACGATTATTTGGTCCTATAACGCCAAATTTGAATGAGTTTTTTGATATCCCTTATCCTTTTGCATCCGATCAGAATGATCTTGATACGTTAATTGATCAAAAGATAAATGAATTGATTAAACGAGATTTTGAAAACATCGATGAAGTCAAATTATCATCAATAATGATTCAATTCTATGATCCTAAAACCGCCAAATCAAGGAAATCAAGTTGGTTTGGTCAAAAAGATAATACTGAACATTTAAAATCATGGGAATCATGGATTATTAAAATCAAATGTTTACCTATGAATGTAACATCATTATCAAGCACAACTAGTGATTTGACCACAGCTATTGGTACAGGTACCAATACTATTACCAGTTCAGAAACAGGTATTAATGATAAGAAGATCCAAGACCAGAATATCCTCACATCGATTGAAAGTTTTGAAGAGAACTTGAATGATATCATTGATATTGTTGATAATAATAAAGATCATATTCCACCCATAACATCATTAGATAGTTCACCATTTCCTTATGAGATTAAAAATATAATAGGTTATAACACTGAGGAGTCATGGGGGAAATACATCAAGAGAATACTAGATTGAGGATTATAAATTACTACTATATAAACCTTCTTCACCTCTTACTAATATACATTCATCTTGGAAAATCACTTTATCAAATAATCCTAAATCTTCAGCTGTTTGTAAAACTGTTTCATCATAACTTCCAGGTTGGAACCATAAACCTCCAATAAGGTCTTTGAATCCATCAACCTTGGAAATATCGTTCAATGTCTTGGTGGTAATACTAGGAGGTGTTAAGAAGGAGATACTGACGGAATTCATGGACTTTAATTTATGTTGACCAATATCCTTCTTACCTAAAGATTCAATGACTGAAGGTAAGGAATTGATCACTTCTTGACCTAAAATCTCCGCAGCTTTAGGATTAACTGGAACTACAGGTAACTCATGATCTAAATACCATTTTGAAATTTTAAACCCGAATTTACTTGGATCGTTAGATGCTCCAGACACAGCATATTGTCTATTAGCTTTAAAAAACGCTTTAATCTTTGGTTTCATCGACATCTTCACTGACTTTATGTGGAACTGTGACCAGGTTGAATTTATGAAACCCTGACTTTAAATCTTGTGAAAAAGTATGGGGACAAATTCGCACCCGATGGGTATAGTTAAGAGAACTAAACCTTGTTCCAACTGTAAGCGATCTAAGGTTAAATGTACTTATATAGATAGTCTACCGTGTGAAAGATGTGTTAAACAGAAACAAGCTCATCTTTGTGTTTTTGTACCCAAACTCCCTAGTTTGAAGTTCCAAGATCCTTTACCTCCATATAGTCAAATTAATGAATCATCAACAGTACCTCCTGTTAATACCCCAAAACCCAATAACATAGGTAATTTGACATCCAAAACCTCAGTTCCACCAACCATACCGTCAGTGACTCCTTCAATACCGTCAGTTCCACCTTCAATACCGTCAGTGGCATCAACATTACCTCAATCATCGCAGATTCCAAGTATTCAAAACATAACTCGACAATCAACGCCCCAAATCCCCTTTGGCTTATCCCAGTATGCCCACAATGAAGGTGGGTGGAAGAATGAAATGTCGTCGAAGATGAATCTTTTTGATAACAGATTGAACGATTTAATGGATGTGTTCACTAAAAGCCAAAAGGAATTATTACAACAACAAGAAAGACATTACCAGGAAATCATGCAACAGAATTCAGCCAACCAGAATGCTTTGAAACGTCAGATAAGTAACGATAGCGAACAAAATGATGAGAAACGAAGGAAATTCGACGTCTCAGAAGATTTCAGAGATAATTTATTAACATTAAATGAAGCTAAATCTTTATTTCAATTCTTTGATTCCAATATTACACCCCAGTTGTTTGGTTTTGAAATTTCCAAGATATCTATTGATGAAATATGGAAATCTTCTCCCATTTTAATCTGTGCCATTTGTACCATATCATCCATACATCATCCAAATTTCGAGTTAAGTACCAAATCCAAAGATTTAATGGCTTGTCTTCATAAGCTATGTAGTGATTTGTTATTTCAACGACCTACGACGGAAATAGATGGGTTTAATACCATACTTGCTTTGATTTTTTGTAGTTTTTGGTTATCTGATTCACAAATGTTTACCGGTTTAGCCTTACAAATAGCCAAAGAGATTGGTTTAGATCAACCAAAACGTAATAAACTGGATAAATCTTTAAACTCACGTGATCGGTTGAAATTATGGTATTTGTTATATGTTTTAGATGGACAACAAAGTTTGACTTATAATAGACAACCTTTATTGAATGCTGGAGATTATTCTATCCAGCACAGTAGAAGCTTGTTACTCAGTAGGGAACAAGGGTCGATTGAAGGTGTAAATGAGATTAAAGAGGAAGTCAAACCTGAGACTAAAGAAGAAGAATATTCAAGATTTACTGATATGAGATTGGTTTCTCAAGTAGAATATAACCAAGCATTGAACGAAGTGTTTAAAGGTAATGCTTGGGAACTCCTTGCTCCCTCATCTTTGGGAATACCGTCGAAATCTAACTTAGAATTAGATAAATGGATGGTTTCATGGACAGTTTTATTGTCACCAATGAATCAAGGAGCGGTGTGGCCATCCAAATCAACATTGATTTATTATAACTTTGCCAAAATGCATATAAACTCCCAAGCTGTTAGACAATTACAATCAGATAATCAGAATAGTTTCCCTAAACTACAAGAATTACCTGATGATTTTGGTCCACAGCCAGCAGTAGTTGAACTTGAAGAAAGTGATAATTGGGAAGATGATTCTGATGATGAAGAAGAGTTCATTTCTCAAAAGCAACTCATAGGTAAAGGCGGTATGTTAGATGACGCGGCCATAGCTTTTAATGCTGCTCAAACGGTGTTGAATCTTGTTCTTATTGATAAGGATATTGTCAACAACTTGAAATATGTTCCCGTTCATATCCATATCATGCTTTACTATGCAGCTTTACTTCTAGTAGGGAACAATAATGTGGAAACTACTGGTACCATGGACCATTTTACCAATCTTATTACAAACTTAAGCACTGTTTGTTCATTAAGGAAATTGATTAGTGAGAATAAACCCGTGGATAAAACCTTTGGTCGTAAGTTATTGACGAGTCTTGATGATCTAATCGAAGAGAAAATGTCCACTATCAAAAAGAGTATCTTAGAAGCAGATATTGAAGATAAGAATGAATTGCTTCATAAGTTAAGTACACTTAGCGAACAATCATCTAAGATATTTGAAACGAGAAGTGAAAGTCCACCCATTTACGCCTGGCCAGGTGCTAACCATGGACATCCATCTCAACCAGATCCTGAAAATATTTAGTTCTCAATTTTGCAACCATTTTTTTTTTTTGCAACCATTTTTTTTGCAACCACAAACCATGGAAACCAATTTTTTAAATTCTTTACAAATGGGGGATTTTAAGAAACCTTTTGAGCTGATTAGTTGGAATGATATCAAACGATTCCCCCAGTCGTTCAAAAGAAGGTCAAAAATCGGGTCGTTTACATTCGATGAAGAATTCGATACCTTACATAAAGACTTGGGCGTTTTAGAAGGTAACCTTGGCACTTTGATAAAATACAGTAAGCTTTTTGACGTTCATAGTAAGCGATTAGTTGATCATTGTGGTGAAATCGGTGTTTGTGTTCAAAATTTAATGGATCCTTATAACAATTTCGATATTTCAGTCAGAGAATCACTTAGGAAGAAAGGTATTGGTGAGCTTTCTGAAAGTATGTTCAAATCCACAGAAGCGAAGGAAATGTTTTTCAAGGAATATACTTATTGGAATGCTTCAGGGATATATATTGAACAAATCAATGGTCTTAAACAAGTGATCAATGGTCCTTCCAGAGTATGTGAAATCATTGAATTGAAATGTAAGAAATGTCTTGCAATCATTGAAGAAGTTAAAATCAAGGTGAAAGCTAGGAATCATGCATTGGATGACTACGATAGTGTTTATAATGACCTTGAAGGATTATGTTTCAAAGCAAAGACTAAAGATTTAACAGCCAAGGAAGCTCAATTACAATTCAACTTGCAACGGAAGCGAGAACATTATCGCACCCAGTACACTCAAATCAATGATTTGTTCAAGAAGGAATTGCCTTTCTTCTTCAAATTGGTAGAATTATTCATCAAGCCTATCAATTATATTTTCTTTTATCATCAGCTTCTGATTTCTTATCAGATTGCAACAAGCCTTTATCCATTGCAACAAACTTTAAAGTTTGGTGTTGATGAATTAGGTGCAAGATGGAATGGAGAGGTGATTAGACAGTGCCAGAGATTGATGCAGAGTCAGGAAATGTTGATTCAACAACTTAATATTCTGCACTTTAGGGATAACTATTATAAGAAGTTGACCGATAGTGACGTCAAGACAGAGATTAAAGAAGTTATAGAATCTGTCACCGTCCCTGATTACTTGAACTTGAAAAACACTTATTGTAGAGCTTTGTATGATTACCAGGCTCAACAAGATGGGGATCTCACAATTCAAAAAGGTGATATCATCCAAGTCATTGATCAAGAAGGTCAATGGTGGGAGGGAAAAATAGATAACAACACAGGCAAATTCCCTTATAATTATGTAGAAATTCTCACATAATATTTATTTCATAAATCATCAATTTTTTCACTATATCTCTTAGCACACATTCCCGAACAAAATTCTTTCTTGAACGGTATATCTTTGTTTTGAAGGAAATTCCACCATTCGATAACTTCAGCTGCTGGTTCTACTATAACTCTATCACATTCAAAGCAAGTTTCTTCAAAATTACCTTGATGAATAGCTTGAATTATCAAATTGTGGAACAACTTTGGAGTGTTGTGTTTCCATTCTTTGGTTTCTTGATATGATACGTCATATTTGGCAATTTGAGCCAAACAAATGGATTTTAATGATGGGATAAGTTTGGTTTGGGAACTTTCGGATTTTATTTCATTATGGTATTCAAAATATTTGATACCACTACGATATCTAAGACATTTCTCTTGATTGGTCGATGTTCTAGGTACTGCACCCTCAGGGATGGTAAGGTATGGATTGGGGCCCGCAGTGAAATTTCTTAAGGATGGTAAATTTAAAATTTGATGAGGTAAGTAAGTTAAACGATTAGTTCCAATAGATAAATCCGTCAAATTAACCATTTTTTTGATTAAAGCTGGAATTTTAACTATCTTGTTCTTACGTAATCCCAAAACATTCATTTTTGTAAACTTAAATAAAGCAGGAGTTAAAAATCTGATCTTATTATTGGTTAAATATACTTGGTAAATGGTTTGAGTAGTATCAAATACCACCAAATTATTAAGATCCTTGATCTCATGAGGAATTTCGGTTAATCCTAAACCTTCTAAATTAATACTGGTTTGCATTTCTTCGAAGGCTTCAATAACAATATCTCTGGCTCTAACATTATTTTGTTTCTGTATATGATTCTCATGATCTATGTCATGGTCAGTTGAGGGACAGTCATTACCATTGGGTCTAAATCTATTGAACTTATCAATACCAAAATCAGTCTCACTTTCTAGTTGAATACTTCTTTGACTCATCCTTATCTTACTAGGTGAATAACCTGTCTCACTAACATGTTGACTAGGGGAGAAAGGTATGGAATAATTACTCACGTCATAATCTGAATTCAAATGAATTGGTGGTGAACTGGGAGGAACGAAGTTCTCTTTATCGTGGGGGATCTTGAAATCGCTATCTATCATTGTGGGTTCTTCACTATCTATAGGTTCAGAATTGAAATCACTAATTTTATCTTGAGCAAAATCTACCGGTTCAACATCATCATGGTAGTCTCTCCTTTTGATGTCATCTTTCTCATTGAAACTTTCACCCATACGACGTTTCAAATTGGGGACGAAACCTGGTTTTAAAGGTCTTCTTCGATCAGGAGTACGGGTGTGATAGATACTTTTAGCATTTTCATCAATGACTTCACGAGATCTAGGCGTGGTATCTAGATGAATTTCCGAGCTATTGGCTCTGGTAAAAGCAAAAGGTAATAATGGATTCTGTTTCTCCATCTCCCTACTCTTGAATAAAGGGGAATTAGTCCTATTGGCTTTGTGATCTTGTGTTTATGAATTAATTGTCAGACGACCCCAAGCGCGAATCTCGGGGATGAGTGCTGTTACACAAAACCGTGAGCCGCACAGCAAGGTAAAAGAGATATCCGATAAGAAAAATCTATTTAAATCTATTTATGGGTTTGGATGAAATGCTTTCAAGATCTTTGTCGGAAAAATAGTGGGGTGCTATTTCTTGTAACCAATCAGGTTGAACTATCATACAGTTTCTCATGTATTCCTTTGATGTTAATACTAATTCATGATAAAGTAATAACTTTGGAGGTGGCTTTATAGGGAACAATGCTGACGACGGATGAATGTAAACTGGTTGATTCTTTTTTATGGATCTATAGGAATCTCCCATTTTGGATAATCTGACTATATGAGGAAAGAATCCTGCAGTGATAGCCTTTAAGATCATAACAGTTTTTTCATGTTCGGGTGATGTGATAGTGTTGTTGATACCGTTTTTGGTACATAATGATGTTAATTGTTCTTTGACTTCCTTAACTCTTTTAAGAGTCTTGTATTGAATGAAATTATCCTGACACCATAAGGATGAGAATTCTGTATCTTTCCATTGATTCCACACATTGAGTAATGTGAGATGGTCTCCATTACTATCAGTAAATGATTGTTTCTTCTTATCAGCTTCATCACGTTTATCTTTCGGACGGTAAAAAAGACTTGAACTTTCACCTAACATGGATATAATAATAATGATATCTTCTATGACACCAAAGTTCTGACTACTTATCAAGCATTTGGAGAATAACGGATCAATTGGGAAATCTGACATCAATCTACCGGTTTTAGTCAATTGTCCTTTGGAGTTTAAAGCTCCTATGGCATACAATAACTCCAAACATTTGATTAAAGTCTCAGAAGAAGGAGGATCCATGAAATCAAAATTGACCAAATCATTGACTCCAAGGGAAAGAAGTAGTAGCACCGTGGATATAAGGTTCCCTCTTAAAATCTCAGGTGTAGGGTTCTTTAATAGTTCATTGGAAAATGACCATTTAGTGTACAATCTGAAACATTCTCCTGGTCCCACTCTACCGGCTCTACCGGCCCTTTGGTCTGCTGAAGCTTGGGAACATGGCACTACAACCAAACTGTCCATACCAGTGGATGGGTTGTATACATTTTCTTTCACATATCCTGAATCTATCACATACTTTATACCATCAATAGTGATGGAAGTCTCTGCAATATTGGTTGCAAGCACGACTTTCCTAGCATTTGGAGGTGTTGGTTCAAAGATTTTTTTTTGAAGGTCATTGGGTAAGTTGGCATAGATTGGACATATTATGAGTTCAGCCACAGACGAACTGAGGGAATTTTTAGCTTCCATTAAACTTTCTTGCATGGTTTCTATTTCATCTTGACCGGTAAGAAATACTAAGATGTCACCACCTAAAGGTTTTTTAGTGTGGATCAAGAAAATAGTATTGATGGCTGCTTGGATATAATTTGCTTCTGGCTGTTTTGTGTAATGAATATCAACAGGGAACCTTCTACCGGGGATTTTGAAGATAGGTGCTTGATCAAAGAATGATGAGAATTTTTCGGCATTGATAGTCGCTGAAGCTACAATAAGCTTCAAGTCTGGACGTTGTTTGGTAACATCTTTTAGGAGACTCAATAAAATTTCCGTTGAAATGGTTCTTTCATGTGCTTCATCAATGATTAATGCCGAATAATTAGATAAATCAGGATCAGTGAGGAACTCTCTCAACAAAATACCATCAGTGAGATATTTTATAACAGTCTTGGAACTGGTTTCATCTTCGAATCTTATACTATACCCAACTTCCTGACCCAACTTTACATGCATTTCATCAGCAACTCTAGTTGCAACAGATGTCGCAGCCACTCTTCTAGGTTGAGTACATCCAATCATCTTTTTACCCTGGTTAGTCTCACAATACCCTTCTTCATAAAGATATTGTGGTAATTGTGTAGTCTTACCTGACCCAGTTTCACCTACAACCACTACGATTTGGTTCTGTTGGACTATATCCAAAAATGCTTGACGATATTGATAAGCAGGTAATGATTTTCTTACATCGTCGATGAGTTGATTTTTAGTGGGTTTAACTTCCTCTGATGGTAATTGATTGCCTGAAGTTTGAGTATCGAACTCTACGAATTGGGACTCATCAAATACATATTCATACTGATTAGAATCTACAGTGATTTCATCTATATTCCCATGAACTAGCGATTTGGCTTTCCTTAATTGATCAGTCTCCCACAGATTATCAAACTTCTTCTTTTTAGGGTCATCCTTAGCGTTCAAAGCTTCTATCTTACGTTTATTATCGATCTTACCCTCCAGGGTTAAGTAATCGGATGGTAATTCATATTGTTGAACAGGTTCGGCTTCAATGACATCATGGATTTGTTTCAATCGAAGGTATTCTTTGTGTTCAGCTTCTGATAATGTTCTGGATTCATAATCTCTCAATTGTGCTTGTAGTTGTTTAATGTTTCTTCTTTCTTGTCTTTGCAAAAACTCTCGATGTTTTTGTTTTTTCAATTCTTCGACATTCACCAAAGGTTTCACAACAGGTATAGTGATTTCTGGTGGCACCTCGACCTCTTTCGGTACGTCGACCTCTTCTAAGTCCCATTCACTGGAATCTGTCTTTTGTCTTCTACTCATCTAGAGGTGATGCGCATAAAATCAAATCTCATCTTAAACCCCATCACCACACAATGGCCGATACCAGAATATCACCTGGAGTTGTAGATTCATCTTTCATAAGCCAAACCAATCTTAGAACATCATTAGTTGATTCCGCTACTTCAACATCTCAAGATGTTCATCGTTTGAATAATTCCAAATATATCCCTCCATGGACTGAACCTTATATCATAGGAGTTGCAGGGAATTCAGGGTCAGGTAAAACCTCCATTTCCCAAAAGATTATTGAACATTTGAACCAACCATGGACTGTTTTGTTGTCTTTTGATAATTTCTACAAACCCTTGACCAAAGAACAAAGTGTCAAAGCATTTAATAACGAATGGGATTTCGATAGACCTGAATCATTAGATTTAGATCTATTAGTTGAAGTGGTAGGGAAGTTGAAGAAAGGAGAGAAGGCAGAAATCCCTGTTTATTCATTTGCAAGTCATTCTAGAACCAATAAAACCACCACCATCTATGGTGCTAATGTCATCATCATTGAAGGACTTTATGCCTTATACGATCAAAGATTATTGGATATGATGGACATTAAGATTTATGTTGATACAGATTTGGATATTTGTCTTTCTAGAAGATTAACTAGAGACATTTTGTATAGGAAAAGAGACTTATCAGGAGCTATGAAACAATGGGAAACTTTTGTTAAACCTAATGCTGTGAAATTTTTAAATCCAACTATGAACAACGCAGATTTGGTGATTCCTAGAGGTTTAGATAATGTTAATGCTATTGACTTAATGATAAGACATATCCAAAAACAATTGTACATCAAATCATTGTCCCATATCGAACATTTGAAAACTATAGGTATAAATTTGAAGTTCAATATCGAAGAATTCCCTAATGTTAAAACTTTGAGAGATACTAATCAAACCAGAGGTATCAATTCCATAATTTTTGACAAAACCACAAAACTTGATGATTTCATTTTCAACTTCAATAGAGTTGCTACCTTAATTATAGAACAAGCATTAGGTTTTTTGACCAGTTATTCAAAAGTGGTGATAAAGACCGATCCTCGTAACTGTGAATTCGATGGGTTAGTTCAAGATGATAAAATCTTAGCAGTAACGATTATCAGATCAGGTGATTGTTTCAACCAATCCATCAAGAGAACATTCTTGGATATTCCATTAGGTAAATTGTTGATTCAATCAGATTCAAGAACTGGTGAACCCCAATTGCATTTCGAAAAGTTACCTAAGGGGATGACAGAGTTAACTCATAAGAAAATCATGTTATTCGATGCTCAAATAGTTAGTGGAGCTGCTGCTATAATGGCTATACAAATCTTAATTGACCATAAAGTTAAACAACAAGAAATTATCTTATGTGCTTACCTTTCAACTGAGATAGGTTTAAGAAGAATCTTACGAGTTTTCCCTGATGTTAATATTGTTATTGGAAAATTGAGTTCTATGAATGGTACAGAAAACTTCCCTGATTATAATCAAGAGAAGTTTTTAGATACTGATTGGCATTTTAGACATAGATTCATTGATTCGTTGTATTTCGGAACACCTTAGAGTTGTTCAATACTTGGGAAGAGGACCCTGCAGGAGGTGGAAGACCCTGAGAACCCTTGTTTCATATATTAATACACATCATGTTAATAATTTCGGACTCTGGAACTTTAAAGCTACAGAATTTCTCCTGGGATGTCTTGTTGAATCATTTAATGGTGAAATAGGTGAAACATCGTCATCTAAATCACATATGGAGAATGTCCGCTTCTTAGGAGGATGGGTATTCATGTCAGGTACTGAAACTGTTCTTCTCAAGTTCCCTGAATAATTATATGCATCATTATCGTAATCGTCATTAAATTCATAATCTTTGTCACCATGTTCATCTTTATGTTCACCAGGAACGGTAACAGCAACCGTATCAATGGGAGCTAATTTTTCATTCTCAACCTCTTTGGATTCCTCACTATCAGAAGTATAAACTAGAAAAGCATTCAAAGGTTCATTAGAAGACCTCCTACCAATTGAAGGTTTTTGGCCTTGTTCAATTGCCAACGATATTTTATTTGTCATTATAAAATAATAGAGGAGGTTTATTATTCATATATAAAATTAAATCTCCTGATTGCTGTGGGGATGAAACCCTAAAACCTGGAGAAATCACCCAATAAATTTCATCCCTTGGTCGTATTTTCTATACCATGTAAGATTTTCTTTTAAGAAGTCTGGTGATGTATAACCAAGTTAGGATAGAAGGATGTGGTCATGAAAGGAGTATAAGATAGGAGAGAGTGTATAGATTATGGCCCTGTATAGAGTACACGACATTAGCTTATCTAGTTCTTATCTATGGATTGCTAGTTCAAGTATTGGCTATGATGTGTGGTGTATGGGGGGACTTCGCTATCAATCAAATATCTATAAGCCAACTTCTAACAACCTTCTATAAGTTCTGTCTCACTTCCTCAATAGTATAAAGCCGAAAGCTCGGAACCTTTACACCGAAATGAGACGATTATTTGATGGGAAAAATCATTGATTTTCCAAACCTTATACCCCTCTGAACCACCACAAAAATCTCATAAGCTAGAACTACCATCGAAAGTTATCAAAAGCTTCATATTCATCAACCCTTCCAATCTCTCAAAAATAATAGTCAAATCTCTGGACTTTATTCACCGATAAGCGATGAGAAGTTAGCGCATTTACTCTATTGGTAATTTTCAACAGAAAAAACCTTGAAATCTAAAACTTTCATTCAAAATCTACCATGGTCATGATGATTTCAAGAGTTTCAAAGAAGTCAGCAACTCAATTTATGAGAACTTTAGCTAGTTTCACTCCTGCTAAACCTTTACATGCTAGAGATTTAAATAAGCAAACTATTGAAGCTAAATATGCTGTTAGAGGTAGAATCCCCATTAGAGCTGAAGAAATCAAACATCACTTACAAACCAATCCTGAATCTCATGGATTTAAATTTGATAAAATCATTAATGCCAATATAGGTAACCCCCAACAATTAGATCAAAAACCTTTAACTTGGTATAGACAAGTATTATCAGTATTACAATATCCTGATATTTTGGAAAGTGAAGAATTATCCAAATCCTATCCAAAAGATGTTTTGACCAGAGCAAAGAATATTTTATCATCAACAGGTTCTATTGGAGCTTATTCACATTCTCAAGGTGATCAATATATCAGAAAATCAGTAGCTAAATTTATTAGTCAAAGAGATGGTCACCCAGCTAATGCTAATGATATTTTCTTAACTGCTGGAGCTTCAAGTGCAGTTTCTTATTTATTACAAATTTTATCTGTTGATAAGAATTCGGGATTTTTAATTCCAATTCCTCAGTATCCTTTATATACTGCCTCAATTGCTTTAAATGATGCTAAACCAATTGGTTATTTCTTAGATGAATCCAATAATTGGTCAACTAATCCTGAAGAAATTAGATCCTTAATCAAAGAAAATTCTGAAAAAGGTATCGATATTAAATGTTTAGTAGTGATTAATCCGGGTAACCCTACTGGATCAGTATTAGAAAAGGAAGATATTAAAGAATTGATTGATATTGCTGCTGAATTTGGTATTGTATTAATCGCTGATGAGGTTTATCAAGAAAATATCTTCCAAGGAGAATTTATTTCATTTAAGAAAGTCTTATCAGAATTAGTCATTGCTAGACCTGATTTATACTCAAATGTTCAATTAGCTTCATTACATTCAACTTCAAAAGGTTTTAGTGGTGAATGTGGACAAAGAGGTGGATATATGGAATTAAGTGGTTTCACTGATGGGTTCAAAAATGTCATGTTAAAATTAGCTTCTATTAACTTATCACCAGTTGTTTCAGGTCAAGCATTAATGGAATTAATGATTAATCCTCCAAAACAAGGTGATGAAAGTTATGCTGTTTATAAACAAGAAGTTGATGAAATTTATTCTGCTTTAAAGGAAAGATCTGAATTATTATACAATGCTTTCACTACTATGACTGATGTTACATGTAACAAACCTCAAGGTGCCATGTATCTATTCCCAAGATTACATTTTAATAAACATGGATATGCTAGATTATTCCAAGAAGCTCAAGATTTAGGGGTTGAAATTGATGAATTTTATTGTATTCAATTACTTGAAAATACTGGTATTTGTTGTGTTCCTGGTAGTGGATTCGGTCAAGTTAAAGATACTTATCATTTAAGAACAACTTTCTTAGCTCCAGGAACTGAATGGATTGAAAATTGGAGACAATTCCATGAACAATTCATTAAATCTTACAAGAGTTAGATTTGTGTAATATATATTTGATATATTTAAGTTTGCCTAAAACTTTTGGGTTTAAATATTTTTGATTTTGTGTGATTTTATTTTGCAGCATTTTTTTGCAGCTAAAAAAAAAATTGCGACTCTCTCTATTGAAGTTTCTTACTGGAGGTAATGAAGTCGAATTTACCTAATAAACAAGCAAAGGAGATGGTCAACCATGCTGGGAACCAACCTAACATCACTATGTACCAAGTCCAACATTGTAAATCGTTCCATGAAGTAATTAAATTTGTCATTAAATTATATACTCCATTATCTCCGAGGTATGAGGAACCAGTGACAATAATGATGAATATAGGATTGGAAACGAATAAACAAATGAATAATTTTAAATGAGGTTTCATGGTATTCAAGTAATTCATCAATGGGAATGATTCAATTGATTTTGAAGGTTGAATATCAATGGATTTCAAAATTGGTTGGATGAAAGTTAAAGGTAATGACATTAAACCAATAAGTAAAGCTAATGAGAAGTTAAGAATAAGTAACATTGTAATCACCATGGAAATAAAAAATAAACTGAATGAGATTAATGAGTATGATAATTTTGATGAAATTCTTAAATATTTGGATTTCCATAAGAATGGTGTAGATAACACAATGTTTAAAGTTGAGAAACCAACGATAATTAATGTCACAAGATTATTCTTATCATCATCGGTGACAGTTCTGAAGATTAAGAACGGTAATAAATTCGCAGTCAAAAAACAAGCAAATTCAATTGAAGTGAAAATGATCAAAACTTGGGAAATGGAATTTAAGAATGATGAAATGGATACGTTAGTATTCAACAAACAACTCAATGAACTTAAAGCATAACTGACAGCAATTAATACAGCTGAAGGTAAATAAGTTCCAATTGATACAAAATATCTTGGACTCATTAATAAGTAGAAAAAGAAAGATTGATGGAATTTTTCCAATAAATTATTGACTGATCTGAAAGTTGAATCCACAACTCTACCCATTTGTGTAATATCATTGGGTCCTTTGATACCACGAGCTTTTAAAGTAACGGCTTGAATTGACCAACCACTAAATGATTCAGCTCCATTAATAGGTTTAACTATTCCTGATAAACATAATCCAATAATACCTTTAACAAATACCTTCAATCTTTGTTTATAGGTATTCAACGTTACTTTCTCTCCAGGAGTGTTTTGTAAAGAAACATGAATATTTTCATGGTAAGCAATTTGTGCGGCGGTGTTTAAGAAATCCAAATTAGGTAATTGACCGTTCAATCCTTCATACCACATTTCAATATAATCGAAATGATCTGATTCCCCATTGTACTCTAAGATAATAGCAGCTTCAATAGACCCAGCAGTTTTATCCAACGATGTATGATAAGCCTCAACCCATTGACGTAAAGATTTATGACTATCTTCAGTAAACACGATGATGATATTCTTTGACCAAATGGACATTCTGTTGAAATATTTCCCTAAAGCCATTCCTATAGAAGCACCTCCGAGATTGAAATGACCATCAGAAGTCTTCCAAGGGATCGATAATACCATAGCTTCGGTGTCTTCACCACGAGACGCGTGCATTATGGCATATAAGCTTGATGAATCACCATGATGATAACTGGTCTTTAAACCGGAATCAGTGAGCCATTCTTCAGCTATTTGATTTAATTCTTCTGTTGGTAGATGTTGAAGTTTCTTTAATTCACTTCTATACCCTCTAACTATATTCCATTCACTTTCTCTGAAGTATGACGTTACTTGTGAAGGCATAAGTGCATTCTCTGAAATATAAGTTTTCCGATAATTTCCTTCCATCGGTAAAACCATCAACCATATGACTGAACTTAAGGCTAAGGATAATGAAATCATAGGTAAAAGACCGATCAATTTGGGAACCATGCCATATTTATGGATGGTTCTAAAGAAAGTCTCTGCCAAAGCCATTGAATGAAAAATGCGAATTATGTCTGGGTTGAAGAATATTATCACCAAGATACGACGGTTGCCTATTGATGGTGTTACCTTACAGAAGTTGAAGGATCATGTAAAGAAGGAATTCAAGAAGCCACAGGTGGATTCTCGTAAGTTAAGGAGAGCTCATAGAATAATGGATGATATAATAGATAATGAGAATTGGTCTGCCATCGCAGAGGTTTTGGATTATGTATATAAGACAGTTGAAGGGAAAAAAACCTATCCCCAACATTACAGGATGATTGAAATAATCAAAGGAATGAATTATGATGATGCCAGATGGATTCCACAAACCCATCTTTTGAAAGAACTCAAAATCAATGATAAACTCCATAATGCTTTTGATAACGATTTGGCTATGCCTAGACACGTATTGGAAGTTGATGAGAATGCTGACACTATTGAGTTATTACCTTTAAAGTCGAAATCACCCAAAAACAATCTTTTACCTCAATTGATGAAATTTTATGAGTTTCTTGGTAAAAGTTCAGTAACTCATTTGAAACTCCCTCCTTTCAATGTAGTATATCCTCCCAACAGGTTTGGGAAACCTATGCATATAATAGACCGCGATAAGATCTTGAATACCAAGTTGAAGTATATCAAAACCATCTTACAGTATCGACCTATTCTGGAATATTCACTTCAAGAACTTAATAAGGTATTGGATTACCAAATACCTATCAATGAGTATTTCTTCAAGTATATGGTGAGAAAGGATAGGATCATTGGAAAGAAGAAACTCATACCCACGGATAAAAACATCGTGAAGATTTATCGACAATACTTAATGAAACAATTTTATATCCAAAATGGGTATAAGATGAATGTTGTGAAAGTTTAGGGTTCACAATTTGATTAAACTATAATCTTTTCTATTACCTTCAAATAAACAACCTGAACTTCTAACTTCGTTAACCACAAGAAGTTGAGGTTTATCTGAATCAATCTCTTTCACCTCTAAAGATTTCAAATCTCCGTTGAAGATCTGTTCAATTGAAAACTTCTCCATGTAAGTCTTTTGCGATTGATGCAAAATGATTAAAAATTCGTTGAATATCTGATAATTGATGATCTTATCGAACTTTAAGGTTTTTTTATCCATTGTACTGACGTTAATGATGGATAATTGATGATTTTCAGTAGAAAATAGGAATGCATTATTCTTAATGTTGAAAATTTGACAATCACTTAAATTCAAATCCACAGCATCATTGAATATAGAACTTTTAACAAAGAAACCTTCAAATGGAGTGAAAATGCCTTCAGATATACTGTTGTCCAATAATTTGCACTCATTCAACAAATCTTGAGTATTGTCAATTCTTAGAATATCCAAATCTGCATCAAATTTCAAGAAATCATTGACCTTGGAGTGGAATAAATAATTATTAAAGTAACTAAGAAGATCAGAATTATGTAAATTTGGAATGATTTTGATTTCTTCATCGTTATTCTCCTTCACCAAACACTCAATGAGGAATTTAAACCAATTCAAAAACTTATTGAAGAGTTTCTGTTCTTCATTACTATTCCAAATGAGTTGGTAGAAATGTTTAATTTGTTGTTTGATGGTGGTCAAAATAGTATCAATATCTTGAATGGAAATACCGAAATCGGTACCATTAATACCACACCAATGGATGATTCCTCGAAGATTATTAAGTACTATAACCAACTTTTCAAAGTTTTGAATGATATTCTTGAATACTGTATCCTTGATGTTATCATAAGTATCATTACCTTCTTTAGAAAGACGTTTCAAACCTCTTTCACCAAACTGATTTAGGAAATAATCATTCAACTTTTTAGGTATTAAATGAGTTAATAAGATATTTTGAAGACTACCGATGACTGTCTTATAGCTATCCCCTTCATTACACTCTATACCCAAATTGTCGAAATAATTGCCCATATATCTATCGAATAATGTCAAAAAAGACAGGAAACTCTTAACAATCTGGGATAAATCTGCTTGGAAATTGTTCATAATCAATTTGATCTTACAGAAGATGAGTATAATGTCTACTATATGCTTATTGAAGGATATCTCGAACTTTATTAATTGGTTCTTATCATTTATGAAAAGGTGATGGAATAAATCGAAATTTGTATGGTTAGTGAGCTTGAAATTGGTGGGAAGTTTGAATTGAACGAGATTATTGAAGATAAAGGAAATTGAATCATTGGAAGTGGTTAAAATATACGTTAAATCATTGAAATTGGTGAAATTGGATAATTGTGGTAAGTTACTTAGTATATCGATGTGAAATAATTCTTCATTATCTAATGATTGATTCAATGCTGACCAAGTCAAAGACATTATGGACGCAGATTCGAATTCATTGATTAAGGATCCATTATTACTATCGTAAATCTTCACTTTGTTATCTATACCACTAACAGCAAAGTATTTCCCATCAGGACTCCAACACAAATCAATTATGGGAGATTTGTTATTGACAGAATACACCCTTTCTCCGTTTAATCTGAACACCCATATGGACATTTTATTCATGGAGATGACAAGTAAGTCGATAGTGGGACATAGACTTATGATATTACCATCGGGGAACCCTACTATCTTGTGGTTTGATACGATATCAAACATAACGCGGTTGAGATCTCAGTTGGCGTGAATAGTGAGAAGAGGTGGGTAGAGATGCGAAGACATGGACTAAAATGGTGCGAGCTAGTACCAACACCTTGAGATAATCCCGTACCACATAGAGATATCAATTCTGAGAATATGACTTTACTATGTACAAGATCTATTGTCTGAAGTCAATAACAATCCCAGGACCTTTGGTGGACGATATGACGGTTTGTCCAATAACATTAGTTTTCTTTGAACCATGAGGTTCTAAACCATAAATGGTTTTAGATGCAACTTCGATATTTTTCAAAATTTGTTCATCAGAGAAATTACACTTTCCGACAGGGAAAGCAATTTCATAATTCACTTGTTTGAAAGGTACAGAACTTAACCCCTTTTCAATCAACTTAGGTAAATTTTCAACAGAATCAACATTACCTTTCTTTGGGGTACACATTAAATTCTTTGAAGCTAATATTCTACCATAAGGTTTTAAATTATTTTGCATATCAAAAGTACAGAATGAATGGGTGAATTGATTCAAATCAACAATGCCTTCTTCGATTTCTTCTAACAATTTCTTACCACCGATTAAGTAGTTTTCACTAGGTAAGTTAATCTTTGATTTCAATTCTTCAGTCTTATTGGAAAATATTAAGAATTTGGATTTCCCTACTGGATGAGGTAAATCAAGGAATCCGTTAAGATTCTTAGCTCCCTTTTCTGGTATGACAGTTACTAGTAAACTTATAGTAGATTTATTCACAGGTTCACCAACTTCACTGGCTCTTAAGTATTTTAACGCTTTAGGTATTTCCATATATAAAAGATCTTTGGTAGGGTCTCTTTTATGTTTTGTTCTTAATTTTTGAGTTTGTTTCAAAGCCTTTTTAGCCTCGAGGGCCTTGGAATCCACTTGGGGAGCAAGACGAACGGCAGTTAAGTGTAATGATCTTATGGTTCTAAACATGATGATGAAGAATTTTCGCAGTGCAAAATGAGGATTAGGAAGTGCACACGACTGAGATTAGAGAGTTGTAGTGGGTTAGGTTTGAAGAGGGTAAGCGAGGTTGTAGACGAGATTTAGGGAGGTATCAGGGTAGACATTGTCCCATAGTTTCAAGTAATGAGTTCTTAGAAGGAAAAAACACCCGAAACAAGTCATATGAGTAAAGAATCATTCTCAACTGAGAGACTATGAAATAAGACCTTTAGCCAGAGACAAAACAAAGAGATAAACACTCTTCACATACCTATATTACCTAATAAACGCTCCTATTTTTGAATTTTAACGTGAAATTCCTTTTCACCCCATCGTTTTTAAAAAGACTAATGAAACTTTTCCGTTTGTTAACATTAGAATTCAATGGTGATAAGTCACCGAATAAGATTGAGTTCCTATTCTTTTTAACCTTTTCGACTCTTTTATCTTCAGATTTAACTACCTTCTTAACAGGAGATTCTGGAAGTGGAAGTTCCTTTGGATCAATTGAACAATCTGAACTTGTAACTGGACCTTTAGTATCAATAGTATCAAAAGTTGTATCATTATGATTATCAATGGAATGATATGATGAATTTGATAATATAGAATGAGAATCAAGATTGATATTGAATTGAAATGACTTGGAATTGATAGAATCCAATTTACATAATTCATTGATCGAATTCATTGATTCTCTTGGTTTAGTAACTGGTGATTCAGTTAAGAAATATTGATTCTTTTCTGATAACGGAGCCAATGAAGGTTGAGGTAAGTCAATAGATTCATCTGATTCAATGGATTCATTATCATGATGAGATTGAGGAGATTCAAAAGTTTCTGAAAATTCATCCAATGGAGATGATTGTTCCAAAGGTAATTCTTTTAAAGATGCATTGAATGATTGATCAATCCCGGATTGATCAATCCCGGATTGATCATGTGAGGTTGAAACTGAGGATTTTTCTGAATGTGAATCCTCATTTTCTGGAGTTTCTGGATTTTCAGAACTCTCAATATGTGGAGTGTGAGGTGCTGAAGTTTCTGAACCTTCCTTTTCTTCCTCAACAATACCAAATTTAATATCCTCAATAGAATTCATTTTTGATCTTAACTTTAAGAAATCTTTATTTTGAGTCAATTTCATCTTTAATGAATCATTTATAGTATCAAAAGATTTGTTCTTGAAACTTTTGAAGTTCTTGAAAAAATTAGAATCAATGAAATTATTATTTCTATCATAAACACCTCTTTCAAAGTCTTTTTCACTAAAATTTGAAATGATTGATGAATTTCTTGAATGTAAGAATTTAATATCTTCTTTATTTTCAATGATAGATTTCAATAAGTTGATAAAATTTGGTAATAATAATAAATTATCTGAAGAAATCAAAATTGGTTGGAAAATGATTGAATAATTCATAATAGTCATCTTAGTTTCGTCATGATATTTCAAGAAATTATGTAATTTGTTAATAACAAAGATAAAAATGTTAATAGAAAGACTAGGAATTTCAGTATTTAAATGATTATTGAAATTCTTAATATCCACAGCATTATTACCAGTTAAGTTTAAATGTTCAGAATCAACAAATTGATAATTTGAATTCAAAATCTTCTTAATTAATGAACAAATATCATAAATGGAAGTATCAGGATGTTTTAAGAATTTAGGATATTTACTTAAATTTGAATAATATTGATTAATCTTCTTTAAAGATCCATTAATTCTGAAAATTCCTTCAGTTATGTTATCTTCGATATAATTGAAAATATCATAAATGATCACTGGGATTTTCAATTCGATATCGTTGATTTCGACATCAATAATTTGGAATGGGTCAACCATTATATAAAAAAAGTATGCAAAAAGTAGAACCGATAAAAAGGTTTCAATGTATTCGATAGATTCTTTAAGATCCTGAGTCTTTGTGATTCTTTATGAGTCCTTATGGTTCTTTATGAGTCTTTATGATTCTCTGTGATTCTTTATGAGATCTTTAATGGATGAAAATGAATGTAGTTTGGGAGGGTTCAAGGATAAAAAAAAATGGCAAAAGAATGTAAATAGTTAGAAGGGATGGGAGTGTTAAGTATGAAAATTAAGCGAAAAGTCGCGTATTTGAATTTAACTCATTTGGTCATAACTGCCAGTAAAAACGCTGAGAGCTGTCGCACGACGCCTAAGTGAATGGGGGTATTGTTTAAAATGGTGAATTTAGATCGCGGACCTGGCTATGAGAGGTGAGGTAATTGGTGGGGTGATGGCAGTGATAATGATGGTTTATGGGTGATGATAGTGATTGATAAACGTGAATTCGTGGGAGTTGATAGGAAATATTAATAAAATGGTGGATTGTTAATTTGACGGACTGACCATTTGGCGGATTGATCATTTGACGGGCTCATTCGGTACTTGCCTTGACGGAGGGTACTCTCTCGTATCAACGTCGACGAGCACTTCGTGCACTTCGTCCGTATTTATAAACTACTTATAACAGTAATTTTCAAGTCGCGTCATTATTTCGTCTACCCAACCCATACGGCGAATAGATGGTAATACATCGGGTGCGGCATTGGCGACACTTGAGTGGTCGGAGGGTCAATATATGAACATATTCGCTGGATGTTTCATGTTCATTCTTTACACCCAACAAACAACCCTAGGAACATATACGCACCACAATGTTCCGAATTAGGAAATGTGTCTGATTGTATAAAATCTATTGTATCTGTTCAGCCATCGATCCCATTCACTTCCATCTACTGCTTCTACTAATGATAATCTGTTTAATATCCCCATAAATCACTTTTCCATAATTTTTCTTGCTCCCTGCATATCATTTATAATTAGGTTTAATTCCCACACATCCTTTTGAAACTTCCCTCCTTAGAAAACTTAAACCCCCGTACTTTAACTTTATGACACTTAGCTTTTTCCCATTGGTCTCATATGCTCAATTCCACCTAAACTTTATTTTGGAAGTCATTAGATCTTTACTAGCACCTTCGATGCTGAAAAAATAACCTTCTCTGAACAAAAGTTAATTTTGCAAGGGTTTCATCACTCGAGCGAGCAGCAATCAAATGAAATTTATTGCTCCAATTGATCTCCAACTTACTGATGAATTATTCATTGGGTTGCCCCTCCAACCCCATTACTCTACTAGTTTCTATCAATGACCCTGACAGGTATTTTCCTATTTAATCTCGGTTCCCCTTAATTTCACAATGCAACTATTCTTAAACATTACGTAAACTCCAATTGCTTTTTGCGCGGAATTCTTAATCGGAGATTTTAAATCATTCAAGCGATCGATAACTTCTTTTAAGGGTGCTATTTTTATACCAAATTTTATTCTACCCTTATAGGAGAAACAAGTTATTTAATTTTTTTTATATAATATTTCATAAAGTGATTCAACATACCATTAAAACCCCATTAAAGTACGATTTTTCCTCCTTTCAAATAACGGAAATTCTTTATGATGAGTTTCAACAATTTCATACCAGATAATCCTTCACCTTTGAGTTCTGATTATAGTAAACGAATACAGCGTGAAGATTATGAGGTTCCCCAACAACCACAACTATCCATTCCTCAAGTTCCCCACAGTCCAGCAACTCCTCCAAAGAAGATTATTGATGACAAACTAGATTATGATGAATCAGATGATAATAATAATGTTGCTGATGATCATATAAATTCTTCCAACTACTTTTTATTAGAAAGTTTGGAGTTGAAAGAGTTCCCCCTTTTCAAACAAGCTCCTAATTCATTCTATAATAAGATCATTTCAAATTTGAAACTTGTGACCTATCACCCCCAAAGTTATATAGTTAAAATGGGTGACCCTTCTAAATCGATGTATTGGATTTTAAAAGGTACTGTGTCTATAGCGAGTTCCGATGGAGATTCGGTTTATAATGAATTATCTTCAGGACAATTTTTTGGTGAAATTGGGATTTTATTCAATAGACCAAGAACTGCTAATGTTATAGCTAAAACTAAAGTTTTGGTAGGTGTTTTAACATCTAAGGATTTTAATCATGTGCTTAGATCTTTCCCTTTAATGGAAAGACGTATAAGAGATGAAGCTCAAGAAAGATTAGCAATGTTGGAAAAAATCTCCAAACATTCGAATATTTTACCTCCAATTTTACCATTAAATGGTAAAAAAATTGATGATGATAATAATGATAACTTAGATTCATCAATTTCAATTCAAAGATTCTTGAAAAATCTCCCGATTTTTCAAAATTTACCATCAAACATTATTCATAAAATCGCTCTTGGGGCTGAACCTATAAAATTCAAATCTTTCCAATATATTCTTCAATTCGGAGATATCGGATCAGATATTTATTTCATTATTAATGGACAAGTTGAAGTATTAAATGAAGAAGAAAAAATTTTGGCTAAATTAAACAATGGGAATTATTTTGGTGAAATGTCATTTTTAAACTTTTTGAAGAATAATTCAAATTTTAAGCGATCCGCTAGTGTTCGTTCCATTACCAATGTGGAATTAATTGTTATTAAATCCAATTTATTAAAGAAATTATGTAAAGAATACCCTTTCTTGATTGATCATATGAAAAGAACCAGCGAAACTCGTAATCAAATCAATAATTCCCCAGAAGTTGATGAAGAATTCAATAGTTTTAAGAATTATGAGTTTAAATTTGATTTTAAACCTCTTCATTCAAGAAGTGTTAGTCCAGTTACAACTGTGGATGAAGAGATTTTCGAAAAACCGTATAGTCCAGGACCAATTCTTCATTCAGTTAATCCACCAAATTTGGCTGGTCCAAGTTTGGTAGGTTCAAGTTCATTAAATTCCATTTTAAATCCGATACCAACAATCAAAAGAAGACCTTCACAATTCAGTTTACCTAATGATCAATTGGATTATATTCCTCATAATAAGAGATTAAAGTTACAATCAATAGGTAGAAGAAAATCTTCAGTTTTAGCCAATACTGGTCCTTTAACTGATCAATTATTAATAATGATTTTCGAATATTTAGATGTGGTTACTTTGATGAAATTGAGATCAGTGCTGAAAAGATGGAGACAATTACTTTATATATCTCCAAACTTATGTAAAAATCTTGATCTACGTCCATGGAATAATATTATTGGTGATGAAATTCTCATCAGTATTACGAAATTTGTTGGCAATAGACCAGAATTTATCGATATATCTAACTGTTTCCATATCACCGATGAAGGATTTAGTTATATGATCAATGAAATCGGAATTAGTGGTAATCTCAAATCAGTCAAATTGAAATCTAATTGGGAAATTAGTGCTATGGCCATCATGGATTTAAGTGTTCGAAGTGTAGGAAAATCCCTCCAAGAAATCGATTTATCTAATTGTAGAAAAGTTAGAGATAATGTCATTGAAAGGTTGATTGGTTGGGATAATGATGAAGAAATCGGTTGTAAACAATTAACTCGACTTAATTTGGGTTATTGTAAACATTTAACTGATAATGTCATGTATCATATTAGTGATCATTGTAATCAAAGATTAACTCATTTAGATTTAACTAGATGTACTACTATCACTGATAAAGGGTTTGAATATTGGACTTATAAGTTCTTTCCTAATTTGACATCTTTATCATTAAAAGATTGTACATTTCTTACTGATAAATCCATCATATCCATTGCTAATTCTGTTCCCAATTTAACTAGCTTGAATCTTAACTTTTGCTGTTCTTTAACTGATATTTCCATTGAAGTATTATGTATAGGATGTCAGAATTTGAAATTCTTGGATTTATCCTTCTGTGGATCAGCTGTTAGTGATTCTTCATTATTAACCATTTCTTTAAATTTGAAGAATTTAGAATCTTTGATCTTAACTGGTTGTATAAGAGTAACTAGAGCTGGTATCGATTCATTATTATCATCAGATTCTCCCTTGTCTTACTTAAATGTCAGTCAATGTAAGAATAGTGATATTTACCCAGGATCCATCCCAGCCCAAAAATTGAATATCAATCCTAAAACAAAATCTGCTTTTGTCAAAGCTGGTGCCTTTGATAAGATCATTGAAATTGTTATTTAACTGTATATTACTGTATATTAATTATTTTCTCTTTTTGTTCTTTCTTTTATCGGTGTACAAGATACAATTCCCTGGTACTCCTTTGTTGATCAAATAATCTTGAATGCTCTTGTAATGAGGTCCTTGAACAATAACTTCAGTAAACTTGTCGATTTTTTCCAATGTACTGGACCCTTGACAAAGATTCCTTAAATCTTCTTCAATGATATGAGGTTTGATCCAGAATTTTTCGAAGTTTTTCACTCTAGTGACAGTTTTCCTTCCTATTTTGGTTTCACAGATGATTTCTATCTTTGGGGTTTCTCCAGAAAAGATCTCAATATCATCTTCAAGGGATTGTCCTGGTTTGAGAACTACATATTTTAAGGTAGCATATTTGATAAACTTTGCAACTATCTCATTTCTAGCGATGGTGGCCGAATTCCCTAAGATCTCTTTAAGGTTTTCATCTATTTTAATGTTCTGAGGTTTAGTATCTACAAGATTGAATTTGGAGATATACTGATTGATTAGTGTTTTCAATTCTGTGATAGTATAACATTGGTTATATTGTTGGTCTAATTTATTGAAGAACATCCTATATTTATTGGTAGGTTGATACAATTGCACCACTTTCAAAGTATCTATCTTCTTCTTGTCACTTTCTTTGGATTTACTGATCTTATGAGTATTGAAACCGGTGATTATGGCATCAGTTTTGGGAATATGTGAGATGATAGTTAAATCATCATCTTTACCTTTAACTTGAATATAACCTAATTTCACCATAGCTTTGAGGAATTTACCTGTTTTCTTCCAACTGGTTTTCTTGATGTTCTTATATTGACTGTCGATTTGGGGAAGGTTCTTAAGAACATGATTTGACATGAAGTTGGAGGCATTAATGGGAGTTTCTATATCGTCAAGTTTAATCGATTGAAGGAGTGATCTGGTAAAGAAATTATCAATTTCTTCAACTGTAAGAGTGTTGACCTGTTCAGCTAAGTCGTTCATGTCAATGTCTGATTGAGTCTGAGGTTGGTTGTCTGATTGAGTTTGTGGAATTTCTGATTCAGTCTCTGAAACAGCTTCTGATGGAACTTCCTCCTGTGTCTCCAGATTCCCTTCGGCGTCTTCTGAACCTTCTCCTTTCCATGGCTCTGATACGTCCACCTCTTTGGGTTCATCGATATCAACTAACTTATTCAATTTACATAACTCATCTCCTACTACATGGAAAACAGTCACTGCCACACCTTGAGTTAATTCAGTGATTTTCCCCAAATCAATGTTGGCTTCTCCTACTGCAATAACTACCCCTGGGTTCTTATAATCGATAATCCCCACGACATTTCCTCGAGCAATCTCTTTTGGGAATGGTAATAAGCATCCTGGTAACATCAAATTTGCCCCACCTTTGAGATGATCTATCACTTTTTCATGAGTTACAACCAATGGCAAGAGATACCCATTTTCCCAGCACGTGAAAACACTGGGATACATTTGAGAATCTCTTGACTTAAAATATAACGGAGTCTCATCAGTATTATAGTAAATTGTACCTTGAAAACCTTGCACACTTTTGAACGATGCTTGCTTTATCACTGATGGAAGCAATTTGAGCTCTGCTTCTTTAGACAACTTATCTTTTGGGATATCATAAGCTTCACAGATGGAACCAAGAAGCTTTCTCCTCTCTGAAGACTTAATATTAGCCGAAGCTTTTGGTTGAGGGTTCTTCTTAAACATAAAGTTTGCAGCTTAAATAGTTTCGCGAAAGGTCAACACTAATAATGACAGAATCTAAAACAACCCTACCACGATGGTCGGTAGAAAGGATTAGAATCATCATCTTGGCATTTGCTGTGACGTTAGTAGCAGGTTTTGGGTATCCATGGTATTTAGCCACCACCACTATTCATAGAGCGACATTACCTGTTGGAGAGATCAATGATTTAACTACTGATGTTGTTAAATTTAACATACCCGTGTATCTTAACTTATCTAATGCATCAGAAGATTTCATACATAAAAGTCAAACAGCCTTGAATACCAAATTGTACTCCGAATACCCTGGATTGAAAGATTTTTGGTCAATTGAATTGAGACGTGTGATAGATCATATGGATGAATCTCAAGATTATATAATAAACTTCAATATTTTACCCGATAAAGAAGAAGAAACCTTCGAAACTGTATTTGTGTCACCATTTTCCAAACGTACAGATATAGAATTAACCAATAAAGTGATTTTATCCAATAGAGTTGAAGAATTTTTATGTGACACGTTAATGAATAGATTATTCAAATTTGAAATCCTGAAATTTAATGATCTAAAGAAAGGTTTAAATACTGATCATATTGTATTCCCTTATTCTTCTCATTATAATTTGGTTTTCTCACTCTTTGTGGAGGACGGTACACCTGTTAGTTGGCAATCAGAAGATATTATTGGGTTAATGAACCCCTTACTTCAACAATTGAATCATTTTAGTAATTTTACCATTTCCACTCAAATCCAATATTATTCTAACTTGAATATTCCTGTGGAAGAAGGTGAAAATCTTGTGGTTAAACAATCAGATTTATCCACTTTTATAAATTATGGTGATTGGAATTTGAATAATAATGATATTAATCCAACAATTAACTTTATTTTATATTTCCCAAAAGCTACATATGCATCTAAATCCATGATAATTGAAAACTCCAAAACCAATTCCTTTTTGATTCCTCAATGGGGTGGTGTTCATATTTTCAACAAGAAGTTTGATGTTTATGATGATAATGACCATTTTGTTATAGTTAAGGATGAATTGATTCCTATTTTCGAAACTTTTTCATCACAATTATTCCAATTATTGGGTTTACCATTATCTGATGAGTCAGATATCACTTCAAAATCATTATTAATGAGAATAGATTCTTTAACTAGATTATCCACATATAAACATTATACTCAATCGATTCAAATTTTGAAATCTTTAGTCAAATTGACTAATGAATTGAATGAGATTTCGATTCCTGAAATCACTAAATCTTTCACTTTAGATGCTTTGAATAACTTGAAACGTTGTAAAGATTCACTTACTTTGCAACAATTCAATGATGCTATTATTCAATCATCTCAATCATTAAAGAACTCCAATAATGCATTTTTCGAGAAGGAAATCGTTCAACAAGTTTATTTCCCTAGTGAACATAAACTTGCGGTATTTTTACCCTTAATAGGACCTATTTGTTCAATGTTGACGATGAACAGTATCAGACAAATCAAAGACTGGAGATCAAAAAAATCTACTTAAGTAAATAAAGGAAAAACATATATTTAAATACTCTAATAGGTAATGCCGTGCTAACATTTTACGATCAGAAACAAGGATGAATCCCCTAAACAGGTAGGAAACCTCTAAACAATAAGAAAACCTCTAGATAAGGAGAAAACCTCTAAACAATAAGAAAACCTCTAAATAAGGAGAAAACCTCTGAACGGGACTCTAAGAAATCACTGAAATCTGCTCCTCAGTATTGTATCTTACAGGAGCTAAAGAAATCTGCATATCATCCAAATCATACACGACGTATGCATTTCTAAGGAAGTTATCTCCTAAGATATTGAAACGGGTTTCTGGGTAAATCAAGAAAGCACAACTTGGGGCATTAGATCCATCAGGGTTTTGCATTTGTCCGGCAATATACTCTTTGGGAACAGTAATATCAACACCATTGAAAGAAATAACTAAATCTTGAGCTTGTTCACAGGAGTCCCAGTAGTAGAAAGGACTGGAACCATCTTGATATTTTAAACCAAGAGAATTAGCAAGTGGAGCTACAATATCTGGATGTAAGTATGAAAGGGAAGTACCGGAATCTAAAGTGGCTGAAGCTGCAGTATTGATAGCATAACCACCAATAGATAATCTCTTAACTTCGACATCTAAACTATAAGCACTGGTGATTGGTAAAGTCACTAAATTACCACTATATTTAGCGTGATCAATACCTCCAAATAATACTGAACCACTGGCAGCATCTTTACTATTCAAGTATAATGAATAAGCATTTTTGGCAATATATCCATACTTCTTCAAAGCAGCAGGTAAATTGTCATATTTTGTATCAGCATCTTCTAAAGCTCTTAATCCAATACCAAAAATACCATAAGGAATAGAAGCTTGGGTGGCATCAGCAAATTGTAAATCAGGAATTGTAACTGATCCATCTTGACTTAATGATACTCTATCACTAACCCAATCACCACTAGTCGTAGCACCCCCACCATAAGTGATGCTGAACCCTGGGGCGATATATCTATAGGTAGAAGATCTTGAACGATCATAACTTCCATATGGAGCGTTCAAACCAGTAGCACTATCAATGACCCATAAATCTGATGACCCTGTATCAAGGTCAACACTGATCTTTTCACCATTAGAACCAACCCAAATATCAGCAAAATAATTCATTCCCTGATTTTCTAATGGATATCTCACAGCACCGCTTGCTCTTTTATCAAGTTCATCTGCTGGAAAACGATTAGATACACCGGCTGTTGCGTTAAAATCTAACTTAATAATCTTATCACCCCTTTTTTGGAATCCTCCAGGGAGAACTGAACCATCTGAATGTTTCAAAAGCCAAAATAAGGCCATAAGATAAAAAGCTTTAGTAGTGAATTGAAGTAACATTTTTTTTTGCAGCCAAACTATTTTTTGGAATGATACTTTCAAAGTAAAGGAATTTCTTCACTTTAAATACTTCCCTTTCACAGAAGAGTTACCTTCTGGCTCACCAAATTGACTTATCAATGTTATACAATCTCTATATTTGTTAAGTCCTATCTAATGTTGGGCAACGCACGTCTTTCATGCATAGTCAAAACCTCTGCATTGTTGAGCATTCGAAACTTGACGTTTTGGGAAGCAGCTAAAAATATTCTGCATGAGTAAACCCTAAAGTGGCTTTGAATAATAAGATTATCATCAGACACTACCTGGGTAAATTTCAAATTCACAAGTATCTAAGACATGTTACATGCACAAAAACCAGCTGACAATGTAATTAAACATAATTCCGTACACCTCTTCGGCAAATAAACTTCCATGGGATTTGAGTTATCCGCTAAGATTGGTTCTTTGTTGATAAGTATATCCTCTATAGGTAAATCTTCCGTCGCTTTGGTGAAAGAAGTCCGGAACATAACGAAATGGATGCCTGTTCAACTTTGTCTCGATCCGATCTTTCTTTGTTCTTTAGACGGGAATTAAGATTTGTGACTTTAAGTTAAGTCGAAAGTGTTTCATTTGACAGGAAAGCGAGTGCAAACGTATCTGATTATCTGGTGGAGTCAATACATCTTTGAGCAAGTAAGAAAAGGTACTGAAACCAGGAAGCATTGCTAATTCAAGATCAACACTATCATCAGCAGTAAAAGTTTTGACCTCACTCAATCTCTTGCGATAAGCTCATTTTTCGCAGCCAAATTTTTAAATTTGCAGTTTGTAAATACTCCTGTTGGGATGTTCTGGGGGTTCTCTTCTACTGTCTAATCATGTCTCTTCTACCCACTTAGTGAGATCCAATGTTACTATATCAAAGTTGTTTCTCATATAGATACTTCACGCACAGCGGATAAGTCAAAAGGTTCTTATTGTTTAAACTTTATCTACAGATGTTTTGGGAAACATTGACAATGTAAAACAACAGTAAAGCCTAATTATGAGTCAAGGAAAAAATTATTGGTTATCGAGTTTTGACACCATAATAATTTCATGATGATAGTGAGAATGGTTAAACAAAAGGCTGAAGCTGTCTATCCGCTAAGAAGTTTAATTGGCCTTCTTGAATGTAATTGGTGGTATGGATGCTTTGCTGAAATTCCAGGATCATAAACAATCGACGCTCTTATCAGTTTCAATTCGGCTGAAACACTTATCTGCTGTATGATATCGGCTAGCATACTTATCGTTTGAAATTACAGCAATCTTTACCGATCTGTTTGGAAACTGACTCCGAGATGCATTATCCCCCATTTTTAACTTTATGTTCTTTCCCTTGGGATCTTGTAAGGTTTAAATACAGGCCAGAACGCTGTTTGAAGGTCAGATTCTTGCAGGCTTTTTCGCCAAGTCAACGGTAAAGATGGAATTACTGAACTCCTAGGACGCTATGAATGTTCCAGAAAAGCTGTTACAACTATAGTTGGTACAGAAGAGGGAGCACACGAGAGAAACGATAAAACAAAGAAACATTTATTGAAACGTCAAGAATTGAAATATTTAAATGTCAAGAATTGAAATATCGAAACTAATCATTCTTAAAGCTACCAGGTTTAAGAAATTGGGGAAATATCTTCATCAGTACTGTATTTAACAGGAGCTAAAGAAATCTTCATATCATCTAAATCATAAACAACATAAGCATTTCTCAAGAAGTTATCACCTAAAATGTTGAAACGATCATCTGGAAGGACTAACAAAGCACAAGCAGGAGATGTTGATCCATCATTGTATTGTAATGGACTGGTAACATAAGATTTTGGAACAGTGATATCAACACCATCGAAAGAAACTTTCAAATCACCAGCATCTTCACAATTATCCCAGTAATAGAATGGAGAATCACCATCTTGATAAGTTAAACCAAGTTTACTAGCAAATTGTGATAATAAATCTGGGTTCAAGTAAGAAATAGTTGAACCTGAATCTAAGGTAGTTGATACACCAGTATTGACAGTAACATCACCAATGCTGAAAGATTTAACATCAAGATTCAATCTATTGGAACTAGTAACAGGTAAACTAACCAAATCACCAGAATATTTAGCTTTATCAATACCACCAAATAATACTGAACCAGTTGTAGCTTCCGCACTATTTAAATATAATGAGTAAGCATTCTTAGAGATATACCCTTGTTTCTTTAAAGATACTGGTAAATTATCATATTCAGTGGAAGCAGCTTCTAAATTAGGTAAACCAATACCTAAAATACCATAAGTAATGGTAGTATCAGTAGCATCACCGAATTCTAAAGCTGGAATTGATACTGAACCATCTTCAATTAATGAAACTTTATCACTAACCCAATCACCTTTAGCATAAGAACCATCAGCATATCCAATACTAAAACCACTGGCTACATATTTATAAGATGAAGATTTTGAATGATCATAAGAACCATCAGTTGCACTTACACCAGAAGCACTATCAATAAGCCATAAATCTGAAGATCCAGTATCAACATCGACACTAATTTTATCACCGTTGGAACCAACCCAAATGTCTGCAAGATAATAACTTCCTTTATTATCTAAAGGAAATTCAAAAGTACCGGCTCTTTTCTTTTTATTTTCAACTGGTGGTAAATAACTTGTTTTACCAGCGACTTTATTGAAATCTAATTTAATAACTTTATCACCTCTCTTTTGGAATCCACCTGGGATAGAAGTAGCTTCAGAAAATGATAAGACCCAAGCTAAGGCCATAAGATAGAAAGCTTTTTGAGTGAATTGAACAAACATTTTATTAAAATCAATGAACTTTTATAATTTTTTTGCAACCAAAAGGATTGAGTTGTGTTTTTTTAAAGTGATTAAATCAAAGGAAATTCATCGGTCTTAAATAGTTTTTCTTGTAAGGCTAGAATATTAAGATATCCAATCTTGTGATACATTAAAATTTACTAATAATTCGGTATTTGTTGCATAACCTTACTTATCTAAAACTTCCTATCTAATGTTGACATAAACACGACTTTTCATGCATAAAGGATAATCCACGTCAAAGGCTTTCTATTGTGTGAAGTTAATAATTAGACGTTTTAGGAAAAGCTAAAAATACTTCACTTTAGTGAATTTTAATCGTAAGGCTTTAAATAATTATCATTGGCTATTTGAACCGACGCTACAGAGTTTCACAGTGATTTCAAAATTAAAATCCTAACCGTTTCCTGTATATTGAACATTTCTAAAACACTGTTGGATTGTTGATTATCATATATCCATACAAGTATTCGGCAATTAAACTTCGGTATTGTCAAACAGGGGTCTGAAAAAAGTCAATAATCCGGTATGAAATCGATAGTTTGACATAACAATTCGACTTTTGATTGAAGTTTATAACCATTACAGGTGGGTTTCATTCAAGAGTGTTGTGAAGTTACTTAACAGGAAAAAATTCCACTGCTTATCTCCTTCCACTGAACCTGGGGGATCGTCCAAATGCGTGTTAGTTATATTTTTTATGGGCCGCATGAAACCTGTCAATCAAAAAAGGGGTGATTTGACGTTTATAGTTGCATGTTATCTGAGATTTTATCGTCAATTAAGGAAAGGTAGTTACATAACCCCAAAAAATATATGTTTAAATCCAACCGTGGCTTAATGTCTAGATGTGAATTGTGGGTATAGTTGGAGTTCAATCACGTATTATTGGCTCGATGATATTATTGGCTCGATCTAACTATATTTCATAGATTGCTGAAACAAATAAACGCAATTTTTTTTGACTTCAAATCTTAATTCGAAGTCAAACTTTATCCCCTAAATTTTTGGTTATGATAATAACTTCAATTTGACACAGAAGATCATTTGAATTGCGTTAGTTGTGGTGTTGCAATCAATGGCTTTTGAATGGTTTTTCATAAGGTTAAGTTTTTTTGAAGGTCAAACACAATTCCCTTAAATTCCAATATCCCTTTTCAAAGGTACCTGAAACTTAAAGGTTAAAGAGATGGCATTCGCATTTTTTTGTGGTGTTTGAGAGATGTCAAAATTCACTGTTAATACCGTCAGTTTAGGTGCCGTGGGGATTGCGTCATATTTTTGGGGTTTATCGGGATCTAAAGAAAAACTCGATACCAAAAAACCAAATTTACCTGCTCCAACACCTACTTCTCCATTACCTGCTAATGTTGGTATAAATCCTGAAGGGTTTTACAAATATGGATTTCCTGGTCCAATTCATGATTTACAAAATAGACAAGAATTTATAAGTTGTTATGATAGATCTAAACGTAATCCTTATTGGGTGGTTGAACATATTACTAAGGAATCGATCAAATCCAATGGTGTGGTGGACAGAAAGAAATCTATCTTTAAAGAAGATGAAGCTATACCTTTTAAATTCAGAAATAAATTGAGAGATTTTTTCCGTTCAGGTTATGATAGAGGACATCAAGCACCAGCTGCTGATGCTAAGTTCAATCAAGATGCCATGAATGAAACTTTCTACTTAACTAACATTTCACCTCAAGTAGGTGATGGATTTAATAGAGATTATTGGGCTCATTTTGAAGATTTCGGTAGAAGATTAACAGGTAAATATGATAATGTTAGAATTATGACAGGTCCTTTATATTTACCTAAAAAATGTTCTGACGGGAAATTCAGAGTTGAATATGAAGTTATAGGTTCACCTCCAACAGTAGCTGTTCCTACCCATTTCTTTAAATTGGTAATTGGAGAAAATAATAATTCCGATACCATTGATGTGGGAGCGTTTGTGTTACCTAATGAAATAATTGAAAATTCTTCCCCTTTAACAACCTTCCAAGTTCCTGTAGAAGCATTGGAAAATTCAAGTGGGTTGGAATTATTACACAAAGTAGCTCCTCATAAAAAAAGAGATTTATGTAAATACAATAGATGTGAAATTATCGTCAGAGAATTTCCAAAAAACGTCAATAAGATATTGACTTTAGATAGCAAATAGATATATATTACAGAAAAAATTAAATTTTACTTTTCAACCGTTCTAGCGGCCTCGCATTAGTATCATTGAATACTTGACATAAATGGTCAATGACTCCCCATCCATACCCATTGGAGAACCTTCGACGTACCACGATATTATTATGAGCATCTGGTGGGAGTTTCACGAGGATTTTCCTCCAGTTTAATTCATCATGATACTTTTGAGCAATTCTGACTTGTTTCTTTGGTTTCTGGAACAATCCAGTTACCTCTTCATCAACGGGTATATCATTATATTGATAAAACCTATCATGAAATATAACCGGTTCTCTTCCCTCAGGGTTGATTATATAATCTTGGTTAGGCACGGGACAGATAATAGTATTGAGGGCTGATTGAACAATAGAGGCTTTTGGAGGAAGGTTCAAAGCCTCGCTGTATTGTAAAGCCGTATTATCGTCCATGTGATCAACATCTTCAGCATCTTCTTGACTCAATTCTACACTGTTATTGTCGTCATTTTCATGGTCTTCATTATCATTGAAACTAGCTTTACTCTGTTTTTCAATAGGTGTACTGCTGCCACTATCGGTGAGGTTATCTGAACCACGAGCGTTGATTCTAAGAATCTTTTTCAGGAGTTTATCTCTCTTTCTGGTATTATTGAGATTGAAATTCAATGAAACTAATTGTTTATACTTTTTGAAAGAGTTATTCTTATCCTTCTTAGAATTTTCTTCAGATATTTGCCCTACATCAGTGTTATCGTTATCTTTATTATGTTTCAATGCTCGGACATCATCCATGGTCACATAATCTAGGTATAATAATGCACTGGTTCTTAAGGGAACAATCCCATCATTGATGATGTTAGCATAAATGATCAAGTTTGAACAACTTTTCATAAACTCATGTAAATCTTCTGGTAACTCATCCAATAACGCTCTACCTTTCAATTTTGATCTACTCAAAGTTAAATCCCTTCCAGTTTTACCCAAAGTCCCTAAATCCAATAACCACGATAAGATAAAACTGATCTCATTTAAAATCCCTAATAATGGACTTGCCATAAACACTAAATTATGAGGTTTAATATTCCTCTTAGTGAAAAAATTCTTCTCGTGATCTAACATATACTTGATGGAGTAAAGTTGTACAAGACCACCTAGTGAATGACCAATAAAAGAGACTCTCTCGATTTCAATGCCTTGACTCAAAAGATTATCAATCAATGAAATCAAATACTTTCCTTGCTTAGACCCTAGTTTCTTAACACCTCCTTCGGTCTTTCCAGCATTGCCATCAAATCCTTTTATCAACAAATTATCGTCAACGTTGGATTCTAGCGATTCTTTAAGGTATAACATATCAGCAGTTAAATTAGAGAAAATCCCATGGGTTAAGATCACAAGATGAACCGGTTGATTATAATCGGGTGGTCGTGACCATATGTCTTCGTCAGTAAACTTTTCCACCGATAATTGAGGATTGGATGCTTCATTAAGTTTCATATATGTAACCGAATCCCCCGATAACGTGGTCAAACTCTTGAAAGGACCCTTATTGACTTTCTTCAATACCGCCAAGTCATCTCCAATCAACATATCATACAAAACCGAGGTGTTACTGGTGATAACTATCTGCGATATGATATCTATTTTCCACCCATAGACATTATCATGAATTTTGGAATTGTCGTTCAACAACAACTTAATATTGAATGTTTGTCCCGGTTTAAGTTCGTTATTAAAATGAACTTCTCTAGAATCTTGTTCCAAAGGTTTATTATGGTGGTAATTCCATGGAATTACATGACAATATAAGATAAAAGGTCCATTTAACATGTGAATGGCTCTGATAGGAGCTTTTTCGATGTTTTTCAATCGGAAAAAGATATCATTTCGTTCATCTTGTTTGGTATATTTGATATGATAACGTCTAACACCACCAATATGAACAATATCCTTATCTCTGTACCAGATATGAGGATCATTCATAGTAAAGGTGGAGATAGATAAGTGCGACTTTCCAGCCCAAAATGCCTGAGACAAACAGAGACAGAGAGAGTGAGAGAGAGGAGAGATGGGTCCATTTCTGACAACAATAAATATATGCACCTAATTAAATACATCGTTTAAGAATCTTTCTTCTTCTTCGTTATGCATAGATTTTGAACCAGCAGCTACACTAGCACTTGGATCTCTACCAGCATATCTTAAAGTCAAATTCTTGTGGTTTTCAGTTTCAGCTAAAGTAGTTAAGATTCTTGGTTGAGCATAAGCGTAAGAACCCATATTTAATGGTTCTTCTTGACAGAAGACTAAATCTTCAACATTACCATAAGAATCTAAAGCATCACGTAATTGTTGATATGGGAATGGATGCATTTGTTCAATTTTAATGATAGCAGTAGTTTTATCTTCAATTGAAGCTCTCTTTTTATGTAAAGCAGTATAAACTTGACCTGAACATAAAACAATCTTTTTAATGTTTTCTTTAGATTCAATTGATTTACCAAGTTCTTCATCTTCAATAATCCATTTGAAATGAGAATCTCCAGTAAATTCTGATAATGGAGATCTAGCTAAAGGATGTCTTAATAAGGATTTTGAAAAGAATAATACCAAAGGTTTTCTAAATTGTCTATGCATTTGACGTCTTAATAAATGGAATAAATTAGAAGGAGTGGTTGGATAAGCAACTTGCATATTACAATCTTGATGTTGTCTTTCTAATTTTTCAGGTGATGGGAAAAATCTTGGATCTTCATTACACATTTGTAAATATCTTTCAATTCTACCAGAAGAATGTTCTGGACCTTGACCATCATAACCATGAGGTAAAGATAAAACAATACCTGATCTTTGTTTCCATTTACTTTCAGCAGCAGCAATGAATTGATCAACAATGACTTGAGCAGTATTAGCAAAATCACCAAATTGAGCTTCCCATTGAACTAAAGCATCAGGAGAGGTTAATGAATAACCATATTCAAAACCCATAACCCCATATTCTGATAATGAAGAATTGGAGATATCAAAAGCTCCTTGATCTTCACTTAAATTATTTAATGGAGTATAAGTTTGTTCACTTAATTGATCATGTAAAACGGCATGACGTTGAGAGAAAGTACCTCTTTCAACATCTTGACCTGAAACTCTAACATGATAACCTTCTAAAGCTAAAGAACCAAAAGCTAAAGCTTCACCAGTAGCCCAATCAATACCTTCACCAGTTTCAACGGTTTTCTTTCTATTATTTAAAATTCTCTTTAAATTTCTATGAATTTCAAAACCTTCTGGAGCTTCACTAATTTTATTACCAATATCTTTTAAGATAGTTTCATCAACAGAAGTTGGTAAATGAGGTAAAACTTCAGTAGCTAATTCTTTTGGAGATTTAAAATCTTCCCAAGGAGTAGTTAACCATTCTCTTGAAGTTGGAACATATTCTTTAGATTTACCAAAAGATTCTTCTAATAAATTCCAAACCCATTTTTTATGTTCTTCAATATCTTCTTTAGTGAAAGTCTTTTCAGCTAATAATTGATCAGTATAATATTCAATAACTGATTTCTTTTCAGCGATTTTTTTATACATAACAGGTTGAGTAAAAGCTGGTTGATCAGTTTCATTATGACCATATTTTCTGAAACCAACAACATCAATGATAACATCAGTATGGAATTTAGCTCTCCATTCAGCAGCTAAATTGAAAACAAAGATAATACTTTCAACATCTTCAGCATTAACATGGAAAATTGGAGCATTGATTGATTTAGCAATATCTGATGGGTATAAAGTTGATCTAGCAAATCTTGGATCAGTGGTGAAACCAATTTGATTATTAATAATTACATGAACAGTACCACCAGTAGAATAAGCAGGTAAATTAGCAAATCCCATAGTTTCATAAACGATACCTTGACCAGAGAAAGCAGCATCACCATGTAATAATACTGACATGGCCTTTTTATGTTCTTTACTATCATTTTTATAATGTTGAATAGCTCTAGTTTTACCTAAAACTACCCCATCTTCAGCTTCTAAATGTGAAGGATTAGCAACAATTGATAAATTAACATGTTTACCTGAAGTAGTTGGTCTTTCATAATTCATACCTAAATGATATTTAACATCACCTGAACCTTCATCGAATTCTTTTGATCCAGTAAATTCAGAAAAGATTGATTCATTTGGTTTTCTAACAACATTAGATAACATATTTAATCTACCTCTATGGGGCATACCAATAACAATATCTTCAACACCAAATTCAACTGATTTATCAATTAAAGATTTCATACCTGGAACAACTGATTCAGCTCCTTCTAAACCAAATCTTTTATCACTTGGGAATTTAGTTGCTAAGAAACTTTCAAATGAAGTTGACCAAATTAATCTATCTAAAATTTGTCTTTTTTCATCAGTTGAAAATTTAAATGGTTGAGGAATTTCAATTCTTTCTCTTAACCAGTCACATTGTTCCTTTGATGGGATATGAATATATTCAACCCCATAACTTGAACAATATAATTTCTCACAACTTTCAATAATTTCTTTGAGGGACATAGATTTTTTACCATCTTCAGCGAATCTTGGTAAAATACCTGGACCTAAAGTAATTTGCTTATTTAAATCTTCTTCAGTAAAATTATAATAATCTAAAGTTAATTCTTTTGGAATATCTCCTTGATCACCAAAACTTATACCTAAAGGATCAATTTTAGCTTTTTGATGACCTCTAACTTGATAAGCTCTAACTAATAATTGAACTTTTAAATGGGTAACAACATCTTCACTCATGTTAGAATTATCTTGACCAGGAACGAATCCAGCAGCACCTCCAGAAACTGTTGGAATAATAGTTGGAGGGGCTTGGAAAACTTTTGATGGGGAAACGTTGGAACTTTCCATGTTTTTGAAATAAGCATTCCATGAAATATGAACTGATGATGGATCATTTCTCCAAGCATTATACATCTCATCAATATAATTCCCATTTACTGTTTGTAAAAACCCATCTTGAGTAGCTAAACTTCTATAACTAATAGAAATTGGTTTATATTGTGCTCTAAGTAATCTAGAGTGATTAACACTCTTTATAGCTCTAAGCATTTTTTGATAGTTTTTGTTTTATAAAATTCAATTGAGATTCAATGTCTTTATATTTTTTTCTGTCGATGGTTTATTCGGATTTGATTGGTGATGATGCTGCGACATTGCGCGACATGAGGAGGGTTTCCTTGAAACACCGGGTTAAGTCATGACTGGAGTTGGTTAGATAAGTGTGTTTTGTAGTGGTAGAAGGTAATGGGATGTTGGTGATGGGTATGGAGGATGATCGGTGGGATATGGAGGATTTTGGTGATATTTGGGGGGTGATTATAGGGGAAGTTATTTTTATTCCCCGGCAATTGTCCGTGAGACACGGTTGCAAAATACCCCATAATTAACTTTGGTCTAGTGAGAGCGTGAATTGACGTCCAAATAGTGGTGGGTGAGTGTATTGGATCAATGTACAAGTGTGAGACTTGATTATCATCATCCTAGCAATTATCAAGTCCAAGAAAACCTTACCAATGGTTATCACTTCCATCGGTTATAATGCGGCAATCTATCGGACTATTCAAGAGATCAGAGTTTGTTATGCATTATTCCCGGAACATTTTTCCATAGGCACAACCTAGAAATCATTGGAATATTCATTATATACAAGACCATTAAATAAATTCTTTAGATTTTCTTCTAAATGTATTACAATCTCTTAACCATTGCTTATAACCATTTAAAGAATAAATTCTTTCACCATAATAATCAGGAACCGGGTTAGAAAATGATTGTGATGATGGATCAACTCTGTTGGTTTTGATTTTGTTTAAGAAGATTTCATGTTTGGTTCTAAATTGTGCAGTGATTGATCTATTGAATAAGTTGAATACACTAGTACCTAAAAATGGACCAACTAACCAACCAGCACCTCCTCCTAATAAAACAACACCTCCCATGATCATTATAGGATCAAAACCCATGATAGGTTGTTCAGGATCAAGTTCAACATTACCTAAATAAGCTAAAGTCAATAATCCTCCACCAACACTAGTAAATGTGGAAGCAACAATATTAACGATATTTTGTTGTTTTTTCAATTTGAAATATTCTACCCAACTGAATTGTGAAGAAGTACTACTTTGAAATCTGAATGATCCTTGATTGAACAGGGTTCTATAGTTAAATCTTTTAAGATTTTGAATACCAATAGTTTGAATGTTTCTGAACATGATTAGTTTGAAAAATTTTCGCATTATCAGGTTATGTTATAATTGCGGTAGGTGGAAGTTAAGAATTGTTTTAGTAAATAGAGCAAGGTATCATTACCTTAAGAATATGACCTAACTAATGTCCACTGTCATCATTATCAGAGTCTTAACCTTCTAATCCAAACCTATAAACTCAATTCTTTAACTGACTCTGCGACATCGCGACATTGTCCCTGAATGAGTTAAGTGCGAAAAAAAAAAACATCGTTGAAAAACTTATAACCATAAAGTTTAACGCGTTAAAAAGGTTGGTTGGAATCAATCAGGAAAGCTTTCAAAAAGAATGTCAACTGATACCGAATACAAATACCCTGAATCCAAAGGAGATTTGAACTTTCTTTTGAGCGAGTATCAAAGATTGAGTAAAAGTAGTGAAAGTGCCAAAGAACAACATGATGAAGGTAAATTTACTGATCCTAATGTTAATGCTAGATTAACTATTGAAAGTATATTTTATAAAGTAATTCAAAATCATTATATATATAGTAAAGAATCAACCAAGTTCTATGATGAGTTAACTGTTAATGATAATGATGTTGATTATGAATTATTACAAAAACAAATTATAGGATTACAATTATTATCAAAAGATTTAGATTTACCTGAAGATTTACAAATAGATTTTAAACAAACATTAGGAGATTTCCAAATAACTGAAGAGAATAATGATGAATTAATATTTGAAAATTCGGTGGAATTCAATGATTATAATGAAAAATTGAAGAAATTAGGTATAAATGTTAAAGATATTCAACCACCCCAAGATAAATTAGGTAATTTAACTACTGAACAAAGTATCTCATCCAAAATATCCAATAGAATCCAAGATTTAGAAAATGTTCCTTTAAGTTTAGGTACTTTCAATATTGGTGAGGAAAATGAAGATTATTCCCAATTACAACAATTAAAATTAAACAGTTTAATTGAATTAAAATCTTTAAAAGTTTTAAGTAAACAAAAACAATTGAAAAGATTACTTATAAATTATTTATCTATTGAAAATTTATCGTTTGATAGTGAATTATCCAAGAATTCATTAATAAATTTAATTATTAGAAGTTTTAATCAAAGAAATAAGATCAAACAGAATGAACCAGAGAAATTAGCTATTAAATTAGATGAAAAGCAAAAATTAGAAACTAAGAAAAAACAACATTTATTACAATTAGAAAGAATTAAACTGATAATTGATTATTGTTCAGGATTAATGGAGAATAAAATTAATAAGAATAATCGTAAAAATGGTATAATTAAGAATATTACTAATTTCCATAATATTATAGCTAAAGATGAAAGTAAGAAATTAGAGAAAACTGCTAAACAACGTTTACAAGCATTAAAAGCTAATGATGAAGAAGCTTATATGAAATTATTAGATGAAACTAAAGATCATAGAATTACTCATTTATTAAAACAAACCAATACTTTCTTAGATTCTTTAGCTCAAGCAGTTAAAGTTCAACAAGTTGAAAGTGGAGCAGAAATTCCAATGGAACAAGAAGTTAAAGATCAAGATAATGAAGATGAAATTAGAGAAAAAATTGATTATTATCAAGTAGCTCATAGAATTAAAGAAGAAATCAAAGTTCAACCTTCGATTTTAATTGGTGGAACTTTGAAAGAATATCAATTAAAAGGTTTACAATGGATGGTTTCTTTATATAATAATAAATTAAATGGGATTTTAGCTGATGAAATGGGTTTAGGTAAAACAATTCAATCAATATCTTTGATTACTTATTTAATTGAAAAGAAACATGAAGATAAATTTTTAGTTATTGTACCATTATCAACTATAACTAATTGGACTATGGAATTTGAAAAATGGGCTCCTTCAGTTAAAACTATCGTTTATAAAGGTAGTCAACAACAAAGAAGAGATTTACAACCTGAAGTAAGATTAGGTAGGTTTCAAGTATTATTAACAACTTATGAATATATCATTAGAGAAAGACCTATTTTGGCTAAATTCGAATATAGTCATATGATTATTGATGAAGGTCATAGAATGAAAAATGCTGAATCAAAATTATCAATAACTTTAAGAACTTATTATAGAACTAAGAATAGATTGATTTTAACTGGTACTCCATTACAAAATAATTTACCTGAATTATGGGCATTATTAAATTTCGTTTTACCCAAGATTTTCAATTCAGTTAAATCTTTTGATGAATGGTTTAATACTCCTTTTGCTAATACTGGGAATCAAGAAAGAATTGATTTAACTGAAGAAGAAAGTTTATTAGTTATTAGAAGATTACATAAAGTCTTGAGACCTTTCCTTTTAAGAAGATTAAAGAAAGATGTTGAAAAAGATTTACCTGATAAAGTTGAAAAAGTCTTGAAATGTAATTTATCAGGTTTACAATATATTTTATATCAACAAATGTTAAAACATAATGCATTATTTGTTGGTTCTGATGTTGGTAATACTAAGAGTGGTATTAAAGGTTTAAACAATAAAATCATGCAATTAAGAAAGATTTGTAATCATCCTTTTGTTTTTGAAGAAGTTGAGACAGTTTTAAATAGTAGTAGATTAACTAATGATTTAATTTGGAGAACTAGTGGGAAATTTGAATTATTAGATAGAGTTTTACCTAAATTTAAAGCTAGTGGTCATAGAGTATTAATGTTTTTCCAAATGACTCAAGTTATGGATATTATGGAAGATTTCTTAAGATGGAGAGAAATGCAATATTTAAGATTAGATGGTAGTACTAAAGCTGAAGATAGACAAGATATGTTAAAAGTTTTCAATGCTCCAAATTCAGAATATTTCTGTTTCCTTTTATCAACAAGAGCTGGTGGGTTAGGTCTTAATTTACAAACGGCTGATACTGTTATTATTTTTGATACTGATTGGAATCCTCATCAAGATTTACAAGCTCAAGATAGAGCTCATAGAATTGGTCAAAAGAATGAAGTTAGAATTTTAAGATTAATTACTAATGATTCAGTTGAAGAAGTTATCTTGGAAAGAGCTCATCAAAAATTAGATATTGATGGGAAAGTTATTCAAGCAGGTAAATTCGATAATAAATCAACTGCTGAAGAACAAGAAGAATTTTTAAAGAAATTATTAGAAGCTGAAACTTCTAATGAAGAAAGTGAAGAAAAGAATATGTTGGATGATGAAGAAATTAATGAAATTTTAGCTAGAAGTGAAGATGAAAAAGTATTATTTGCTCAAATGGATATTGAAAGAAATAAACAAGATAAATTATATGGAGGGTTTAAGAATAGATTAATTGGTGAACTGGAATTACCTCCAGTTTTCACTGAAGATATTAGTCATCATTTTGAAAAAGATACTAAAGAATTAACAAGAATGAGAAATAAAAAGAGAGTTAAATATGATGATGGATTAACTGAAGAACAATGGTTAATGGCAATGGATGATGATAATGATACAGTTGAAGATGCCATAAGAAGAAAAGAAAGACGTGCAGCTAAAAGAAGAAAAACTTTAGCATTAAAAGAAGGTCTTGATGAAGATGAAATTGATGATCTTGCTTTAGATATCGATGATGATGAAGATGATGATGATGATGATGAACCAGAACCAGAACAAGAACAAGAACCTCAACCTCAACCTGAACAACCAAAAGAAGAAGATTTCTCTGATAATCCTATTATTACCAAAGGACAAGAGATTTTAAATAAGATGAATGGTCTTACTAATGCTAATAATGAAGAAATTATTGAAGTTTTCCTCAAATTACCTTCAAGGAAATTGTACCCTGATTATTATAAAATCATTAAAAAACCAGTTTCGGTAAGTCAAATTGAAAAAGCTTTAAAATCAAATAAATATTTTAATATTGAAGATTTTAGAGATGACATTTTAACCATGTGTTTAAATGCTAAAACATATAATGAAGAAGGTAGTGGAATCTATGATGCTGCTACAATCATTGAAAATTTTATTAATGAAGAACTCCCTGTGTAGTAGTGTAAGGTATATGTACACCTATTTATACTCGTACTTGTTTTTTTTGACACTGTCCCTCTATTTGACTCTATTCTATCACTGCGCTTACTCCTATGCTTAGTCCTTAGTCAAGAACTATACCTGTACCCTCTACCCTGTGCTTATACCCTGTGCTTATACCCTGTGCTTATACCCTGTTCTTATCCCTTCCTGCTTAAACCCTTCCTATTTTGGCACAACATTTCCTCTTTGGGACTTGCCCGTTTAGTTGACCGCATCGTAAGATTTTTAGACATGTCATTTTTCCCTGATGGTTGTCACTACCAATACCACCAACTTCATAATGAACATACCATGAAATTATCTCATGGTTTATGGTCCATCGACCCGTTAATGTCCCCTCACCCATTGCACGTCTATTGTCCACGCCCGTCTTCGCCCAATCAAGTCGCACCAATTTCTAATGATTGCAAAAAATGGCTGCTGCGTAAGGGTCGAGATCATTACTCGATTAGTAAACTTAACCTTCCCCCGACTATTGTATTTAACGTGTGCAATTCCCCGACAAAATTTCAAACATGTCGAGTATTTATTTGAAAAGAACCAACTTTAGATTACTTAGCTTAATTGCTGGAGGTTCATTAGTTGCAGGTTATGGTTTAAACAAAGCTAACCAAGTATCAATTACTACCATTGATAAATCCACACCTCCTAATAATAGCAAATTTTTACCTGCTGGGTTATTTCCTTTGAGTGTTTTACCAAAAGGTAAGAGTGAGAAAGATTTCCAACAAGTATATAATGCCATTGCTGAAAAGGTAAGAGAAGAAGATGATGCTGATGATGGTGCTGGTAGATATGGATTATTATGTAGATTAGCATGGCATTCAAGTGGTACTTTTGATTTAGGTTCAGGTAAAGGTGGTTCATATGGAGGTACTATGATTTATGAACCTGAAAGTACTGATCCTGGTAATGCTGGATTATCAATTGGTATTGAATTCTTAAATGAATTCTCCGTTAAATATCCATGGTTAAGTAGAGGTGATTTATGGACTTTAGGTGGAGTCGTTGCTGTTCAAGAAGCTGGTGGACCACAAATCAAATGGAGACCAGGTAGAGGTAATGTTGACGATTTAGATAGTGTTCCAAATAATGGATTTTTACCTGATGCTTCAAAAGAAGATGGTAAATATGTTAAGAATTTATTTGCTAGAATGGGATTTGATGAAAGAGAAACTGTTGCATTAATTGGAGCTCATTGCTTAGGTAAATGTCATCCTGATAGATCAGGTTTTGACGGTCCTTGGGGTCCAAGTTTCAATATGTTCACCAATGATTTCTTTGTTAGGTTATTAGAAGGATGGCATGTTAGAAAATGGAATGGTCCAAAACAATATGAAGATGATTCATCTAAATCCTTCATGATGTTACCATCCGATATGGTTTTAAAGAAAGAATCATATTTCTTAAAATATGTTAAAATGTATGCTGAAGATGAACAATTATTCTTTAAAGATTTTTCAGCTGCTTATACTAAATTATTAGAGAATGGAATTGATTTTGGTAAACAACCATACATGACATTCAAGACTTTAGACGATCAAGATATGTAGAGTAAAGTAGATTATTTTTTCAGTTCTTTCTTTGGCTTTGGCTTTGGCTCTAGCTTTGGCTCTAGCTTTGGCTCTAGCTTTGGCTCTGGCTTTGGCTCTAGCTTTGACTCTCTGTTCCAATTCTCCTCGGATAACTCTGTTTGCCTCCCTACCTTTCTGTCTGTGATCTCCTTCATTTTGGTTGAGAGCTCGGAAATATCCTTATTTCGGACTTATCGCTCTCCATCATTCGGACATATCGCAAGTCCTTAAAAATTGCACCACCATGGCTTCATAAACTCATAAACCTTTACCCTAACCAATTAGCTGATTCTGCAATTTTACGAATGCCAAGGTCTCACCTTCTCACACCATCCAATGAATCAAAATTACTATCTCAATAAACCCCCTAATAATCCGTTCCTAGGACGTGTTGAATAAAGCCCCCCATGGCTATAAACCCTTTATTGTTTACATAAGTGTACGTGTCACCCTTTATCCGGTAAAAACACCATACAGCCACGTCTGCGTCACAATAGATTAAATAGATAACCCGATCTCGCTCTGAAAAATCCGATATCTCCATTTTCTTTGTTACACAAAATGTTGCATCTCGAAATTCTATATAAATAGAAACGACCCCCAAACTTTTTCTAAACTTCAATTTTTGAACAATGATTAATACCGGTAAAGGTAAGATACCCCAAGAAGAAATTATACCTTTAAAAACAGATGTTGGTGCCTTAGGTAACAGAATAAATAAAGATACTAGATCTTTACATAATAAGATCGATAAGCAAATGACTTTAAAATTCGCTTTAGCTTTAAGAGACTATAAAATCTATAGACAAGGATTACAAAGTTTCTATCACGTGTTTAAGGCTATTGAAAAATCTTTAGAAAGAGAATTAGCTAAATCTGATGATGATAAAATCACTTATATCTTAAGAAATATTTGGAAACCTGCTATGGCCAGATCTGAACCTGCTGAAAAAGATTTGTTATTTTACTATGATGATCATAAAGAGAAATTTATGACCCCAATGATGTCAGAACAAATCAAATTTTCTAATCATATTGAATCTGTTACCACTGAAAAGCCTTACTTGTTATTAGCATATTTACATGTTATGTACTTAGCTTTATTTGCTGGAGGTAGAATCATGAGATCCTCATTATCTAAAGCTACAGGTATGTTCCCTCAAAAACCAGGATATTCTCATGAAGAAATCGTTAAAATGGGATCGAACTTCTTTACTTTCCCTGTTGAAGATGAAGATTTCTTCAGAATCTTATATAAAAGAGATTATGAATTGTTCACCAGAAATGAACTTACAGAAGAACAAAAATTGGAAATTATTGAAGAAAGTAAATATATCTTCCAACAAAATGCCAATTGTGTTTCAGAATTGGAGAAACATAACATGGCTAGAATAAGGCAAAAATGGAGTTATATAGCTGTTACCAAAGGATATTATGTGGTGATGGCTGTAACGATAATGATGGTGTTATTTTATGTCAGAAAGATTTTTATGTATTTAGTATAAAATAGTTTATGAAGGGTTTTGTGTTTTTTGTTAAGTACTCTGGAAGGTAACTCGGTGTGAGATCACTTTTTTTGTTTCTTGGAGGGAGGAGCAGAGTCTTCTTCGTCAGACTCTTCTACTTCTTCTTCTTCATCTTCTTCAGACTCTTGTTCTTCATCTTCGTCATAGTCTTCTTCATCGTCTTCCTCTTCTTCTTCCTCTTCCTCTTCTTCTTCTTCTTCTCCTTCTTCACCTTCATCCTCACTCTCAACTTCTTTTTCAACCTTCTCCCCACTAACTCCTTCAGGATGATCTTTCTTCCAGTTCTCAACCCATTCTCCAATTCTTCCCACATTACTCTCCATATCTTCCTCGGTGTTACTCTCTAAAACAACAACTATCCCCTCTTCGTAACTCTCCTTGGCCTCCTGTAAGATCACTTGCATTATTTCAGCATCAATATTCTCATCAATCTTATTCTTCTTATATCCTCTAGCCTTTAATCTATCATACAAAATAGAATTATCTGTGGTTAATACCACCACCAAGTCAATAAGACGTTCGGGAAATATATCACAAACATGCCAATCTATTATATTACCACCTTTAACCAATTCTACTTCCATAAAATCAAGTAACTTATCCTCATCGACTACGGAAGTATCTAAAACTTCATCGTACTTCTCTATAAAGCCTTTCTCTTTAGCTATTTCACTGATTGAGTATAATTCATAACTTAATAACTCTTTAAGCTTCTTAGAATGACTGGATTTACCACATCCTGGGGTCCCAGTAACGAGAATATTGGGGGAGTCTCTGTTCATATTGAATTCGCACTAAAAAAATCTATCATCAACATGGATAAGTTTGGCTTGAACGGTATAACGTCTCTTGCTAAGATGGAAAATGATAATAAGCATAATTTTGCCATAGGTCAAGATTTGAATTTATTAGGATTCAACCTAAATCAAGAGAAAATCCTTGAAAACTTATCATCGCCATGGTTAGAAACTTCAAGATCGGAAGTTGAACCAAGCTTCAAATTACCTAAATCTGTTCAATCTGGAAGTATTATACCTCCTCCTGAATCATGTGACAGTAAGATATCCAATTTCAGTGATGAAACGTTGTTTTATATCTTTTATATGAAACCAAGAGATACTTTGCAAGAATATGCTGCTAGAGAATTGGTGTCGAGAAATTGGAGATATCATAAAGAAATTCAAGTATGGCTTACAAAAGATAGTAACGTAGAGCCAGTGTTGATAAGTCCGGAAGTTGAAAAGGGGGTTTATATATTTTTCGATCCACATAATTGGGAGAAGATAAAGAAAGATTTTGTATTACATTATTCATCAGTACAAGCTTAAGGTTTCTAGACGAAATTAGTCTTTGTGATATGTCACTTTATCCACTTTAACTTCATCATCCAAATAGGTGTAAATATATAATGTACATGAACTGTCGTGAGTTTCTAAAAGACAAAATGATGGATTATTAGTGAATTGGTCGAGTTTAATTTGATCTTGAGGTGAAAGGGTGGTTTTTTCGAGATCTGTGGTTATGGCTTCAACAGATGGTTCTTCTTTGGAATCCTGTACTTGATCCTTCAATTCAGATTCGGTTTGCTCTGTTTGTTCTGTCTCCGGATTTGTTTCTGTCTCTTCTGTCTTTGTTTCTGTCTTAATTTCTTCTTCATTTTTCTCGGATTGGGGTTCATCTTGTTCTTGCTCTTCTCCTTGCTCTTCCCCCCCTTCTTCCTCGTCTGACTCTCCATCCTCTGCTTGCCAATCAAAATTAAAAGCCCCGGAACCACTTCCAGGATTGACAAAAAATTTCCCATCTAAAACGTATGCATCAACTTTATGAGTTCCTCCATAGATTAGTATATCCACGTCGATCTCTCTGGCAAAACTGCTTAAACTCAAAGGGTCATTCTTAGGTACTATCAATGATCCATTGGTAAACCCTATTTTTAAATTATCTACTTTTAAAATCTTATAATTCTGAATCAAATCCTTTCCTTCTACTCCTAGTAAATTCAATTGTTGTGTCAAAAGGTTAACATCATCGAATTCTCCCTTTACCATATGGAAGTTAGGAGATATATTGAATAATAAGTTTAAAGTATCCAAATCATTAGTGATGTTTCCTAAACATAAAACATTGGATATTTTGGGATTGGAAGGAATTGATTGCGGATTGGGTGCCAAAAGCTTATGGAACTTAGCGGGAATATCAATGGATCTATCGGGGATGAATAGATCACCAATGGCTAACGTCAACATGGTGAGATAAGAAAAGTGCGCAGTGAGCAGTTTTAGGTGAGAGATAATTGTGGGTGGTAGACGGTAGCTGTAGAGTCAGTGATGTGGGAATGCGACCTAAAGTCGGTGGATAGTACAAACGGTAGTTACAGTGGGAGGGATACCTATATTTCTAATGATCAGAGGTGATCTTTTGTAACACTTGAGGATAACTTCTAAAGATTTCATCGAATTTATCTCTGTTTGTCATTTGGAAAACTTCTGGATCTTTAGCTAAAGCTACAAAGAAGGTAGAAACTCCAGAATCAATAACTACCAAAGCAATTCTAGTGATTTGACCTGAGATCAAGAAAGCAAAAGCAATCACTGGAGCATAGAATGATCCATCATCGTTATACCCTGGTTTAGTGTATCTTAAGTATAAGTAGGATAATAAAGCAACGATATAACCAACAAACATGGAGTATAAGTTTAAGGAAGTACTGATGAAACAATCATTAACTAAAGCGTCCATACCTTTGAATCTCAATAAATCAAAAGTATCTTTGGCTGATCTAACATAAGATTTACCGTATAACGCAACGTAACAATAAGCATAATGGTTGAAATATTGAACTAACCATTCAATGAAACCGACGATGAATTCAATGACTAAGAATAAACATCCTAACATATAATCACCATCACCAAAAGCATTTTGTCTTAACATTTGTAAGAACCCTTTTAATAATTGGATTAAAGAAACGATTAAAGAACCGAAACAAATTGATCCAAAACAGTAAGTTAAAGCTCTTTTTAATGAACCTAAAGCTGGATGTTTGGGTTCACCTTGGTCTGACCCTGATAAATAGTACCAGGTACCATAAACTCCTGAGATGACGACATGGATAACATTTCTGATAACTTCTGAGATATAATAACCAGCAAAGAATACAAACACTAATAATCCAATCAATTTACCTTGAGAACAGCTTCCTCCTCCAACGGAACATCCTTCGTTATTGGAATTAGGATCATATTTAACGTAAGTACCTACAATGACTACGGAGAATAATACTGAGAATCCTGACCCAATGATAAGACCAAAGAATGAAGTAATTAATGTTGAAGGATAACGTTTCATCACATCAATTACAATGGTTAATACTGCAGCACTGAAAGGAATTCTATGTCTAGCTCTCCAATACATGAACCCAGTAATGGCAGTAAATACTAAGAAAACAATCCCAGCAGAATAATATTTCATAGCTAAGTAATAAATGGCAGTAGCTATTCCAAATACCACATTTAAGATCAAACCTGAAGTAATGAAGAATTTAGGTGCTAACCTAGCAAATATAATTACACAAGCTGCCAATACCAATGCCAATACAATGATGAAAGCAAATAAAATAATGGTATTGGTGTTCATAGCGAAACTATTACCACTATTATAAATACCTCCACCTTGGAAATCGAAAGTTTCTCTCAAGGCATTCAATGTGATACCTCCTACGGCAACAAACCCAGCTACCACTAATAAGAAGAAGATAGTAAAGGGCCAGTCATTGAATTTTGGTTTGGTCACTTTGAAAGCCTCATCGAAATTATCACTATTCATTGGTTTTCCTTCTTCCATTGATTCATAATCATAGTTTTGACCATTAGGTCCTGGAGGTGGTCCTGATGGTGGGCCTTGGTCATAAGGATTCTGCTGATATTGGGGCTGTCCTTGTTGTTGGACTGGAACATTATAGGTTTGGGACATAATTGCTAAAATTTCAGATGCGGTAGAAAAACAAATATTGGGGTGATGAGGCTGAAACGATTAGCTGAACGAGCAATTGGAAAGAGGTTGGTTGATTATCACTGGGCGGGATAGCAAATGTGTGATGGTGTTAGTAGGTAGAAGAAAGGGAAGAAGTTCCAAGAGGTTTAGAAGTCTATTTGTGGATATTTTTTGTACCTGATGCGATAAGGGTCTAGTATTGACATTACTCGAATAGTGCGTTGGGGGGTAGGTATAAGGTGTTAAGTGGGAAGTGTGATGGGGGACTCTTGAGTTCGATACTTCAGTGAAGATATCTAGGAAGAGGTTCCTATGGCATGGTGTTGTGTTCTGTATTGTTCAAAGTTGACCTTCCTTTTTAGGCAAGTTTTTTCTATTGAGAGATGTGAGAGACTGCTGGCAATTAACTGAGCTTGAGTACCTAGACACTACATTAGCGTTACAATTAAGAGACTGTATAATCAAGACGCTTTATAATCAAGACACTTTATAATCAAGAGACAACCCATTACATATGGTCCAAACAAGAAGAGTCCATCAGCACAGTTTTTCTTTTTGGACTCCTTACCTAAGCGAGAAACCACAGAATCATCACATATCTCCGATGACTCAGATTATGATCGAAAACTAGACAGATTCTAGATCGACGGAATATTCCTAAAATCTACGAAAGGCATTCCAACGGTTCTGACGTAGTTTTTATATACATGCCCCTCACCGCAAATCCTCATCGCATCGGCTTCAAATCTATTCTTTAGAGGTCATTAGTAAGGCTTTATCTTTACGATTTGGGCTCCGGGATTTCCTTGTGGTGTCCTACTATACTCTTCAATATCCCAAGTCACTTTAAAACTCAAAATAGTGATGAATAAATGAAAAAATTTCTACCTCTGGTTAGAAGTATTCCGAGATCTTACATAAATTTGCATGATTTACAATTTTTGCAAGATCTAACTAAAAAAAAAAAAAAAGAACAGATCTAGATCATGAGGTTCTTATTGCATTGGTAAAGCAACATTAGTTAGCTTACAGGTGGAAGGGTACCTTCGTAGATGGTGGAAAAATATTCCGACCAGCCTTTAAAAAATAATCGCACGATGGCTGGATCTTATCATTGATGTAAATAGGAAAAATCAAAATATCGAAAGATTATTGGACTAAAACACTGGTGTTCACTGAAAGCAGAGTTTTAGTTAATGTTTAAATGATTTTTAGGGGTTGGCATGAAAGAATTTTTGCTTGTCGAAATACCAAGCCTAAACGAATTAACCAATGAGCGGCGTTCTAAGTGAGAAATGTACTCAAGAGCCAGTGGTTTTAATATCACTATAGTTAATCCCAAAAAGGACATTAACGTAGAAAGTACAAATACATGGCTTGTAACTGTAGGATCCCATGGCTGAGGTTCGTTGCAAAAAGGTGTAAATTTTTTTTTTCTTATTTGCTACCAAGGCTAATTTGTCCTTTTAAAGAATAACACGAAAGTTCGTGTCTTTCTCCAAACCATATAATAACATTACCCTAAATTCTACCTATAACTTCCCATATCTTATCAAACTAATACTCCTAACTCCAACCACCTTCATCTACCCTTCATGTTTCCCTTAAATCATTATCCCTATCCATCACCATATTCCGTAATAATTTCATATCTTGCATGCCTGCATATAACTCGCAGGCTGTTAAAAAAGAAAAATCGTCAAAAAAAAAAACAACAGTTTAAAGTTCGCAGTTTTTCCCAAAATTCATCAACACAAATTATTCCAACTTAAAGTCATTCCTTTTTATTCATTCTTTTCAGATTAGATTTGTTACAATTTATAAACAAATACATTCATTAAGTTAAATAGTTGTAATTTAGTTCGAAAAAACAATGAAATTTAGTCAATCCTTATTATTTTTATTAGCTTCCACCTTAGTTAATGGTTGGTGTGACTTATCTTCTGATGGTAATTACTATTGTAGTGCCACTAAGAAAGTTACTTATGAAGGTGTAGGTTATTCAGGTAGTTATCCTGATGTTACTGCCATGAATGATGATGGAAGTTGTGATACTACTCCAAAATCTTTCTCCGGTAACTTATCACCATTAAATGAAGAATTATCTTTACATTTCAGAGGTCCTTTGAAATTGAAACAATTTGGGGTTTATTATCCATCATCTTCATCAAAAGCCAAAAGAAACCAAAAGAGAGAAGAAGATTGTGCTACTACTTTAGTTCATAAACATCATTTACATAAAAGAGCTACTAAAGTTGTTGAAGTTACTCAAACTGTATTTGTTGATGCTGAAGGTAACACTCAAACTGTTGCTACTTCATCTACTTCAACTGCTGCTGCTGCAACTGGCGGTGCTGCTAGTGCTGGTAAAGATACTACTTCTACTTCAGTAGCTACCACCACTTCTTCAACTTCATCAGCTGCTGCTACTTCATCATCTTCTTCATCTTCTGATGATGACGATGAAGCTTCAGGTGACTGGACCAGATCTTCATACTATACTCCAGGAACTGCCGATAATGTCGTTTTCTTCAACTATAACGGTGGTTCAGGTTCAGGTGTTTGGAGTTCCGCTTTTGGTAACTCCATTTCTTATGCCAATTCTGATATGACTGGTGGTGCTTCATCTCCTCAAATTATGGATGATATTACCATTGGTTCAAACACTGAATATATGATCATGTCAGGTGATAAATGTTCAGGTAACGATTGTGGTTACTACAGACCAGGTATTCCAGCTTACCACGGTTTCGATGGTACTGATAAAATCTTTGTTTTTGAATTCCAAATGCCTGAAGCTTCTGGTTCAAAAACCGCTATCAATTATGATATGCCAGCTATTTGGGCTTTAAATGCTAAAATCCCAAGAACTTTACAATATGGTTCTGCTGACTGTACTTGTTGGCCAGATTGTGGGGAATTAGATTTATTCGAAATCTTATCCGCAGGTTCTGATAAATTAATTTCTCACTTACATTCCGGTCAAACTTCAAAGAGAGGTGGAGGTGGTTCTCAAGATTATTTCGAAAGACCATACACTTCAACCATTAAAGCTGCTGTTATCTTTGATGGTGATGCTATCTCAATTGTTCAAGTTGATGATAGTACCAACTTTGGTTCTGGTTTATCTCAATCAACTGTTGATGGATGGATCAGTGAAAGTGGTTCAAAAGCTTCTATTGGTTATTAGTATTTTTTTGGATATATGTTTGGATTTATCTTTTCTCTTTTCTCTTTTCTTTGTATCGGTAGGGTTTAAAGAGATGATGAGCTGTGTAGTTCTAGATCTGCTACTTACAGTTGTTTCAGATATGAAACAAATATGAAACATCGCTGATCTTGAAAGCTAAATAACACACACAATTTATATTACTTATACACACACACGATTAACGTTTAAAAAGTTCTCCAAATGTTGGGTCACTGAACTTATAGTAACTGTTCTTAGTCCATCTTCTGAAATTCTTTCCATATAATACTAAGATTATGAAAGATCCATTGATGACAACACTTAACATGAACATCAACCAAGTAGTGACTTTTAACCCATTTCTATCCAACCAGGGTTGAATGGCAAAGGTAAATCCCATACCAATCATATTTCTAATAAACAAAACTAATACTAAAGCCTCTGATGCCATACGATGATAACAATCCATCACATATGTCAAACAGATAGTACCACTTGAAGACATGGCAAAACCCAAGAATCCTTGACCTATGATGACAGAAACTGGCCATGGGTTACCATTCCAAGCCCCTAAACCATAAGCCAAAAGCCCAATAGCATTGGTAACCAAGGGTAAAACCATAGCATATAATCTGAATTCAGGTTCCATGATCCCATTATTTTTTCTAGCCATTCTAAGAGTTATCCAATCAACAAGAGGTCCAGTACCTAAACCAATTAAGGAACCAATCAATGGACCGAAATTTGTTAAACCAGTAGACCCAGCAGAAAAGTTATATGGTTCACTTGAATAAATCAATGCTTGAGTGGTGGCTAATAATGATAACCACATCATTTGTGCTCCATAAACTAACCCACACCATAACACAGCTGGGAATGTAATCAAGAAGAACGGACGGTAGAAAATACATAACCAAGATCTAGTATCTCCATATTCTGTTTCAATCACTTGTCTCTTTCTCCAGTAAGATCTGACAGGAATGGATTTGTCAACAGACTCGTTATCACTGACCACTTCTTCTCCGGTCTCTACAGCATGTTCTTTTTTACGTTCGGTGTCTGACAAGGGATATCCTGATTCTCTTGATTTGATTTGTTGTAAGATATCAGATTCTAAAACCATATCTTCTTCTGATCTTCTGAAACAAGTTTCATCCATGAAGAAGAAGGCCCAGATAAACATCAACCCAAACATAATAACTTGTAACCAGAAACACCATCTCCAACCAACAGTATCGGCAATATAACCAGAAATAATAGGACCAATATCACTACCAAAGTATAAACATAAGATAACAAACGAAAGGTAAGTTGCTCTTTCATGTTGGAAGAAAGTATCAGTGACGGAGATCTCAATCAATGAATCACAAGGAGCAGCTGCAAACCCACCAATGATATTGACAGCATAAAGGTGTTCAATGGATGTTGAAACAGCCCCTATGATATTGGCAACCATCATTAATACTACACAACTAAGATAGACAAATCTTCTACCAAAGATCAAAGCTGTAGGTTGTAATAAAAGACATCCTACACCAAGGAATAAGAAACATAAAGCACTACTAATATTCAATTTTTCATAGGATGTATTAAAATCAGCAACCCAGATATCCCAAATTGGACCTGAAAAATTCACTGTAATAGCTAAAAATGTTGCCAACCAGAACAATAAGAAGAACTGGCTTTGTTTCTTTCTTTGACTCCATCTCAAGGGATCATTAGGGTTCGAAGTTGGTGGAGGTCTTAAAATGATATTATCATGACCTTTCTTAACGTCCAAATCTCCTTCCAAATCAATCAAATGAACAGTCCCCGGTACTAGTTCGTCTTGTGATGACATCTTCTATGTTGTTAGGGAATAATAAAGAATATTGGTGTAGTTTTATAACCTTCGATATGGGGAAGCAGTTACCGGATTTAGCGAATTAATCTGATATACATATTTCTTGACTGTAGATTAAATCAAGGGAATCTCCATATAATCGATAGTACTTGAATGACCAATTAGGAAGGTTAAACAGATAATTGTCCCCATTAGGAAATGTTCCCGTTTAGAGATAACAATTCCGCCTTACGAATTCCGCTAAGGATATTAAGTAATTAGTCGCGTGCCTCATCATGTGACTTAGTTTTTCTCTCTCGCATTCTAGCCCTTGGCTATTAACCAGCCATCTGTATAATCCAGCATTATATTTTCCAGCATTATATGTTCCAGCAACTTAATCCTGGATCAGAACTAACAGGGATTTATACATTTGGAATGTCTTATTTTAATGCATGGTTTATTACGATATAATTTTTTTACATATACTCGGAAACTTCATGTAGTGACACGTAAATGGAAGTCTAATTAGAAGCTAAACATAAAGAGCGACGCCAAAAATTTGATTTAAATCCTCTTGGACACCAAGAGCATAAGTAATTAAGCCATATCTATTAATCTATTAAGTACAATTATTTACATCTCTTCATTAATCTAGTTAGTTCTGATTGAAAAACCGAAAATGTTACCAAAAAAGCTGGTTTCGAATTTGTTTTCGTATTTAGCATTGTTTGATCTGATTTCAGTCATAATTTGAGCTTCTTTTTCTTGAGCAGTCATGTTGGAATTGATTTGAATATTTGAATTGAATTAAAAACTCGAAAGAAATCCTTTCTATTTATATTTATAAAATTTTCGGACTTTCTGAGCGAAAAAGAAAATTGTCGCATCCTTCTGCCCCTCTCCTGGGCAATATTTACCCTCCTCATCACCTTTGTTTTTAATCACCTCACTCACCTTGAGTCACCTTATTTACTCCTCCTTTCCCTCTTTCTCATCATACCACTAACGTAGACGTTAATGTAAGCTATAACGTTGTTCTGCTATCAAATCTACCTACGATTAGTCATGGATTTAAGATGAGTCGGAAAAACTCTGGACGAAGGGAAGTCGATTTTCGTGCTATAACCGATAAAATTTTTCCTTAATGGCTCAATGGGAAAGGTTGAAAGGAAGTTGCAAAAAAATAGTGACAGGGCGATAAGGAACTCATCAAATGGATTTTAGGTCAATTGCTATGATGGCAGTTGGGGTTCTGGTGTATCTGAGTCCCTTGATGAAGTTGAAGGTGAAAGAGTAGTCATAATGTCGCTGAGTTGTTCGGCTGTTTAAGCGCTAAGTTTACCGCACACAGTACACCGAATTGGAATTTTCCATAATTGGCTGAAATATAGCCAATTGGTGAAATAAGTGGAAATATTAATCCAGAATGTGAAGGATAGGTGTATAGAGAGTGTTGGTTTTAAAGGGGGAGACGCGAGAGGAGTACCTGGTTAACCCTTTTATCGGCATTAGAGAATTAGGAAGGGGTTAAGGACAAACTGGTCAGCCTCATGATACCTAAAGACCTTAAATACTCCACTTGTGGCACCTTTTACTATCGTACTCATTACTCTTAAATGCGGTAAACAATATCCCAAAACAGACCGCTATTAATACTTCTCAAATCCGGGTAATCTATTGTGCGCGTGCTGTATCACATTCAATGTCACCTGATCTGTCACATGTTTGTATTACATACGCAATGATTATCTAATCAATGATCCCCTAACGGTCTTACCTATAAAGTTAATCATCTTGTGCCAATATACCCAAACCATCTAAATAATATTCGTAAATTACGATGCCTTGCTCTTCAAAGAGATGACCTATAATCACTTCCTTACTACTACCTGTGGTCCTAAATGCTAATATAACCTCATAAAACATTCAAATACACTAAAATCGGTCCCTAGAGTTCGAAATAAATTCTGAAAAAACCATTGAAAACGTTCAAACTTGGAAATTAATCACCAGACTATTGGAGCCTTACAAAATAACTTTAATCGAGGCGAATCAACGTGGAGGATGGCATTTTCAGAGGCAAAAAGATATTGAGACCCTTAAAAAAACCACTTAGTTTCATCAAATTAATCACATCACCTAAACAACCACTTATCCTAAGGACTAACCTCATAGATACCCAGACATAAAGATTGTTCTCTATACTTCTCTGAACCTATAGAACAATAGATAACCCAAAAAGGTAATATAAGCCATTTACTATTTCATGATAATTATCGTCGTGTAATTACCAACCAACGTGGGTACCTTGGGGCTCTAGCTAAACTGTAAAAAAATATGCATAAGCGTTGAGGCTTTGTGCAGTCCAATAAATTACCACCACGAGAAATTTGTTCGCACCAACACCACCGCCAAACTTTCGGCAATTCCCTGGCCCATGCTGGTGCGAAACTTTTTACACGTTAGATAATCTTGGCTGCAAAAATTAGTCGTGTGATCCGCAACCAACGTGGGATTAGATTTTTCACTTGATCAAATAACCCAGAATTACGGCAATTCCCCTCTAGAGATCACCAACGTAACCTGTCAAACATAGGCTGATGGCATGAAACATCATCAAAGTTCCTTCATCTCCATCTAAAACCAACCTGATGTATCATCAAAAAAAAAATCCCATCAACTTGATGAGTAAAGAATTACGAGATTCATGGCACTTTTTACGAAGTCCTTGTATTATTACCAGGTTACCGTTTAATAGTCTAATTTCAATAATTCCGTCAACAGGTGGGTAGTGTGGCCTTTTTAGGTAAGAAATTACGTAAGAATAGAAGTTTTTTAAAAACCACCCAAGAAATTTTGACAGTGACAAGAAAACTCTTTTGACAGATAACCTGACATCTTTGACAGTTAACAGTTCAGCAGTGTAAGACAGATACATTATGGATGTATTGAATGATGTTTTTTCACCGGTTGTTTAACCATCAGTGGAAAGCAGTTAAATGTAAGATTATTCCACGTGAGGCCTAACCTGTAAAAAAGAAAAAGTATTACCTAAACTGCAAAAAGGCGTTTTTAATTAATAGCCCAATTTCTTTTTCCCTACGAAATCCTGAAAACTATATAAAATCCTTAATTCCCCCATAGAAACCTTCAACAGTAATGTCAACCGAATACAAATTCAACACCAAAGGTGGTAAAACCGCTTTTAAGGATTATACTGAAAAATTTGCTCATATTGAAGATCCAATTGAAAGAAGAAGATTGGCTTTAGAAGAAATTGATAAAGCTGGATTCGGATGGACTCAAATTAAGATGATTTTAATCGCTGGGGTCGGTTTCATGACTGATTCTTATGATATTTTCGCTATTAACTTGGGTTCCAGTATGATGGCTTATGTTTATTGGGGTGGTTCTATTCCAGATTCTACCACTACTTTAATTAAAGTTTCTACTTCTGTTGGTACTGTTATTGGTCAAGTCGGTTTTGGTTTCTTAGGTGATTACGTTGGTAGAAAACAAGTTTATGGTATTGAATTAATTATTATTATTTGTGCTACTATTGTTCAATGTTGTTTAGGTGCTTCTCCAGCTGTTAATTTTGTTGCTATCTTTGTTTGTTGTAGGATTGTTATGGGTATTGGTATTGGTGGAGATTATCCATTATCATCAATTATCTCATCAGAATTTTCAACTACCAAATGGAGAGGTGCTATTATGGCTGCCGTTTTCTCTAATCAAGGTTTAGGTCAATTATTAGGTGGTATTGTTGCCATGATTTCAGTTGCTGGTTATAAAGATTCATTAATCGGTGCTAAAACTGCTGCTGAATGTGGTCCAGCTTGTATGAAAGCTTGTGATCAAATGTGGAGAATTTTAATTGGTTTTGGTTGTGTTCCAGGTTGTATTGCTTTATATTATAGATTAACCATTGCTCAATCTCCAAGATATCAATTAGATGTTAAACAACATGATGATTTAGAAAAAGTTGCTGAATCCGAAGCTTTAATTGATGATAATATGAAAGATTTAGCTCCTCCAAAAGCCTCATTCCATGATTTCGTTTCCCATTTCTCTCAATGGAAATATGGTAAAATTTTATTAGGTACTGCTGGTTCATGGTTCTTATTAGATGTTGCATTTTATGGTTTAGGTTTAAACACTTCCGTCATTTTACAAACTATCGGTTATGCTGGTCAAGATAACATTTACGATAAATTATATAATAGTGCTGCCGGTAATTTAATTATTATTTGTGCTGGTTCATTACCAGGTTATTGGGTTTCTATTGCTACTTTAGATACTTTAGGTAGAAAATGGGTTCAATTCACCACTTTCTTCTTATTAACTATCATTTTCTGTGTTATTGGTTTTGCTTATCATAAATTAGGACAACATGGTTTATTAGCTTTCTACGTTTTAGCTCAATTTTTCCAAAATTTCGGTCCAAATACTACCACTTTCATTATTCCTGGTGAAGTTTTCCCAACTAGATATAGATCAACTGCTCATGGGTTATCAGCTGCTTCAGGTAAAGTTGGTGCTATTATTGCCCAAACTTGTATTGGTACTTTAATTAACCATGGTTGTGCTCCAGATAAGAAGAATTGTTTCTTACCTCATGTTATGGAAATTTTTGCTTTATTCATGTTATTAGGTCTTTTCACTACTTTATTAATTCCTGAAACTAAGAGAATGACTTTAGAAGAAATTTGTGAAAAATACCATGATGAAATTGATACTACCAAATTAGGTAGAGACAGATATGTTGAAGAACATGTTGATGGTAGTTCATCTGATCCAAAAGAAACTGTTTAATTCGGTGGTTATGATTTAATATATTAATTGTATGAATGAGTCTCTTTTCTCTGTAGCTTTTCTCTGGGTCTTTTCTATGAGTATGACTTTGACTCTTTGTATTTGAGGTTAGGGTCCTGGAGCCTTTGAGCCTGAGTCTGCGTCTGAGTCTGAGTCTGGTCGGGCACTATAGTTTAGTCTGTTCAGTAACTAGATTCTCAGTCCTAGAATCGACTCCACAACTCCTAGTAACTCTACCATTCTCACACTTTTCTACTGTCTCGCGTATGTTTCAACAATACTACAAAAAAGACTTCCAACGGTACATTCCTGATTGGATTACCACCATAATCATCTTCTTAGCCTTTGCATGCTACTTAGAATGGGCAATTCCTTATGCCAGACCTTTTAAACTTTCAAATCCCGATATTCAACATCAATTTGCTGAGGTTCAAATAGTTAATGATTTTGGTCTTTACGTGTTAACATTCATCATCCCTTTGACTATCATGTGTGCATTGATCTTCACTTCCAAGAAGGATAGGTACGAACAAGTTCATCATTTACACATGACACTTCTTGCCTTTACATTAAATTTCGTATCAGTTGGAGCTGTAACTGATTTCTTGAAAATCTGGATCAGTAGACCTAGACCTGATTTTTTATCTCGTTGTTTACCAAAACCCGATACTCCTTTGGATACTTATGTTACAATTGAAGTTTGTTCCACATTCACTGAAGCTACGAACTGGAGACTTATTGATGGAATGAAATCATGTCCTTCAGGTCACTCATCATTAGCTATGAGTGGAGCTATTTTCTTAGCTTTATGGTTGACTTATGAATGGAAATTAACTAAAACTTCTTCTGTTCATTGGTGGATACTTTCCTGGGGTTACGTATTAGTAGGAGCATGCATTGGAATTTCCAGATCAATTGATTATCGTCATCATCTTACAGATATTCTTTTTGGATTCTTACTTGGAGGTGTTGGAGCATTCTTATCATATAAGAAATATTTCCCTATAGAGACTGCGGATAATCTTCCTTTATAAGATAAATATATATTGTACGATATTTCAATGTTTGTCGTTTACCCTTTATTTCATTTCTTTGATTCATTTATCATATCTATAACTTCTTTTATGATGACGTAATAATCGAATTCATCGATATCGTTCAAATTGACGTAACAGACGCCAAATTTGGTGCATATTAAATTGCCAAAACTCTTACATCGTTCGATATTATTACCGTTTTTGATGATCGACTGTATGACTTGATTATTTCTAGGTAATGAATAGACATATCCACCGAAGCTAGGAACTTCTACTTTTCTCGATACATATATTTGTAATGGAGGAGGTCCTGTGGCTTTGGTTTGAGGTTCAGTATTGATGATTATGGAGTAATCTGAACCATTTATTTGATGGGTCAGAGATAATTGCATTTCTCAAATTTGAGAAATAGCGTCTAACACATTAAATGATCGGACAATACATCAAAACTGACAGGAAGATCATCCAATACATGAAAAGAGACAGCCATTGACCCCAGTCATAATAGAGTTTGAAGAGATACAGTTTAATAATAATCTATTAAAAATACTTGTCCGTTGAGGACCCCAAATTAATGCAACTCTATCCAAAACCAAAATCAATCAACACATTTTTTTTTTCTTTTTTAAAAGGTAAAATCTACCATACAACATAATATCATTAGATCAATTAACTTGTTGAACGTTAATTGACGAGTTAAACCATTAATTCTAGTATCTTATATCTAGGAAATAAATCTAGTATTTTAATTCTTTTGGTTGTTCCCAAGGATTTTCTTGGTTAGTGAAATGACCGTAACTAGCAGTTTTGAAATAAATTGGTCTAGCTAAGTCTAATTCTTTGACTAAAACACCTGGTCTTAAATCGAAATTGTTTTTAATAATTTCAACTAATTGTTCAGATGAGTATTCTGAAGTACCATAAGTATCAACGTAAATACTTAAAGGTTCAGCAACACCAATAGCATAAGAGAATTGAACTAAAGCTCTTCTAGCTAATTTGGAGGTAACTAAAGATTTAGCAACCCATCTAGCAGCATAAGCAGCTGATCTATCAACTTTTGAATAATCTTTACCTGAGAAAGCACCACCACCGTGAGCTCCCCAACCACCGTAAGTATCAACGATAATTTTTCTACCAGTGACACCGGCATCACCTTGTGGACCACCAATGACGAATCTACCTGATGGTTGGATGTGGTAAACAGTTTTATCATCTAATAAGTTAGCTGGGATAACTTTTTTAACGATTTTAGCAATAATTTCTTTTCTTAAATCTTCAGTAGTAATTTCTTCGGCATGTTGAGTTGAAATAACAACGGTATCAACTCTTAAAGGAATAACAGCACCACCATCTTTTTGGTATTCAATGGTAACTTGAGTTTTGGTATCAGGTCTTAACCAACCTAATGAACCATCTCTTCTAGCTTCAGCTAAAGCAGCATTTAATTTATGAGCTAATAAGATAGTTAATGGTAATTTTTCTTCAGTTTCATCAGTAGCGTAACCAAACATAATACCTTGATCACCAGCACCTAATTCTTCTAAAGCTTTTTCATAATGTAAACCTTGAGCGATATCAGGGGATTGTTGTTCAATGGCAACTAAAACATTACAAGTTTTGTAATCGAAACCTTTAGCGGAATCATCGTAACCAATATGTTTGATAGCATCTCTGATAACTTTTTGGTAATCGACTTGAGCTTTGGTGGTAATTTCACCGAAAACCATAATCATACCAGTTTTAGCAGCAGTTTCACAAGCAACTTTGGATAATGGATCAACAGCTAAACAAGCATCTAAGATGGCATCTGAGACTTGATCACAGATCTTATCTGGGTGACCTTCACCGACTGATTCGGAGGTAAATAAAAATTTTTCAACGGACATAGTTATTGAGTGTTGAAAATTTTCTGTGGGCATGGGAGAGTTTAAATATTTTTCGTGAGACGAGTCGGAAAGGAGATCGATAATGGGAGGAAGGTGGTGGAAATGAGATTTTGGGGTCAGGGTGGAAGTAATTGGGGTGTGGATGACGGTGGTGGTCTTATACAATGATTTATCATACCATTGAGTTATTTGAAACCCATTCAATTGGTTTAATAAGTGGTTATTGATATGATCTGAGGAAACGTTGATAGCCACGAGATCGGTATTATGTTGAGACAATGTGAATTTTACTACCACAGCGGTACCATCTTACCGCCGCGTGGACTCAAGTAGTGCCTCACCGTGGCATCGTATAATGTCATCGCATCTTAAACGACCAACAAAATAGATAATCGCACGTGACTTGACTCCTTTTATTTCCAGCATGTGAAATTTGTACGACATGTGGCGACACTGACCGACATTATGTGACATTTTTTTCTCATGATTTTGCGACATTGAAAATGTCTCTCTGTATACCACGAATGTTTTACGCGTATTGACCTTTTATTCCTAAACATACTATGGATTTGATCGATGATATTGAAGATATAGCCAATATCCATAGACTTCAACCTACACAGAGGATCATGGATAGTTCTTCTGAGTCTCAATCGGATATGGAGGATTTTTCCGACGTCGAACAACCACAAATGGCTAATAAAGTAGATGAATTGAGAAAGAAGCTTTCAGCCATTCAAAAGAGATTTGAAGGTGATGAAGAACCTTCCCAGCCTTCAGAACCTGTCACATCAAAGTTACCACAATTAAATATCGATTTGTCAGAAATCCAGACGCTTCAAAGTACACAAAATGGTGATACTCAAGTAATTCAACAAACACAAACCATCACTCAAACTGTCCTTCCAACTATGGCAGAAACCCAGGAATTGGACTCTGACCAAGATGTTGATGATAGGAAGAAAGCTATCATTCTCCAGAGATTGAAAGACCGTCAATTGGCCAAAGAATTGGAAAAAGAACAATTACAGGCAGATATCTCTAATGTCACATTAACTGATGAAGAAGCTGATGAAGTTGAAATCTCCAATAAAACACAAACCAAAGATTTGAAAGAAATTCAAAAATTCATGGACTTGCAAAAGAAAGAACAGATTTTCCAAAGACCCAAGACCAAGAAGAATTTTAAATTTTCAACTTCAAAGTTCTTAGATGATTTTGATGATGAAGTCCCTCCACCAGTAGAATCTGCTGAAGAAGAGAAAATTGAATCATCTCCTCATACATCACCAATTCAGAATCCAATTGAATTGTATAAGTCGAACTTACAAAGTGTCATTGAATTGGAAGATGACTTGTTACCTGATTTAAGTAAAGATCAACTTTTATCCATCAGGAAGAAATATGTCAAACCTATTAAACCTACCAAGAACACCACCAAACAGCTTTTCCTGAAACTTTTCTCTCTTAATGTTGAACAATTGAATAATACCATTGTTAAGGATATAAAACATATTGAAGAAGAGGAGAATGAAGAGATCATGGGATCGTTATTGGAAAGAGAGATTGAAAGAGTACAAAGAATCAGAAAGAATGAAAAGATGAAGATGAAAGCTGAAGCCAAAGGACAAGCTGATGAAGATAGTGAAGAAGTCCCTGATTCTGAAGTCCCTGATTCTGAAGTCCCTGATTCGGATATTGATTCCGATATTCCTAATTCTGGAGATGAGTCTGATGAACAAGAAGAACTCGATGAAGATGATTTCAAGACCCGTAGAAAGGCTAGAATTATTGATAGTGAAGATGAAGCTGCTAGTGAAAATGAAGCAGAATACAGTGGTTCCGTAACAGAAATAACTGAAGATAAAGATATGGAAGATTCTTTCAATAAATCTTTATTGTTCAGTAACTTAGAACCATTCAATCCTAGTCAGAATAAGTCCATCAAGTCAGCTACTCAAGATACCCAACCAGCAAGAGCTGAGTCCATTACCTTTGATACTCAATTGATCGATAATGTGGAAAATGATATCGATGATACAGTTATAGATGGTGATACTCAAATCATCGGTACCCAACCATCAGCTACACAAACCAACACCCAAATCATCAATGATACACAAAAGATAACTCAAACCATCAACGATACACAGAAGATAACTCAAACCTTTAACGACACTCAACAGATTACTCAAACCACCAACGACACCCAGAAGATCACACAAGATGACGAAATCACACCAGAACTCGTGTCTCAAGCCAAAATGGCCATTGCTTCCAATCTTACTCAAATCGAAGAAGAAGATGAAGATGATGAAGGAGATATTCAACAACAAATCAAACTTTATGAAGAGAAAATCCGTCGTAAAGAATTGAAACTGTTACAAAAGCGTAAAGAAATGGAGAAAAAAGGGTATAAGTCCATCATTGAAGGAGAAGCCGAAGAAAGTGAAGATGAATGGGCAGGTTTAGGAGGTGAAGATTTTGAAGGTGAAGATGTGGCTAACTCTGAAGATGAAAAAATGATCGATAATAACTTCAAACTTGATTTAAATGATGAAGAAATCAGACAAAAGTTCATGGATCAATACAAAATCAAAGATAAGAAAGAGTTAGAGAAATTATTGGATGATATTAAAAATCATAAGTTAATCAAGAAAGCTTCAGGGTTAACTATTGAATTAAGTGATGAAGAAGATGAGTTGTTAGTGGCTTATAGAAGACAAAAATTAGCCGAACAAAGGAAGAAACTTGCTGAAAATGCTAAAATGATGAAGAAATTAAAATCTGAAAAATCAAAAGCGTTCTTTCAAAGTTTAGATGAAGAAAAATTGATTTCTATTGATGAAGAAGAAGTTCAAGAAGAAGATAACACCATAAAAGAAGAATTCATTCGATCCAAATTATCTTTCTTGAATAATTCAATCGATGATTATGATATGGAACAGAATAAAGAGAATAATAAATATGATTCTGATTCTGATGATAATTATCAATCATTGAAAATGAAATCTTTCACAAACTTAAAGAGAAAATATGATGATGTAGAGATTGAAACTGATGAAGATGAAGTTCATTCTGATGATGATCTTTTACCTAGCAGAAAACCTTCAGTGGTGAAATCATTCCGTTCATCAACCACCTCGTCATTTTCCGGAGTGACGATATCTAAACAGTATAAAGTAGCTAGTGGATCTAAAGCTTCTATTACGTATATTTCCAAGAAGAAGAAGACTAAAATTAATATTAAGGGGAGTAAACTTATGAATGCAAATAAAAATGAGTTTAGTTGAAGTGAATACACGGAAGGGTTTTTAGTTATTGGAACTAAAGGCTCTGATTAATGAAAATGGCTCTGGAGTGTTGGACGTCCTGCATCAGTCTATGACGATGGAATATGGCCGACCTAAGAAACCTAGTAAATAACCTCTGGAGAAACCTGTAAATGGACTCTCTAACAACCTCTGGTGTTAGTTAGAATCTAATACGATAAACTACTATGTAACGCATCTTGCAATGAACGGTTACTGAAGTTACTTAGTACTGGAGTATTGAATATGGACTTGTCTCCGTGAATGAAAAACGACTTGTTACTATCAATTATGACTTTCGATGATGAGGATAAGGTCCTAGTGGATAAAGACTTTGGTGATAAACATGTTAGACTTGGAGGTAATCTTTTTATTTGTAATTCGTTCATCACAGTGATAGGGTTAGTTTTGGGGACGTTCTTTAACTCGTCGAGTTTATTTATTCGTTTCCTTCTTCTTTGGCCCGGAGTTGGAGGATCTTTCTTACCAGTGTCGAGGTTCAGTTTGGTAATACCTTGGATTTGTTTAGGTGATTCGGATGTCATTAATGAAAGGAAATTGTTCAAGCTAGAACCAACGGATTTCCTACGCTCTATAGGTTCCTTGGGGTTCTTAGGATCCTTATTATCTTTATCGTTCAAAAGATTAAGGAACAGAAATGGTTTGGATGGGGTATTATTCATAACTTTGTTCAACAAAGTTTTGGTATCACCTTCAGAATTGAAGGTAGAATAGATCTGTTCAATAGTCGGCGTCACGCTTTCATTGGCTATCTTAAGGTTATCTATAGGATTATGGAATCTATCGATATCGATTTCTGGTGATCGCAACCTTCTTGGTGTAGGAGATGATGGATCTGTGTAAGGAAGTTTAGACTCATCTGAGCTAAAACTATCATTATTTATTACCACCCCATCAAATAAATCAGTTTTGAAGTTAATGCTTGATTCACTGGTGGTGGTCTTCAAGATATATGGATAACTCGACAGGTTAAGATTAATCCTTGACTTTCTTAAGTAGTTCTCGAAATTTTCAAAGTTTGATTCATTCAGAATCGTCGACTCGTTGTCATCAAACACATCGTAGTTAGTTGATTTGATCATTGGTTCAGAGTTTATATCGAATATTTCATCAATGGCATTTTCACTGGTGAAAGTGTCTGGAGTATCGGAGTCCAATCTATCCAATAATGAGGAATCGGAATGACTCAAATTGGTTTCAATACTGTGAAGGCTTTGGAGATTTTGAGTTTGTAGATGATGGGTTTGAAGGTTGAGGAGGTTCTGCTGACTTAACGAACTCTTTGAATCTAGCTTGTACTGAATGCTTTCAGTATTGAAATCATTATCCAAATGAGGTTGTGACAGATCCTGTGATTGATCTTGTATTTGATCTTGTATTTGATCTTGTGATTGAACTCCCACAACTGTAGGCAGTATGGACTTATCTCTATCTATCATATCAGCAAAGTCAATCGAAAAGTCTGATTCTTTGGAATTCTCATGTATGCTATCATCAAAACTACCTTGCTCAACTATAGGACTCACCACAGGCTTATCGAAAACATTGGATATCTTATAATGGGATTTCTTCTTATAAATCTTATTAGGCTTACATTTCATAGGCTTCAATGATAAGTTCGATATCGATAACGAAGCTCTGAGTTTTTGACTTCTTGATTTCATTGGAGATTTGAACTCTTGAGGTGGAATCATAGGGATACTTTCTGCCTTGAAAGATGGCTCTACGCCATATTTTGCCTTCAACTGTTGGTATTCATGATCTAAATTCAATAAGATATGTTGATTGGTCAAAGGGTCGTTATTATGAACATTTAATTCAAACATATTGGTTCTTAATAACAAATCATTATATCCATTTAAGAACTCGAATTTCTTGATGATCAAGTTGTTTGTGTCATTGATACGAATGTCAAAGGTCGATAATTGATCATTTAAATGGTCTATCTTGTTAGATAATTCATTTGTGGTTTGAAAATTTGATAATATACAATCAGTCTTTCGTTCAAGATTTTCAACTATGGACAAAAGTTGATCTATGCGACTCATGGATTCTTGAGGAGTATGATATTGTCCTTTGATCTATACCAACAACACTTTTCACTTTAAAGAAGACTATCAACAAGCTTCAAATCAAAGATTTAATCCCTGAAACTCTTCTCGAATGAGAACCCAATTGAGCTATATGCATATTATATGCAGTCTGTTTATTTTCGTTTATTTTTTCCATGTTTTGGGAAAGGTTGATCCTAATTGAGATTTAGCATTGCCTTTTACAGTGGATCTGGAGATCACCAGAGATGTGGGTGGGAATGTAGAATTTGGGAATATTGACAAGATTTTGAGTCAATTTAATGTTGAATATTGATGGTTGAATAGTTGATGGTAGTTGACAACCTTCGCATTTTAGTTTGTTTCAGGTCAAGAGTTTCAGGTTTAAAAACTTAATGATAATAGTTGTATAGTACTTTTTGTAAGTTAGAGAAGGGTTCAAGTTGAGCCCTTTATGTGTAATATGCATTAACTTTTTTAGCCTGAATTTTAAGACAATAAGAATATTTAAAATCATGAAACTTAATTTCAGTAAATTGGTGGAAACACGCCCGTGTTTATCAGTTGATTTATCGTCAAGGGGTGATGAAGCATGAAAAACTAAGCTACCATAATGACAGGAATTTGTTTGACTGAAGATATGGTTTCTATGAAATACAGCTTCTTGAAAATGCAGCTTCTTGGACATACAGATGGGAAATACAACTCACAGCTTTTAGAAATTAGGACAACGGATTGAGATTTATGGTAATGGAAAGGAAGTACCAATGACTGAATGAATCCAGTCCCTGTAGACCGAAGACAGACAATCGAATTGGAATATGACATCAAGCTAGAATTCGAAAGTAATTCCTTGATAGCAAAGTCATATGGTTGGAAGAATTCTACTGAAAGCCCTGGCATATTGAAGCAATTTTTCCTGTTATTCAATTACGATAATATGACAGTATGCAAATTCCAGAAAATTTATATCGGTCATCTCAATGCTACAATCATCATTAACACCTTTCGCTTCTCCAGAATCAAGGTTATTCAGTCTCAAGCCAACATATGTCTCCTTGTTGCAACAATGTCCTCCATGTCGCATCTTTTATCATTACAACTATTCACTATTAAACAGATCCTAAATGACTCGTACTCTTGGCATATGAGTATTCCACTCTTCTAATGTGAGAATGTAACTAAAATTAAACCTGTTCATTTCAAATTGGCCCACGACAGGTCCATTTTCCCCCTCAGTGGTCCTATCTCCTACTTTGATCTATAAAATTATCGCTTTTCTACTTTAACCTATCCGATGTTTTCCTTTCCAAGGAGCATAACCCACTTACAGCATATGATATCAAATATGCAAGTTTTGTTCCAAATTCCCGTATTCGGTATTTTACCAATTTATTTGCAAATTTTACAAAATCCTCAAATTATGAAAAAATCATTCAAGCTTAAAAAAAAGACGAAAAAAAAAATCAACAAGGTGATGAACTTTTAAAAAACCAAATTCTTCGTAGGTGGAATATGTTATTTGAAGTCTACATGGTCAGTGGGTTCTGGGACATCTTGTTCGTTCTCTAAACCACCCAAAATATCTCCTACACCATTTGGAAATGTATTTGTCAGCTCTTCATCAAGAGAATGGAATCTTGCCCCGATATTCAATAATATATCATCACAAACTGATTTTTCTGGAAGAATATCAACCAAAGCTTCCAATATACTATTGGTCCTCTGTTTTCGCATACCAATGAACGGAGATCTTTTGAATTCTCTTCTGCCCCGGTCAACCTTGTGTCCATCGTTCTTTACTTTAAAAATATTGCCTTTCCTACTGATCGGAGTTTTTGCTCCCCGTAACCTAAAATTTCTTGAACCAGCCGTGTATGAAATATCACAAGCTGGCATTGGTACAAAATCTTCGTCTTTAGAATCATCGATACTCAAATCCGTCGAACTTGACGAACCATTAGCCTCTAGTACATTCAAATTCGGGTCACATACCTCACTTTGAAACTTTTCAGCCTCATTTTGAAGAATTGATACAGTTTTTCCAATACTACAAGGTTGATGGTAATTGATTGATAACCCATGGGTTGTAACTTTTTCGTTTTCACTATACACAGCACAATCATTTGATTTTCCTGCTTGAACTTCATCACTCTTTACTTGTCTCTCTCTATCTTCTCCTTTCCCTTTTTTGCTTAACAAACTTTTAGTAGAATTTGGCAAAGAAATATTGGACGGTTTTTCATAATTAGGCGACTTTTTTGCCCCAAAAACCTTCTCAGAAACCTTCGGTTCTTCAAATTCACCACGTTCTCTGCAAGATAGGGGTCCGTTCTTGGCATCCACAATTCCAGAACTCTGGATCCTAATGAAACAGCCCCCGTTTACTTGATTTGATTCTGTCATTAGAGTCACAAACTGGAATAAGTGAGTAATTCTTTTGTGGCTGCAAAAAAACCTCCATGGATCGTGTAGAAACCATTCTTACTTTCCCTTCTGGGAAGTGCGAGTACCAAACCCTTTTTTTCAAGACCGGTAGCTCTGATGAATCCAAAGAAACATTCGGTCAACAATCCAGTCAATTACACTGCATCTTGCAGCTCTTTAAGATGAAGATAACCAAAAAAAAGATTGCAGCACGAGAGTTTCGCGTATGGTCTCCCACTACACTACTCGGTCTCGCTCTTAGCAGCTTAACTACAGTTGATCGGACGGGAAACGGTGCTTTCTGCTAGATATGGCCGCAACCAAAAGTCCTAGAATGGAAGATAATTATGTATGAACAGGGAGGCGGCGGGAAGCAAGACTCATAAATGACATCCGTTTTCTTGTATTGTTGGAAAAATAGAGAAAGAGAAAGAGATAGAGATATTTACCAAGAGAGTACTAAGAGGCAGAGCAGGGATAGAAAAGGCTGGGTAAAATAGGTCTGGAGGAAGGTTGGGGGTGAGTGTGAAATGGACTAAAGCCAGATCGAAACCGGAAGAAGTTTCTATTCGCATTGAAAACAGTCATCCGTCTCTACTCTTAATTAAAGTGATGAAATTGGACTAACGGTTTGTAGTGGCCGATCCTAACATATGATTTATTGACTTTTTCCTAGAATCAAAGCATCACGAAGTCAGTTAGTATTGTTGAGCTGTTTTGGGACTAATTTTTCCATACATACTTTCAAGTTTAATCCAAGTACGACGATAATTCCAATGCTTCTGATTGATGTTGATCAACAGAACATTTTCAAAACAAACTTTCGGTAATGAGATAATGTGTAGAACACTAATTTACCAATCCACTACAACGAAAAACCAAAACAAAAGTCTAACATTTTAATAAAAGCATACATCGCCAGCCATATAAATCACAGACTTGCTATTCCTCAATTATGAAGGCTTTTCATTTTTTGGTGTTTTTGACATGTTTTCACCAACTCATCATTGACTTTCTCCTTTTTGCAGCCGTCACACAAAAGATAATCTAAGGAAAGTCACGTGCGCGTGTCAATCCTTCTCAAATCCCATAGTTAAGGAGAGGTGAATCCATTCAATCTCACCCTCTTGATCAATTTCAAAAAACACCCTTAGAGCATCGATTGTATCACACGATGCTTCCCGTCAAATTCTTCTATTTTAAGAGAGTTATTTAACAACTATGTTCTCCCCCAGTCTAAGGAAAGTCACGTGCGCGTGTCAATCCTTCTCAAATCCCATAGTTAAGGAGAGGTGAATCCATTCAATCTCAC